CACCAAAAATAAAATCATAAAATACAACAATCCCGAAAAAACACAATTAAACATAAAAGAATAAAACAGCAGCATTGAAGCTCCATCAGACGATGTTCAACAAAAAAAATATGACCAGAATTACTAAAATGGGCGTGACCAGGCTATAAAAGGGTCGGGCATGGGATAGTGCAAAGCACCATACCATAGGGCCAGGGAATTGGATGAGGTGCAGACAACAGGGTACTATCTGGGCCATCACCGAGAAGGCCACCAGATCTTAGAACCCACACCTGTTCAAAGGGGAATATGCGATCACAAAGATAGGCGGGGCCCAAACTGTTTAGGGCTTTGTAGGTCATAACCTGTACCTTGAATTTATCAGCAGCCAGTGGAGCTGCTCTAATAGGGATGTTCTGCACTCCCAGTAATTGGCTCTAGTTAGAAGCCTGGCTACAGACCTTTGCACCAGTTGGTTTCCAGGCCGTCATCAAAGGCAGTCCCATATAGAGCGCTTTGCAATAATCCATTCTGGATGTAACCGAGGCATGGACCACTATAGCCAAGTCAGGCTTCCCGAGGTACAGTTGTAGCTGGTGCACAAGCTTTGACTGTGCAAAGGCCCTCCCAGCCACCACCGACATCTGAGCTTCAAGTGTCAGCACGGAGTCCAGGAGGACCCCCAGACTGCAGACCTGTGTCCTCAGGGGAAGTGTAACCCTGTCGAGCACAGGTTGCCAACCTATACCCTGGTCCGCCTTGCAGCTGACCAGGAGGACCTCTGGTCTGGATTAAGCTTCAGCTTGTTAGCCCTCATCCAGTCCATTATGGCTGCCAGGCACTGGTCCAGAATCCGGGGGGTTTCCTTGGAATTTGGTGGAAAGGAGTGATAGAGTTGAGTGTCACCTGCATACAGATGGCACCGAACTCTAAAACTCTGGATGACCTCACCCAGCGGTTTCATGTAGATGTTAAAAAGCATGGGGGAAATAATGGAAACTTGCGAGGACCCCACAGGTCAATGGCCAGGGGTCTGAGCAGGTGTGTCCCAACTTCACCAACTGGGTACAATTCTCCAGAAAGGAGCAGAGCCACTGCAAAGCAATCCCCCCAAGACCCATTCTGGAGAGCCACCACAGAAGGATACCATGTTGGTAGCCTACAGTTCCTATCATCCAAAGATGGAGCAGGTAGACATTTACAGGTCAGTAATCTTCGAAGAATGTCAGGTCGCTCATTTCTGATATATGCAATGCTTTTCTTAAATACGTATACAATGTGAAGCTGGTAAGCAAAAGACATGGCACTCTGTGATTACGGGTGTTTTAAGAACCCAGCAAGGCACATAGTGAATTGGGCCATTGAATGGCAGCAGCTTTCCATCTCAGAGAATGAGTCCTTCTTTTTCTCCATGCTTGAGATTGAGCATCACTTCTTTCCTATGCAAAGCATGGCTTGAGTACAGAGCTGAATGACCTGTCTCACACTAGTAAGTTGAAACCTGAAACTGACACAGTCAAGTTGGCAAGTCGAAGATTTGGTCCAACCTATGGTGATCTCTTCCCAATATGCCCACCGCTTATTAACTGTGGTCTGACAAGTTGCTCAAGAACTGTGTTCCAACTTAACTCTGGCTGAAAAGTGTGCCCTGTGTTTTGGGAGGAGTAACGTTCTTGTTGTTCTTTCCTTATTTTAACCATACACTTTGTTCCTCTCCCATGAAGGGTTTACGTGAAGGATGCCTTTTACTTGTGGAAGGAGACAAAGCCACCTTGCAAGGAAAGTCAGGGGCTCGGCTCTTTGTGAGGTAAAAGAAAGAAACCATTCCATCTCGCCATTTGGCATGTAATCCTTAAACAAGATAGTGATGACAAATGTTGTTAATACTGTGTTTTGTTGTTTGTTTGTTTTTAAGGGGGACCAACCCAACAGAACATGAGCCTGGAGCAGATTTCAGTTTTCTATTGAATGAAGGCCCTCAAAAGTTGTAATGTCTATTGAAAAGACCATAACAGAGCAATAATTCAAGCAGCAGCTATGCAACAGAGCAAGAACTGTGTGTGCACAAATCCAGTATCCAGCAGCTACTGGCATCCAGAGCCTAGTAAATGGTTCCAGAATTAATCGGTGCTTTCCCATAGCACATTCACTGGGAAAGATACTCAAGTCAGCTATGAAAAAAGACATAGTAATAAAAAAAATTGCCGCAAGAGCATACAGTGTGTTTCCTCTCACTACTTCATAGCTACTCCCTGGTGAAAGGGTTTCCAAATCTGAGTTTAGTGGAGGAAGAGATCAACCAGAGCAAGATCTGCCTGATACTCTACTTCCCACTTATCTGAAAAAACAATAAAATAAAACCTGCAAAAATAATAAAACATTACAATGGTCCAACTTCCAACACTCTCATTGGATTACTCCTGAACACCCATATTTGCCAGTGACACTAGAAAGTTCCCTCTCTGGAGTACTACTTGTTTCAGTGCTGCCAGTCAGAGAAAGGCTGCCCCATCTTCCCTCAGAGCTCAAGAACTGGATGCAGTTCCACATCTGACCAGGAACCAGGGAATCACAGCAGTCCTCCAGATGTTGCACATAGAGGTGGGTGATTTCCAAAAAAGCTTCCACAAGCTCTGAAAAAGTATGTATACAGGCATAACTCTCTTACCTGTCACCAACAGGATGTCAGTCTTTGAAAACTGCTTGGTTTGCTGCAACCCATAGAAGCTTCCTAGCCTCAGGATGAGTCTGGGTCCTTTCCCTCTGAAACTATTGTCTCTTTTCCCAACAATGTTTTGGCCTTCCTTAGTTCAAAACTAAGTCCCGGAGCCCCCAGTGGCGCAGTGGGTTAACCCGCTGAGCTGCTGAACTTGCTGATCGAGAGGTCGCAGGTTCGAATCTAGGGAGCGGCATGAGCTCCTGCTGTTAGCCCCAGCTTCTGCCAGCCTAGCAGTTCGAAAACACGCAAATGTGAGTAGATCAATAGGTACCAATCAGGCGGGAAGGTAATGGTGCTCCATGTAGTCATGCCAGCCACCTGACCTTGGAGGCATCTACAGACAACGCCAGCTCTTTGGCTTAGAAATGGAAATGGGCACCAACCCCCAAAGTGACTCGACTGGACTTAATGTTAGGGGAAAACCTTTACCTTTACCTAGTTCAAAACTATAATTGTTGTCCAAGCAAAACAAGACAAATGCTGGTGGGAGGGTGCAAAGGAAAGGACATGAGGATTGTAATGATGTGCTCACTTGTTGGAACAATGACTCAGAAAGTCAAAGCTTTGAAAGGGGAATGACAGTCTACAGAAGACACTGCCATAAGACAGAAATGGCCACTGGGCGATTTTGGGCAAGTCATATTCTTTCAGCCTCCAAGAAAGGCAGCGGCAAACCTCCTTTTGAACAAAACTTTTCAAGTAAACCCCATGATAGAAGACATACAACCAGCACCAACAGACAAAGACTTCTTTTAAGAATCTTCCTTCCTGCAGAAACAAGACCAACTAGATTTTTTATGCTTGGGATGGCTACTAGCCGTTGCAAGTTGGCCCAAATAAAACAGAAAAAGCCTTTTTGTGTCTGGGATAGAGCTGCTTCATCCTTTCTGTTCCCTTCATGCATGAACCTTACCTTCTTTCCACAAAGGTGGCTCCCCTCACTGTGTTCACACATTTGTTAATGGTGCCACATACATTTTACATTAAAAATCTCTTCTGTCCTGCCATTAGAAAAAACATTCTGAAGTTCAGTACTTTAGAAAGCCTTCATTAAAATTTTACAAAGGGCACCTCCCCCTAAACTGCTGCAAAATTCTCAGTTTAAGACCAGGATCAGGGCAGGATGAAGGGAAAGTTGACTTGTGGTACTTGCTTTTCATCTTGTTAGTTTGCCACTGATTTCAGATGATTACACAGGACAACTGAAGTCTGAGAAGGCTTTAGTTTTCAAGTGGGGAAGATCGGGTTAGGCCTCTGATCGTAAAGTTGGTACAGTGATGCCTTGAATTAAGAGTTTAATTTGTTATGTGACCAAAATTCAAATTGCTCTTATGTCAAAGTGAATTTTCCCATATGCCAAAGTGAAACTCAGGCCGAGCAACAGCTCTTGACTCAATAGCTCTTAATTTGGGACAGTCTTAAGTCGAGGTTCCACTGTATACCCCTTTTCTGATGTCAGAGTCCATGGCACAGGGGAAGTGATGGAAAGGGACAGTGCACACATCACTTCTGCTGCTACATGAAATCTCGCTCCTGAAATAGAGCTTGCCATGTTTTTTTTTGTGGCTTCTTTTGTCACCTTCTAAGTTACCGTCACTGAATGATTGTTATAGTTCTGTCTCCAGCCATGACCACACAACTCCATTCCACGAAACCATGGGTGTGCTCCATTTTCTCACTCGGTGCTGAAGGAGATCTCACACAAATGTTTTGAGGCCATCTTTGTGATCAAGAGAGACGTGTGAGCACCAACAAAGATCCACAGTGTCTGAACACCTCCTTCCAAAACCAAACATGTGTGCATGATTCCTTCATTATACATTGATTTCCTTCTCAGTGATTCTGGTTAAAATACTAGGGGAGAGATGCTTGCTGCTGGTGTGCTGACAGGCGCATCCATGGTTTCATTGAAAACTAGATACCATCTTAACTAAAAAGAATGAAAAAGAACACTCCCTCCTTTTTGTGTGGGAACTCTAGCCCTGCCTGAAGAAGAAAAAAATGTTTGTCTTACCTGTAATACTTTTCCCGTAGATAAGGGGAGGTAATTTGCAGTTTGGATGGAAATGTTATTGATCCAGCTCTATTTGGCAAAGAAAATAGGTGGGATTCCATCCAGTTCTCTCCTCTCTGAACCTTCTTGAATTTGCTTTGAACATCATCCCATGCTTTGGACTGAAAAGAGGAAACCTCTGCAAAATCCATCTATTCTCCCCCCCCCCCCCAAAAAAAACAAACATGTTTAGAGTTTTTTTGGAAAGCGGAAAACAACTGCCAGGTTCATTAATAAGCAAACCAAGTGTCCCATTTTGTATTTAATTAGCTTCAGACCCTTCCGTTATATACAAACCCAATTTGACAATCCATTTTATGTACAAAGTCAGCAAGCATTTTTTTAAAAAAGAGTTAAATTACAAATTGGTAAATCCTACAAAGTGCAAACTGGAAAACATTGTCCACCATGCTGTACAGAAACAAACCCAATGTTAGCCAATATACATACATACATACAAGCTTAAAATTATTAAACCTTACCAACAAAACTTTTAAAATAATACAAACAGGATATTATTTAACCTCCAAAGCACCCAAAGAAGAGGAAAGGTATTGCACACAAGACTAACAAATATTTTTGTGTTTACGTAAAAGCTAGTTGAAAACTAACTATATCAAAACACTTCTGTCTAAAATCTGAAGGCATTTTTTGGCATCAAAACCCATTTGTAATCAGTCACAATTGCACAATCAGAATAATCAGTATAAGATCATCATTTGCCTGTATATACATAAGGCTTAGTGTTCCATTTTTACAGTGTGTAGTGTATTATATAAATGCAGAGGCACATGTTAAGTGAGTTGTATATTTCTGTGTGGTTCAGAAAAAAATGGGTTCAAACAGCAGCACAATTTCCAAGGCGAGTGGCTAATTTAAAATGTGGTTTTTAACAAAACAGTATCATTCAGCAGCAGAACCTGGAAAAGTTACTTTCTTGGACTATCATCTCCAGAATCCCCTTGACATGCTCTTAATAGAAGTCATTTCCCCAGTCTTCATTAAACTGTTCAATAAATCTTCTAGCTTACATAGACGGATCCAAAATCACTTCTCACTACTTTAAAAGCTAATTTTAATGTCCTTCAGACGAGGAGTCCATCACTGCACACAAGCAGCTATGTGCATGGAGAAAACACAAAATAAACCCAAACCAATCTGATTCTGCAGCAAGACCCATGCTACTGGGGTAATAAGTATGTAATGAAGCAGTGACACAGGAATGCATAATGCCCACATAATATACACTATGCATATTATACATATACAAATCTGGTGCTTTGTGTTACTTGGACAAAAGCTAGGCACATTCATGTCAAGCCTGAATTGAAGCTGTGCAAAATGATGATGCAATTTAAACATCGGGATTGAAATGTTACAATCTGCAAGAAGCACATCAAATCAGAACCTTCCTTTGTTGGGCTTAGAGATCAAACTTTACAGCAGTGGTTCCCAACCTTTGGGCCTCCAGGTGTTTTGGACTTCAACTCCCAGAAATCCCAGTCAGCTTACCAGCTGTTAGGAATGGTGGGAGCTGAAGTCCAAGACACCTGGAGGCCCAAAGGTTGGGAACCACTGCTTTATGGAAATGAATGCAAATTATGCCAGTTTCCACTCTCAGGAATAAAAACATGCTATCCCCCATGAAGCATGGCTAGTGACTGAATTTTCTTTTTTGCAAAGTCCAGCTATTCTAGGATATATACTAGTGTTTCTTTCCCTGGCTAAAATAGTATTTGCTAGTATGATAGTTCAGTCTTTCACTATTGCATTATGCATTTTTGGACAACCAAAACATGCATGATTTCAATCAAAACTACACATGTTTTAATGGAAAGCATTCCTGAAATAACACTGATGGGCAACTCCTATAGCCTCTCTGCACTGACTATGCTGGCTAGGGCTTACCATTGATCTGACACCCGAAAAAGGAGTATATTGATGAGGTCTAAAATAGAATAAGCACTTCCTAAGGTAAGAAGAACGAGGAGAGAATGGGAAAGACAAAACACTACAAGAGACTTCCAATGCCCGGCAATTCTCTCTTATGAATCCCCACCCTGGATGGATCCCATTCAGATTCACATCCTGCTATGAAACCCAATGAAAGAAGAAACAATCTGGGAAATATATATGGAGAAGAAACAGAATGGGAAATACTCTGCCTGTCCTAGTTCTCCTTCTTTTCCAATGGGATTACAAGAGACATGCAAGGTTGTGATACCACTGGGTTTCAGAGAAACGTCCTTCTTTCCACCCCAGTGTTTGTGGGACCAAAGGGTGAATATGTATTCGTTTTACACACAGTCTTATGTGTTGTTGAAGGCTTTCATGGCCAAAATCACTGGGTTGTTTGTTGTGAGTTTTTCAGGAGAGAATGCTTCTGGAACATGGCCATATAGCCCACAAAACTCACAGCAACACAGTCTTATGTTCAGACACATAACCTCACATCTGACAGTCTAAAGACAGGTCAGTAGCTGTTCCTTGCAAGCTTTTTATCTTCGTCTTTGTTGTAATATGGTAAAAAGCAATCAAGAATTTCTGCACAAAAGGCATATTACACATCATGGACCAGAAGGATTTTCATTGGGAGTATACTTAGTCGTTACCTTTCATGCCCACAATTGAAATAGTGCCATTTTTAGTATTTATTATAATATTTATATTAATATAATATTTATATTACACTAAATGCAATTTTACTTCTACTGAGAGCAAAGATACTGAAATTGCAAACATTTTTACTGACAAGTACCACTCAATTAAAGCGATCTAGGTTGTGCTAATGTTGCAGTTTGCCATTGTATATTTTATCACTTTAATACTCCTTAAGTTGCTTTCAGTTTTCTAAGGAAGGTGTGAATAAATAAATATAACAAAAGGAATGATAGTTATTAGAAAAATGGTCCAGTGTTTGTACTCAGGATAGTTTTTATCTGTTCTGACTTTGGTTGCAAAGTTATTACTCAAGTCCTAGCATGTGGACACGAAAATAACATTAACAGGTTCCACCGTTTGCTTCTGCCAGTTTAAGATAGAATCATATTTTAAAAAATAGATTTCAAAAAAGAAACTGGAATCTAGCCAGGCAACAGAGCACTGAATCCCACTTGCATGGCTTGGCTGCAAATCAGTACCTTTTATGAATGTCAACTATCACACAGAGATATTTGTCTTTGCATAATACTAAAGAAACAGAAGAAAACATGCCTCAGCCTATTTCTTATTCCAGTCAAATTCCATACCTCCTGGCCTTAGTCTTATGGACTGCATTCAGTATTTTCTGCTACATGGCTGGAAATGGAATTATACTTATGGGAGGAGGAGCTCTTTGTAACTGCATTGTTGAATGGAAATATCTTTTTCAGAATAATAATTTAGAATATAGCCCAACATTTTTTTAATTTATTGACTCTACAACATGATAAGATTTATTAGCTACTTGAACCATGGAAGCGGGGAGGAAACTGGTGCAATTATAGGAACATCACGTTGGATCTCATTCAAGAAAGAGATGTACATGGAAACCCACTAGACTTGACTTTCTGGTCTAAAGCTAATGCAAATTGGCGTTTGCCAGGTTGAAATGTCACTCACATTAAAAACAATCTGAAACATACAGCTTTCACCCACACACTTACAGAACCATGAACATACGGTCCTCAAATTGCTCCTTTAGTGACGTCACCATAAAAACATCCAATCCAAACTTCTATCAATACTCCTTTAAGTTTTTTTTACATTCTAACAAACCACTTTCATAAACAGTTTTTGGGTTATCTTTGGTATTGCTCCTATACTATTTTCGTTTTAAACTTGTTTCCATGTCATTGTTAGTGTTGATATTATTATTTTCAAAGTTCTGTGTTGTGTGAAAATTCTGTTAATCCCTTAAAATCAGAGCTGACATCCCTAGTATGAAAAGCTTGTGTAAGTATCACAAATTAGCAGAACTATTCCATATGTCTCTGTATTTCATATCTTAATCATAATTTTTATATCCAAATCAGGTGTCTATTTTTTATTTTTTTTAAAGATAACAGCAATAAAGATAGCAAGATTTTTCTTATAGAAAAATCCTCTATTCCAGTGGTTTTCAACCTGTGGGTCCCCAGATGTTTTGGCCATCAACTCCCAGAAATCCTAACAGCTGGTAAACTGGCTGGGATTTCTGGCAGTTGTAGGCCAAAACACCTGGGGACCCCCAGGTTGAGAACCACTGGTTTAGTTTGTTCTAAAGTACATCCAATTGATTTCTGTGGGGCCCATACCCACTGGAGGTGAATTTAGGACTGCACCTTTGGACAAGCAGAATCCTCACTGCAACTAGTTTGAGTGTAATACAAGAACACCATTTTTGTTCTCACAAAAGACAAACATGGTTCACACAAATTGCCTTCATCATCCTGTTGTCCTTCAGATGTGCTCCCATTAAACCATAGGGCATGGTTAGATAATTGTAGTTCAACACAGCTGTAAGGTTTCCTGACACTATCTCCATGCTTTTATGTGTTTCTCCTACCAGTTCAGGGTCCTTTTCAGCCTTGAAGCAAATCAGGAAGAAGTGGTAAGGCCATTTTCATAAAATTGTCTTAAGCAGACATATGGCAACACCATAACAAATTACTGACCATCCACCCTGTCTTTAGATAATACTCTTCTCATAAGTAAAATACACACAGGAGTCCCAAACAACTAATTATAAGAGAAACAAAGATAAAATGTTCCAGTGCATATGCTACTGTTTCTGGGCAATATAGTTCCACTTGTGCAGAAAAAATATAGATGTCAGTTGTGAAATGTACAGTCTAAATAAATAACTATAACTACATGTAGTGCTTAGCTTCCTCTCATTAATTTTTCCTCTTTCTCAAATACTTCTAAATCAAACTAAATAAATGTCAGCACCCCATTCCTCTTTGCATTAGACTTCCTCATGACAAGCTAACTATCTGTCACACTTTTAGGTGCGCATTATAGGACTCTACATTAAGCGCACACACTCCAAAAAGTGAATACTGCTGTTCAAATAGTACACCATACAAAACAACTACTTGAGCGTTCACTGACATCTTTTCGCATACCTTTATCTCACATACAGGATCAGACTCAGGAGGAACTCTTTGTGGATATTTCTAATTACAGGTTGGTGTCTCATGGATCAGACATTTATCTGCATTCAATAATCCTTCCATATCTACAGTTTTCAGCTATAAATACATACTTCAATAACCTTGGAATATTCCGTTCCTTTTCCCTCTAATTCTGAATGTAATACTAAAAAAGATTTTCTTAATTTTGGAAGTGAATCAAGTTTAGTATTCAAGAGGGAAATATATCATACTAGCATGATATGAAGAGCACTGTCCTGCTCTCTACCTCTGCTATGTTGCCATTCATATTCATGCATGAGCAAGCCAGGATGTGACAGGAAAACAATGCAACAGAGACACTTCCGAAAGAACTATTCTGGCTGGAGACGAAAAATACAATATTTAAAGCAGGTTGTAGCAAACAACAAAAAGGCTCACCTAAAGAATATATCAAAAGACACACACCCTGACCAGGACAAACTTACCCCATTCCTTGGGTCTAAAAAATTGCATTTTTTCAGTTCAGATTTATCAAACTAAGAAGGACTCAGGGTGAAAGGAGGGAGGTTTTTAAAAAACAAAATGTGAAATAATTTAGAGGAATGGCTAAAATGCGGAAGATCACATGGCTGATATCTGGGGGTCAAACTGGAACTTTTTTTCTTGTTTTGTTCTATTTTTGGCACAGCAACAATATTCCTACCCCTAAAGACTTTTGATCATGAGGTTGCTTTAGATTGTGTTTATGAGGACTGGAAAAAGAAGTGGGGCTTAGCAGCAAGTTACCTAAATATCATGATCTAGCAAATTAGTCACTGGATCATGGCCTTCATAGTCTACAGGTGACACTGAATAGCAGCATTGTGGTGATTCAGATCAGCAAGCCCAGGTAAGCGTTTTTACAAGAGGGAATGCTAACCCAGAAATATTTGCCATATTCCAAGATATGAGTTCAAAGAGTTTAGGCATCTTGATTTTCACATTGCCAGATTTTAAAAATTTTATGTATGTTTTAGTAGGATTTTATATTTTATGATGTTTATTTTATTTCTCTGTATGGTTTTCCTTTTTGACAATCTAATGTTTTGCCTTATTTGTTGGAAACCGCCCTGAGCCCCCTTGGGGAGATAGGGCGGTATATTAATATTTATTATTATTATTATTATTATTATTATTATTATTATTATTATTACCTAGGATTGTGATTTTCATATGCAAATACCAACACCTGTTAACCTCTGACACCTGTACGTGCACACATACACACTCAATATATTTAGTGCTGAATTAGCTTATTGCTTCTGTTTCTATTGTAAGTAGAAGAAACAAGAGATGCCAATTTGCATATCTGCCAGTGGAAATTGTGCTGTTGCCCCAACGTAACTGAGAAAGTTCAGAGATATGATTGAAATTTGATCAGAAAGATTTAAATAATTGTGTGGTATCTCTCAAGAGAAGGCAGAAGCAGAAATCACATGGAATCTTGAGTGTTATATTCAGTTTCTCCTGATGAAATCTGGCTGATCCGTTTGCTTGAACCCCATAACTTTCGGGAGAGTTGGCCTGCCCGCATCTGTTCAGAATAATTCAGAGAAACAAAAAGGAAGGGGGGAGGGAGCGGATAAAAGGGATAAATTAAATAAAAACTTCAGACAAATCTGCAAAAGCGTAGGCAGCACAAGATACAGAGCGAACATACAAAAAAAAGGCCATTTATTTCGGCAATAGTGCTTGGAAAATTCTAAAGCAGACAGACAAGCAAAACAATGTGGATGTCTCTGTTGTATACTGGAACTGGTATGGGTCACATTGTCAAGTGTTTTTATAGAGACAGCACTTGGCATCTCGCTAAAATGTTCTACTTCTTGAAGAAAAAGGAATTTGGACTCATTTTGGTGCTTTTTTTGGAGGGGGGGAATCCAGTTTCGTAAAAAAGGCACCATATTAAGCAGGAATATCCACATAATGCTGCATTCATAAGTGAATGTACAAGGTTCTGAACACAATGGGACATTTCTAGACTTGCATAGGACAGCGCTTAGAGCTAAAACTAAGCACTTGACAATGTTTTGGGGTGGTGAAGGTTGGACAGCAAAATAAAATATGATTCTGCACAAGAGCAATGAGAAAATGGAAAGATAAAACTGTCATGGTCCCAATTCAAAATACATATTGAAATTGTTCTTGAGTGAAATAATTAGCATATCATACAATCTATTATGAAATAAAATAAAATTTCAAAATAAATAAGAAATGAAAGCCTTTGCCCACATCCATAATGGCCTGATTAGGCTGGTGACTTTAGAGGCACATGCCTTTCTATGATTTTAGAAGCACGCCAAATTTTTTTTGCAAATGTGCCATAATTCCTAAGCAATAGTGCAGTGCGTGGGTGCTTTTGCCTTTCTCAGAACTATGGCTCAGGCCCCATTTAGGTTTTGGATTAGAGGCAATCAGTGCAAAAATCTTCCAGAAATGTGCAAGTGCTTGCTTGATTCCCCAGCATGACATTTGAGAAACAAACGGCAAAAGCGGTTACTTGCCCCTCGGGAAAAAGTTTAAGAAAATTCTGTTTTTTCCTGGCATCTTCTGCAGGTGTTAGTGCTGAGGTTTGCTTGACTTAAGAATACACCCTGTGAGGCATCACTGTGAAATCAGAAGAAGTTTTCTCACAGAAGACGTTGGTTAATTCCATCAGTTCAGAACGCTTACGTTTGCCTTTTTCCTCAGTGGCACTGGAGGACTTTGGCGTAGTTGCTCTGAGAAATACCTTTGGTGAGACCCCTTTTGTGCAGCAGGGCTAAAGTGCAGGCCTACAGAACACTGTGCAATGGATACTTGCATCCATTTTTTTCTATTCATCATCCAAACCCATGGCAAAATGTGCCATTCAGTCAATGCTTAACTATAAACCGGAAAGCAATTAAGTGAAAACCTAAATAATATTCTAAAAACATCTCACAACAGTCTAAATTAGTGTTGTTTCCAAGGTCTAATGTCAGGAACTGCAAGTAGTGTTGATGCTTTAGGACAGTGGTTCTCAACCTGTGGATCCCCGGGTGTTTTGGCCTACAACTCCCAGAAATCCTAGCCAGTTTACCAGCTGTTAGGATTTCTGGGAGTTGAAGGCCAAAACATCTGGGGACCCATAGCTTGGGAACCACGGTTTTAGGACTTCATCACATGCAAGTGCAGCCCATAGAACCTAGGCTCTTTTCTTCTGAAACTATTCTCTCATCTCCCAGTAATGTTTGGCCTTCCCTAGTTCAAAACCATAATTATTGTCCAAGTAAGACAAGACAAATGCTGGTTGGAGGGTGCAAAAGAGAGGGCAGGAGCATTGTACTGATGTGCTAACTAGCAATGATGACTCAGAAAGTCATGGCTCTGAAAGGAGAATGACAGCCTACAGAAGACTCTGACATAAGGTAATGTCAAGAACTGCAAGTAGCATTGATGCTTTAGGACTTCATCACATGAAAGTCACCACCCCCACCCCGTTTCTACATACTTCTAAAACAGTTCATGGACAAAGTACCATGGAGCCTATCATTTGACCTCTTGATGTCATCCATAGTTTTTTTGTCAGTGAACTCAGTGTATCAGAAATGTGGAGAAACCAGGGGGAATTGAAGCTGGTGAGAAATCATCTTCTTAGCTCCTGATGTCCCTGGAATTGGGGGAAAGTGCTTAAAAGCATGTGGGATAGGATCTATTAGATTCACCCGTGTTGAACTGTATCAGTGACGCAGAGGAATGGGCATTCTTAAAAATGGAGCCCTGGGTTTCCTCTAGAGCAGTGGTTCTCAACCTGGGGTCCCCAGATGTTTTGGGCCTTCAACTCCCAGAAATACTAACAGCTGATAAACCGGCTGAGATTTCTGGGAGTTGTAGGCCAAAAACATCTGGGGACCCCAGGTTGAGAACCACTGCTCTAGAGTAATGGGACTGAGGAGCCCAGAAGAAGTGTCTGTCTTAAGAACAGTGCCTTAGGTCTCCCCTAAGTGGAGAGGTGGGAGGAGGTGATTCTGTGTGATGGGGGGGGGGGGGGGGGGGGGTAAGAAAATTCTCTTATTTAAAGACAGAATCCCACGCAAAGAAGACAATTCTACACGCAAGAAGATTATTTCCCTCACTTTTCCTTATTTTCCGCAACTCCGTCTGATGAAGTCCTCAGAATTACATTGCTCTAGGGCAGGCAGCAATTTACCTAGTTACTGAAACAAGCAAGGACCATAAAATATTGTTATCATACTCAGCCCAAGCCAGTACAATCTGTATATGAGTACTGGCACACATGGATTTTCCTAAATGTTTCCCATCGATTCTTTGTTTCTAGCAGAAAGGCTGTGTTGCAAAGAAATGACAGGAAATTATTTCTTCCCTTTAGGGAGCTCAGACTTGTCCTGCCAAAGAGGCGATCGCTTGCTCAGCTGGAAAGCGGAAATAAGCGAGTTTCCCACTGTTCGGTAGATCAAGTTCTTGAGGGTAGGTTTTACCTCTGCTGGCTTCCCAACGCCAACGATAATCAGCTTGCCGTCCTCGAGGCCCACCAGAATATGACTGAACTCTTTGGTAACAGAGAGGCAGCGAATGGGCAGTCGCATGGCTAGAGGGGAGATGCTAAGGCTCAGGCTGAAACAAAGAGATCAAACATCCTATGAAATTTACAACGGGTAGAAGAACTGCACAGAATCTGTATTTTACAGAGATAAGTCATATAGAGAACAGTGACACCAATCAAATGCATGGCATATAGGTTAAGGTCATTTTAAGATGCAAATCCAAGCTGTGAAAATTGAGGCAAGGCTTTGTTTTAATGTACATACAGTTCAGAAAAAAATCTATTGGCATTACTGTTGACTATTCTGTCTTCTCAAAGGGATGATACTAATAATACTGAGTAACAAAATTTTAAAATATTGTATATTCCTGGTTATTTCCTGTTTAATTGTGTGGGACTTTGAAACTAGTTGTTATACTCCAGAAACTTAAGTTTTTGTGGCTGAGAGTAGTACTACTATTTCCTAGGCCAGGGGTCCTCAAACTAATGCTCGAGGGCCAGATACAGCCCTCCAAGGTCACTTACCCGGCCCTTGCTCAGGGTCAACCTAAGTCTGAAACGACTTGAAAGCACACAACAACAACAACAACAACAACCTTATTCTCATCAGCCAAAAGCAGGCCCACACTTCCCATTGAAATATTAATAAGTTTATATTTGTTAAAATTGTTCTTTTTAATTATTGTATTGTTTTAAAGTGTTTTTTGCACTACAAATAAGATATGTGCAGTGTGCATAGGAATTCTTTTTTTTCCTTCAAATTATAATCCGGCCCTCCAACAGTTTGAGGAACTGAGACCTGGCCTCTGTTTTAAAAGTTTGAGGACCCCTGGTCTATGCACTTCATTTGTAATTTTCCTTAATGAAAAAATGCCATTTTTAACCTTTGTGCAGACCACAAAAACAAAGTTTTTGCAGTTTAATAAACCTTTTCCATGTTTTTATACTAGAATAAATTAGGAAATGATATTTATAACCAAGGAACAAAAACGTGTTACATAGTGATATTATTTACGTATCTTGTTTATATTTCTCATTTCCTCCCAAGACTGGGTTCTAGCACAGCTCACAACATGCCTGTTAAAAACAGATACAGCTAAAAACTCAGTCACAATACTAAAATAATAATTAAAACAAGCACCCAATATGATCGGGTTGGATCTGAAATTGGGCATCAACTATCATAGAAGATCTTTTTTTCAAGTCTCCCCAATAGTCCTGCTATCCCAAAAAGCTTCCTCAGAGTATCAGGGAAGGCAGCTCAGTTAGAGATTGCAATGGGAAGGAGGAATCGCCAAAATACAAAGAGAGACACCCCAAAGAATCAGAGCAACAACACAATAATAAGGATAGTTAAGATGTAACCACAATGCCCGTCAAAGCAATGTAGCTGGAAACTGTACCCACAAGCCTATCTAAAGCTTAGAAACAGACCATAAAAAGGAAGAAGAAATAGCAGAGACGCTCAATAAAATACGCACCAGAAATCTGATACCAGCAATATCTGTTTTTCAGACTCTAACAAGATGGCACACAATTCTTCATGCTAACCCACGCATAGGCAAACTTGGGTCCCCCAGGTGTTTTGGACTTCAACTCCCAGAAACCTCAGCCAGCTTACCGACTGTTAGGAATTGTTGGAGGTAAAGTCCAAAATACTTGGAGGTCTGAAGTTTGCTCATGCCTGGGCTTGATCATCTAAGGCAGTGGTTCTCAACTTGTGGGTCCCCCGGTGTTTAAGTCTACAACTCTACAACTCCCAGAAATCCCAGCCAGTTTACCAGGTGTTAGAATTTCTGGGAGTTGAAGGCCAAAACATCTGGGGACTCACAGGTTGAGAACCACTAATAAAGAAATCACAAAAAAGTTCAGATGGTTAAGAAGAACCCATAGATTTCAGGACTATTTAAGGGCTAATGTCATCTAATGCTTAGAGGGCTGGACTGAGACTTGGTAAATCCAGATTAAAATCCTCAATGAGCTGTTAACACTCTTTGTGTACACATCTGGGTACATCTACACTCTAGAATTAATGCAGTTTGACACCACTTTAATTGCCATGGTTCAATGCTGTGGAATCATAGGATTTTGTAGTTTGGGGTGCATCAGCACTCTTGGGCAGAGAAAGCTAAAGACCTTTTAAAACTACAGTACCCGTGATTCCATAGCATTGAGTCATAGCAATTAAAATGAGTTCAAATTGCAGTAATTCAACAGTGTAGATGCACCTTCAGTCAGTCTTTGTTGGCCTGACAAAGGATCACAAAGTTGCTGTTAAGATAACATGGGGAAAGGAGAGTCACAAAAATAATTGTGAGCTGAGTGGAGGAAAGGCAAGATATAAACATAACGAATAATAAATACTCATGTTTGTATTGTGAATTTTGCCTGGGAAGTTGTCTGCATGTTTCTGAGATACGAAACCATCTGACTAAGGTGTTTCCATGTCAACATTCCTTGGTATTTGAAGACTACCATAGACTCTATGTCTGCTGTTTTGTGGATAATCCCAGGCCTCGAGGCCAGCAAACAGTTAAGAAACACTATTTTCAGTCTTCTCCATTACCTGTAGAGGTCTCTTATGGATAGGAATCCTTGCACACTCCCCATTACAATATATTCTCCAGTCACACAGAGATCGGACACTTCTTCCTTCAGGCTCTCAGAGCCCAAATACTTTCCATTCACAGAATAGAGGTGGAGTGCATTTTTATCCTATTTGGGATGAAAGACAAAATAAGTCTACAGATATTAGGCAGCTAAGACATTTCATAGAATAGAGAGGTAACTTGTCCTCAAAAGGCTATGGCAATACGAAATCATATTTGTGGCCAATTTCCAACATAGTGGAAAAGAGAGAAAGAGAGAGAGAGAGAGAGAGAGAGAGAGAGAGAGAACTCTAGAGTGGAAGAGGTAGGGCTGAAATTTTGTGACCTCTTCCATCATATGTAGAAGATAGTGTGAATGGATGCATGTGCAAAGTATGTCTGAACTAGATTAATCTTTCACCTCTTTCTGGAAGCAGGCTACGCAAACATGATTTTTGTTCCTGGCTTATAAATGTCATTTCCTAATGGTTCTATCATAAAAACATGAGAAACGTTTATTAAACTGCAAAAACTTTGTTTTGGCAGGACATCCTGCAGCACATTTTTTTGCTATAGTTTTTCAATGAATATCATGAGTCTTATTCAATTAAACATAGTTTGTGAAAGTCACAAAAATGAAGTTTTTGGAGTAAAACAACTACTTTCAAAGTAAGTACTGCACAATTAAACAGGAATAACACTTTCAAACCAGGAACATTTTTTTTTCAAATATTGTTACAAAGTGTATGATAGACAACCTCTGTTGCAAGGTCTAAGAGAAACTAGGAAGTTTCCCTCTGACTTGCCAATTATTCTGCAAGACCAATCCAAAGTCACAATCCCTGCTCATTCTTTTTTAGCTCAGTCTTTCTGTAATATATTAGCAAACAGAGAGGACCTTTTAGAAAACAGTGCCAGAAGGAAAGACCCAGTTCTACTCAATGGAAAGAAAAATAATTCCAGTGACTAAACAGTTCCTCCCTCCTGCTGTTCAATAAGTAGGTCAATAAGAAGTTCATCACACATGATCACACAAAATGAAGGAACATCTGGGGCTTCCAGATGTTACTAAACAGCTTTCTCCATGATTCCTCACTGTTGAATGTGTTGTCTATGCTGCTGGTAATCACGGTCTATCAAAAATGCCTCATAATTCCCAGTGTGAGAAAGAGGGGAGAAGGGAGATATGAGATCAAACACATAACCCAGGTCTGCATAACTTGTGGTCCTTCGGGTGTTTCGATCTCTAGCTCCAGAAGCCCTGGCCAGCTTGTCCAATGGACAAGAATTCTGGGAGCTGAGGTCCAAAACACCTGGGAGGGCGACGGTTTGTGAAGTCTTGCTCTAGATCTCCACTATGCTGAGTTCTTATGTAGCTCACAGCTATGAACCAAGGAGACGGTAAAGACAAAAAGGCAGGATTTCTCCAGCCACTACATGGAAACATATGTAAAGAAATGAGATGACAAATGCCTTGTGAGATGCTACTGCCAACATTTTCTCTTTCCCTTCACTTGTTTCATTCACGAGTATTGATTTCTATGGAAACCATGATCAAAAAGACATATGAAGCTTGAATATTGACCACAATTTCCAAGCTAGAGATTAGGTTTCATTAAGGCAGGGGTCCTCAAACTAAGGCCCAGGGGCCGGATGCGGCCCTCCAAGGTCATTTACCTGGCCCTCGCTCAGGGTCAACCTAAGTCTGAAACGACTTGAAAGCACACAACAACAACAACCCTATCTCATCATCCAAAAGCAGGCCCATACTTCCCATTGAAATACTAATAAGTTTATATTTGTTAATATTGTTCTTCATTTTAATTACTGTATTGTTTTTAAGTGTTTTTTACACTACAAATAAGTTATGTGCAGTGTGCATAGGAATTCATTCATGTTATTTTTTCAAATTATAATCTGGCCCTCCAACAGTTTGAGGGACTGTACCTGGCCCTCTGTTTAAAAAGTTTGTGGACCTCTGTATTAAGGTATAACTGCCTTGATTCAAGGACAGTGAGACAGATTAGGAGACACCCTTCAGATACTCATAAAAACAGAACAAAGTGTTACTTAACAATTGGTCATTTTAAGGTTGTCAACAAATTCCATTTGTTGTCCAAAGTTGGAAGATTCACTACCTATCAGTTTATCCATCTTCTCTCACAATTTATATACATTTGGACATGAGTAGCCTTATTCCCATGAGCTTATTGTTGTTACCTGTCTTCATGTTGACTTTGACTTATGGCAGCCCTATCACCAACAGCTCTCCTTGGGTCTTGCAAACACAAGGTCATGGCTTCCTTGAGTCTATTAACTGGGTGACTTGGAAGGCGCTGAACAGATTGCACTCTGGTACCACAAGATGCAGAGCCAATCTTAAGAAATGGGGCTACAAAGTGGAGTCCACGATATGCAACTGCGGAGAAGAGCAAACCACAGACCACCTACTACAATGCAACCTGAGCCCTGCCACATGCACAATGGAGGACCTTCTTACAGTGACACCAGAGGCACTCCAAGGGGCCAGCTTCTGGTCAAATGACATTTAGTATAATGCCAAGTTTTTATTTTTGTTTAAGGTTTTTCTATAACTGTATTCTCAATTCGCTTCTGACACAATAAATAAATTTGCGACTATAAAACCTATGATTCAGAGACAGGCAAATGTGACACTTTTTCTGGATACTATCTTGGCTTGTCTTGTTTGTGAAAGCCACTCCTTAGTTACTCTGCAAAACTAAAATATTGTATTTTAATCTCATCAATTCCTAGTCTTCATTGGGAAGGACTAGAGATAAAAGGGGACACTATACATCAACAATACTGTAGAATTAATGCACTTGAACTGCCATGGGTCAATGCTATGGAATTCTGGGATAGTTTGGTGAAGGAACAGCCATCCTTTGGCGAAGAAGGTGAACGTCCTTGTGAAACTACAACATCCATTATTCCATTACATTAAGCCATGGTATGTAAACTGTCAAACTGCTTTAATGCTATAGTGTAGATGCATCCTAAGCAGGAGGTCTTAAGATGGATAAGGTTGGCAGCCTAGCCATTCATTTTTTTTACGGACCACAACCTAATCATATCACATTGTTCACCAACACACCCCAGTTTCTGCTATTGTAGACTGCAGGTGCACAGCTATGCATCCAATATTCTTTGGAAAGGAAGGTCTACATTTAAAAGGTTAGTAAGAAAGCCCTAATGCCACGTCACCCCCCCCCCCCGCACCCACCCCAAAAGTTACAATATATTATTTTAGTGCTTTGTGAGTTTAGTCTGACTTCATACCTTAAGGGATGTCTTTCCTTCTAGACTTGTGTGGACAACTGTGTGTCCCTCTGAGGATACAGCCAGATTCGGAACAGTGAGCAAGAGTGAACTCTCACAAGGCGGCCTCAAAGTCCTCATGTACTGCCCTTTCCGAATGGTGTGAACAATCACAGTTCCATCCTATTGAAAACAAAGGGAAGACAAGTTCTGACCCCAATTGTTCTGAATGGTTACTTCCAGCAAATTTACTGGACATCCATGAAATAATATTAAACAATCCAATTATAAAAGCTACTTAGATAAACCAACAAAAGACACACCGCAAGGTCTGCTATGATAGACCATGTTCTAACATGGAACAAGGCATCCTCAATTGCAATCTCCTAATTTTGAAATTCCTTTCTTCAAGAGGCCTCAGACAATGTTTTTGGGGGAAGCCCAGATCATTTCAAAGAAAATATTTATAATACTGTTATATACAAAGGATGACATGATGCTGTCCTTTAACAATACCCCTTCACCCACGCGTAAACACTGCTTTTCATTGTGTGAACATACTGTAGTTTTCAAAAATATTCTGCAAATTATATCCTCAAGATTCAGTTCCTCCTCCTTTAAAAAACAAAGAAGGCTGAAGTACAAATATATAAAAATCAATATTTTTTAAAAAGAGGTAAAAAAATCCTATGACTAAACTTGAACGGTATATCATTTTGTACTTATAACGTACAATCTGAATCATCAGAGGACACCATTTAGCCCCACACTCCCTCCAGCACCTACTTTAATCGTAAACACATACTTGGAAATTGTGTTCATTGTGTTCAGGGGGACCTACCTTCAGAAATGTTTGCATAGGATATACACATTTATAGTACTGTAGAGGAACTGATGGTGATAAATGGAAGGACAAAAATAAACCCAAGTGATCCTAGTCTACAAAAAAAGCAAAATGTATACCGCAGAAGCACATTGGAGCTAGAAGCCCAAAGGGAAAATGATAAATAAACTGACCTTGGCCCCTGAGACTACCATGTCCAGCTCTATACTGATACCGACACAAGAGACTTCACTGGTATGTCCGTACAGAATTTGCAGAGGTTTAGGGGACAAACCTATAGGCGCTCCTCCCTAATACAAAATATTAAAAATAAAAATAAATTAAATGTGTTTGCCTCTGGTTGAACACTCATATCATTCATTCATCGCTACCTTTCTTTACCTAATGACAACACGAAGCAATTTTACTTAAAGCAACAGTGCTAAAATTATAATAATACCATGCAATAACATTATTTTTTTAACAATATACTGCTGTCTTATTCATAAATCAAATACCAGTGTTGTCAACCAAAGCTTGCCCTCAGAGTAACAAGATCCAAATTCCAAAATGGCTTTGAATTACCATTGAAACAGAGGTTTCTCAGCAAAAATTGATCAGGGGCCTCATTGTTACCTCTAAATCTTCTCCTTCTAGTAAAGGTTGCCCACAACTGCCAGCTAAGCTATTAAGCTGAAAGGATAGGACTTTTTTCATGCCAGACGTGAGTTGAGAAACTGCAAGTTGCTTCTGGTGTGAGAGAATTGGCCATCTGCAAGGATGTTGCCAAGGGGACACCGGATGTTTTACCATCCTGTAGGAAGCTTCTCCCATGTCTTTGCATGGGAAGCTGGAGCTAACAGACAGCTGCTCTCCCCGCTCCCTGGATATGAACTGCCAACCTTTCGGTCAGCAGTCCTGCCACCACAAGGGTTTAACCCAGTGGTTCTCAACCTGGGGTCCCCAGATGTTTTTGGCCTTCAACTCCCAGAAATCCTAACAGCTGGTAAACTGGCTGGGATTTCTGGGAGTTGTAGGCCAAAAACATCTGGGGACCCCAGGTTGAGAACCACTGGTTTAACCCATTGCACCACTGGGGACTCTGGGAGGATAGGATTTCAAATGTAGAAGGGGATTATAGTTTAGAACAGTGGTTCCCAAACTTATTTGGCCTACCCCCTGGAAATCAATTTTTCTAAATCTTCTCTTTCTTTTATGCTTTCACCGCCCCCTTACAGTTATTCATCGCCCCCAAATGCACCTGTGACCATTACCGCCCTCCTTGGATTGCTGCAGTGCCCACCAGGGGGCGGTAATGCCTGCTTTAGGAATCACTGGTTCAGAAGGAACCAGTTACAAAAAACGAGTTACTTGTAACCAATTCCATTTTAGCCAGCTTGTAGCAGTAGATCCATTCTGTCACATCCATCTTAAATACACTGCTAATAGAAAGTGTGAAGAAGAGACTTGCATCCAAATATACAGCTGAATCCTCCAAGGAATTATGTCCAATCAATATACAAAGCAAATCTTTTGGCACTTTAAGAGAAGCTTTCAGGTGGTAACACCTAATTCACTGTGTATGTTATCATCATGGCTCTCTGGCACGTGTCCACTGAATAATGCAACTGTTCTGAGACACAATCTTTGTGTGGCTTATAATTCCCCACACTTCAGAAAAAGCATCAATTGTCAAGAAAGAAAAAAAGATAGCTTTTAAAATAAGCTCATCTGAAGCTTAGTCATTCCCCTGAAGCTTACCCCATCTAAAGATGTTGTTTTGTAGTGTTTTGGTCCTCTGAAGGTTGCTTGCAAAGGATCTGCAAAGGTTAACATACCTGCTGAACTATCTGCCATATCATACAAGTGGTGTCCCTTGAGCCCGAAATTAAATGGATCCCACAGATGTCCATAGCTAGGCACGTCACAATATCTGTATGAAGGTGGGAGGGGGAAAGCAATTAATACAGGGAGCCTTTTAACATCCCCCAGTTTTTCACTGTCTGATTTAGAGACAGATGGGATGTGCTTTACAAAACAGAGCCACGGTTTTCAATTGTGAAACAAAGCAGGAGGAGAATGCTGTCACCAAATTAAAAAAGTATTCACTCCAGCAGACACAAACTTTCACATACACAAAACCAATTTAAATTAGTACAAGTACTTATTAAAGAGAGCGGTGATGCTCTTGAACAATTGCTATTCATTTCCACAGAATGGGATATTCAAAGTGGACTGAGTAGTACATCAATATTCATGGCAATAGGGAATGTAGTTTTCATATGCAGACACGGTATGCCTCTGAATGGTAATTGCTGGGGAACAAATGGGGCGATGATGAACCACAGCGAACAAGGTTGAAGCACCATAATGTTTCGAACAATGACACCACCCCACTTTCATGTTGCTTCTGAACTGAGGCCCCCTCTACACTGCCATATAAAATCCAGATTATTTTATTTGAACTGGATTATACAGCAGTGTAGACTCATATAATCCAGTTCAAAGCAGATAATGTATTTGAAAAAAATATTTTTTTAAAGCCACAGCTTTTGCAAAAGTCTCAGTCTAACAAATTTATGCGAGCATAACATAAGGGAAGGACTATACATGCCACTTTCAGTCTTTGGGAGATTTAAGATGTAAACTGATATGGTGGGGATGGAGGAGGAGGTGGAATAATAAGAAGTACTACTGCTTTTTATTCCTACTCCTCTTTCTATTACTACTAACAGCAGTATGCCAACAACCATGATGGCATTAAATTGCCCTATCTAACATTTCACTGGTTAAGTCGCAGTTGTTTCAATTATCTTTTTCTCAGCAGGCCAAATCAGAAGAGTGGACACCATATCACATTATTACACATTGACCACAAAAGGGGCTTCCATTCTTTGTCAAGACAGAGAGAGAACAAAAGCACTTGCAACCCATTCATTGTTGATCTGTGCTCTGAATCATCCACTGGAATCAACACGGTCAACACCCTGGACCCCAAAATTACAAGCATGGCTCTAATTTTCTGCAACAAAAATATCTGTTCAGTGATTGACATCTTTGGCTCCTTTTTGCTTCGTATACTGCTCTTGCTCATTGAATAGAGCAACTCAGGACCCTTCCACACGGAATATAAAGGCAGAAAATCCCACATTATCTGAGTGTGGACTCTGATAATAATAATAAATAATAATAAACTTTATTTATACCCCGCCAGCATCTCCCCAAAGGGGACTAGGGGCAGTTTACATGAGGCCAAGCCCGATAATACAATTACAATAAAATAAATACAAAACAGCAAAAACAACAACGCAATAAAATAAGTGAAACATAAGAAAAAAAACAGAACTATGCAAAATACAGTAAAAAGCAAGCACAATGGGTGGGTTAGATGTACACATAAAATGACGAAACTCTGGATGAGATAACAATGAAATAAAATGTATTTGTAATGGAAGAACTTGTACGGGATGGGACAGTGGAGTCAGGCCTTAAGAAAGGTAAGGGGAGGGGCAATATAAGGACAACTTGTGGGAGAAGACAACAGGATAGAGATATGTGGTCACTCTCCAAAAGAATAACCCAGTTCAAAGCAGATATTGTGGGATTTTCTGCTTTGATATTCTGGGATATAGGGCTGTGTGGAAGGGCCCATACTGGCATGCCATTTTATGCATCATCATCACATTTGTATCCTGCTTTTCCCCTAAAACTAAGACTAAGTGGCCTACAAAGATTACAACAAATGCAGATAAAACCACACATAAAGAAGTAAGTGCAAACATTCATTTGATTCTTACTTATTTTTACCCATTAATTTACACAAATCTGTTTTTAAAAAGGCAAAACATAAAAAAAAAAATAGTGGAACATCCCTTGGAAGGAAGCAGCTGGCCCAACTCATTCATGTAAATATTGGCTTCCTTTATGTAAAATGACTTACCCATATGCCTAATATGTTGTGCCATCAACTTCCCCTTGGTGAGTGAGGTGACTCGGATGCTGTTGTCCCAATGCCCTCCACTGAAAAGCAACTTTGCATCGTGGGACACCACAAATAGCTTAGGTGTGATCTCAAGCCCTGGGGCAAAAGGACCGCTCACACTTCGCTGTGTCCTGCAAACAATGGCTTATGTTAACAGCTGCTAACATGTCGTGCTTGCTCTACTGAGAATCCTCAAATCAAGCAATAATACTGTACAGGGAAGTAGGATATGCTAAACTCATCTACGTAGATGTACAATAAAATCATGTAAAAGTACAAACAGTAATTAGCATTTATGTAGTCCTTTGATTCCTCCAGGCATTGTTTCATTGCAGGTCTGCCTAGGAAAGCCAATGGTAAAGCATGCTGGGAATTGCAATCCAGCAATGTGAGTTTTTCAGGCTGTATGGCCATGTTCCAGTAGCATTGCTTCCTGATGTTTTGCCTGCATCTGTGGTAAACATCCCCAGAGGTTTGTTCATAGGTCTGTTGGAAATGAGGCAATCTGTGGATTGTCCAGAGTGGGGAAAAGAACCCTTGTCTGTCTGAAGCTAAAGTAAATGTTGCAATTGGCAAACAGACAAGAGTTACTGGGTTGTTGTAGGTTTTTCGGGCTATATGGCCATGTTCTAGAAGCATTCTCTCCTGACGCTTTGCCTGCATCTATGGCAAGCATCCTCAGAGGTGACCTCATAACCTCTGAGGATACTTGTCGTAGATGCAGGCAAAACGTCAGGAGAGAATGCTTCTAGAATATGGATATATAGCCCGAAAAACCTACAACAACCCAGTGATTCCAGCCATGAAAGCCTTTGACATTAGACAAGAGTTATTTGCTTCAAACATGCAAAAGGCAACCTACTTGCCTCATTTCTAACAGATCTCTGAACAAACCTCTAAGGATGTCTGCCACAGATGCAGGTAAAACGTCAGGAAAGAATGCTACTGGTACATGGCCATACAGCTTGAAAAACTCACAGCAATCCAGTGATTCCGGTCATGAAAGCCTTCAACAACAAATCCAGCAACCTCTTGGGGCTGTCTAGATTTAAAACACAGGTGGGAAATATGTGCCCCTCAATATGATGTTGAAGTGCAATTCCCAATTTTTCACCGTTGACAATGTTAGCTGAGGCTGATGAGAGTTATCGTTTAACAACACTCGAAGGGCTGTACAATTCCTAGCCCACTCTAAATGTTCACAGCTTTTTTTAAACATTATCTTGACAACTCCCCACTAAAATAGGCCTACTGTACTATGGATATTAATTAACAGGATATTTGTACAGCCAGGGTAGGGAATGACTGTCTGTTGGGTGCAATCTGTAGAGGTGGCTATGAAAGGAAGGATGCCCTTGTTTAGAGTGCAATGGCTTCCAGGTGGTACAGTGGGTTAAACCGCTGAGCTGCTGAACTTACTGATTGAAAGGTTGACTGTTTGAATCTGGGGAGCAGAGTGAGCCCCAGCTGTTAACCCCAGCTTCAGCCAACCTAGCAGTTCAAAAACATGCAAATGTGAGATCAATAGGTACCACTTTGGAGAGAAGGTAACAGTGCTCCATGCAGTCATGATGGCCACATGAACTTGGAGGTGTCTACAGACAACGCCGGCTCTTCAGCTTAGAAATGGAGATGAGCACCAACCCACAGAGTCAGACATGACAAGACTTAATGTTAAGATGAAACGTTTACCTTTACCTTAAGAGTGCAAACTGTAAGCACTTGTATTCTCAATTCAGACCTGGATGAATTGAGGTCTAAATTGGGAGCATGAATGCTTTCAGTCTGCTGGCAGTTCTTATCTACTGCATTATACATGTTTTCAAAGATTGCAACAAACAAAGGAAATGTCAGGCTGATAAACAACAGTGCATTTCCCCATCACACATCCTTTTGTATCTGGCTTCAGAAAAGCTTGTTTCCTAAAATAGTTCCCATGATGCTTTTAAATAAGAGCTGGATGCCCATCTGTTGTGGGTGCTCTTCCTGCATGGCAGGGGGTTGGACTAGATAGCTCATCCGGTCTCTTTCCACTCTATTTATTTATTTATTTATTTATTTATTTACGACATTTATATGCCGCCCTTCTCACCCCGAAGGGGACTCAGAGAGGATTACAAGATGTATATACATACAATATATTATATTATTAGCATAGTACAAAGTCAGTATTAAATATTACTATATTGTACTATACCATTATACTGTAACATTATATTACATGTAATATAAATATATAATTATAATATGATTCTATGCTGAAACCTAAAAACCATACTTCCTTCTAGCTAGGGTATCAAACCAGGATCAGAGTATTATCATTTATTAGACTAAGATGATTATGGCGTGTCTCCCCTGACTTAGAGCCTATTTTCATTAAGAAAGTATTGCCCTCAACTGAAAACATATCCAACCACAGGTATTTATGAAGTGTGTGCAAACATAAATATATTTTCACTACATATGTGTTTTTCACATATTGCTTTTGATAAAGCAGGCTCTTAGTGTATCAATGCTATCTCACAGTAAGTCCCAGAAAATAAAAGATTTCACTCACTTGGGATTTGTCACAGTTTGATCTCTGAGGAAAGTGAAATAGTTGGAAATATTTCGATCATAAGGTAGCCATCCATGGGTTCCAATAACACAGTTGAGACTCACTATTACCTTCAGAAGGACACCGTCAAGGGAAAACAGAGAAACTATCAATAACATTTTAAATAAAATAAAATATAAAATCATTATTTCATGACAGTGAACAAGTATGAACACAATTCATCCACTTTCACTGCCTTTCTCCTTTTACTGTGTGTCTTTAGACCACAAATCTAAGAGAAGACCTGTAAATGTAAAATAATCAATAAGAAGAATTTTATCCATTTGAAGAACCGATCAATTGGACTTTCATCATTTGTTTCTGCAAAATTACAGTACTTCGAATTGTAGTGTTCCACTCTTCTGTAAGGTAACAGCTTAAAGCTGACTATAAATTTATTTTTTAAATTGTGAATTAGATTCTTTCAGGACAAACCTTTTTGCATTTCCAACTTACCAGGGTCTCTGGGCTCCCCTGTGACATGAATGAACGGTACTGATTCTTGGGAACGATGGCTTTAACAATAGGTATCCCATCACTGATTCCCTAAAAGAGAGGAGCAGGAAAACATTTCAAGCTGACAACTCAAAAGTATAGGACAAATGTACTGGCCATTCTCAGACGACTGTTGAAACGAAAACAGAGGAATCCTAGTTTTTGATTTGGTGAGAACTTCCCCTCTAACTTCAAAAATTAAAACCAAAAATAATTTCTAGCCGTGGACCAATGAGTTCAACTCATGCAGGTTCATATCAGTAAATGGCATGAATAAAAAGGAAAAACAGAGATAAAATGACATTGCGAGATAGTTTTTGGAATAGCTTTCAAAGAGGTAGTCATATTAGCCAGTTATAGCACAAAAAGGAGGAAGGGAGAGGTGGGTTAAGAAAGAAGAAAGTTACATACATCTTAAAGACTGATTTTTAAATATATATATAGAGAGAGAGAGACAGAGAGAGAGAGAGCTTGCATGGATACCAGTCTACTTTGTGAGATGCAAATGTGGTGATATTAAAATCTCAGGTTATTACACTTATATATAAAGCTCTCTGGCTGGGATGGACTATAACAGAATTCAGAAAGATGCAAGCCATGACCTTCATCCTAAATCGTGTGCGGTCTTTGAAATATTTCATATCTTTGCAGTGGTCAGTTAGTATCAGAAGCTATAAATAAGCAGATCAAAAGTCTGTTTTGATCATCTTAAATGGTTCAGAACTTTGTGGAAAATATGTTTTGTTTGGTTTTTTGCCAGAAAGGTTAAGTTTTGTGGATAAATATTTTTATGAAGAATGCTATGCATTTGGCACAAGATAAACTCAAAAACGGCGCTCCATGTAGTCATGCCGGCCACATGACCTTGGAGGTGTCTACGGACAACACTGGCTCTTCGGCTTAGAAATGGAGATGAGCACCACACCCCAGAGTCAGACATGACTGGACTTAATGTCAGGGGACTACCTTTACCTTTACCCTAAACTCAAAAATATTTCTCTGGGTGGCTGGAGTCCACACTTGGGAATTCCCTCACACACCTATTGAGGAAGAGTCCAAATTCTCTCTATGTATAAATGTTAACTCTTCTCTCTTCTACTTCACTTTCCGCTAATACAGGTTTCTCATTTCTCTTCCTTTCTCTTCTTACTGTCAATAGAACACTAGTTCTAACATGTTAAAACCATCAAAATATGCTCAAACTCTCATAATCTCCCACTTTGCTGCAAGAATGAAGTCACAATTTAAATCTCCACTATTCCAAGTTGATTTATAAGAAACTTTAACCATTTAAATAAGCCTTGTGCATTGACAAAAATATCGTTGTAATGAGTAAGATATATTCCAAATGGAACTGGGGAAGAAGCAATTGTGGAACAGATGGAGACTTCAGCCACCCTGGATGTCCAACCATCTAAGGTCAGATTGGATACCTCATGGTGTGGCCTTCCTGGTAGCTCATCACATGGGAGCCCACCATGGGAGCCAAGGAAGAGGTGGGGCTACATTCAAATACAGGTGGAAGCAAAGGTCTGCCCACATGGGGCAGATCCCTCTATTGACCAGCTGCCTATTTCGATTAGGCTTAAATCATAGTTGATATTGTCTGCTGTTACCTCAATGAAGAAGGACTTCAACTCAGGGAGATGGTGAAACAGATTAAGTGTAGAGCTTTCACTTCTGGTTTGCTTCTGTAGTACTTCCTCTGCAGAAAGTCTCACAGGATGAGGTTCCTGAGGAAAATCATAACAATTTAAGTTTAAATCCAAGCACGAGTCCCAACTAAAATAAACCTATTTATCAGAAACACACGCTCCCTCCACAGTTTAGTTTTTCATATATTCCCTCTCCAAGCTAGTATTCTGAATGGTGTCCAAAAGTAAACTGGAAACCAATGCAGCTAATACAATAATACAGTCAGTCACCGACTTCCAAACGACTCATAGTTAAGAATGGGGATGAGGCAACAGGAAGTGAGAGAAATCTCCCCCTCGGAAGGGGCATTCACTCCTGGAAGAGTTATTAGCATGGGGAAAAGGGGTCTTCCACTGAAGCTTTATCACCAACCCTTTACACAACAAGCCAAATTTTTCAAAATCCAATTATCAGAGGGACAGAAGCAAAGGAAACACCACAGGGGTAGTAACCCTTCCCTAGGCTATCCAAATCTTATCTATCTACCGTAAAAACCGGGGTAATAGATGACTTTTTAAACCTTTAAAATCCTTTGAAAACTTGGGGGTCGTCTTGTCTTCCGGACATATTAGATGACAAATGGCAGTGGAGACGAGGCAGCGGAGGAGAACATCCACCCGCAGCGGCCTGCCCTCCGACCTCCTTCCTCACGCTGCCTCTTTCCTCACTGGGCCCAGCTGGGCCCCAATGGAGCGTCTGGCACCTTTCCCTCCTCTGTCCTCGCCCCGCAGATGCCTTCCTCGGTGGTGGAGGTGCACACGGGATGGGAGAGGAGGGAAAGATGCACCCTGCGGAGGCCTGCGCTGTCTTCTGCAGCTGGTGCACACCTTTCCCTCCTCTCTCGTGTGCGCTTGCCGAGGAAGGCATCTGCGGGGCGAGGACGGAGGAGGGAGACCTGCGCTGGTGAGCGCGCTCACCCCTGCTGCTTCTGGAGAGGCTTCCAGCATGTCTACAGGCTCCTGCAGCAGCGCGGCGTGGGCCAGACGCTCTGTTGGGCCCCAGCTGGGCCCAGTGAGGAAAGAGGCAGCATGAGGAAGGAGGCCGGAGGGCCGCCTTCCTCACGCTGCCTCTCTCCTTCCTGGACCCAATTGAGGCCAATGGAGCATCTGGCCCACGCCGCGCTGCTGCAGGAGCCTGTAGCCTGTAGGCTGTGTCAATAGGAGAAGCCTGAGAAAAGGCAAAAGGGAACTGATATGACACGTTACCTTGGCAGGTTTYTATAATTGCTTTAAATGAGAATTATTTCATGCAACAGTTGATTTTAACTTATTRCCAGCATGATGTAAAGGACCCAGAGTATAAATGAAATTTAAGGGACTGTAATGTACAACGTAAGGTACAATGTCCCTCTCATGGGAACCTGCATGTCATAAGCATTTGAATTAAAATTACCATCTTGAATTCAAATCTGATTTTTAATTTTTTTTWATTTRGTGTGCATTGGAAGAGGRGTGGTCTTATACGGCGAGTATATCCCAAACTCTATATTTTAACTGAAAAAATTGGGGGTCGTCTTATACGCCCAGTCGTCTTATATGCCGGAATATACGGTATCTATCTATCTATCTATCTATCTATCTATCTATCTATCTATCTATCTATTTTTGGCTGGAGTGACACTTAAAATATGCATATGTTCCAACTTACATACAAATTCAACTTAAGAACAAACCTACAAAACCAATCTTGTTCATAACTTGAGGACTACCTATCGTGACATATGCTCTCTAAAACACATACATGATGACAGTCTGATCATTACATACTTCATCACTGGTAACATCTAAATCCTTGGCAAGGAGAGCCACACATAGCATACACTGTTGTTGTTTAACTGCCACCAAGATGACTTCAACTTTAGCAACTCTATGAATGTGAGATCTCCAAGTCGCAATATCATCAGATCTCAGTCTCAGGGCCATGGCTTCCTTCACTGAGTCCATTCATTCATAAAACAGTGTCATTCTATTCCTGTTGCCCTCTATCTTCCCAAGCATTATCATATTTTCTAGTGAATCATGCCTTCTTATCGAAATTTGAAAGCCTTAGCATAGTTTCTTTGGAGAGTTAAGCTTTCATTTGCTTTGCTGTTGCTAGCTACTGTCAAATCAACTTTGACTTGTGTCGATCCTATGAATGAGACACCTCTAAGTGACCCCATGATCAACAATCTGGCTCAGGTCTCGCGGACTCAGGGTCTGTGGCCTCTTTGATTGAGTCCATTTATCTGGAATGTGGTCTCCCTCTTTTCATACAGCCTTCTACCTTGTCAAAACTGTTGTCTTTTCTAGTGAGCCATGTTATGCCCCAAGTATACAGCCAAAGCGTTTACCTTTAGCAGCTGACAAGGTGTTTGTCCAAAATTGTTAATCATCCCTTCCAAAGCTTTCCTTTCTTTCTCATCCGTCAAGGCATCCAAATCTACAGCTCCTGGAGGTGGTAGGAAATGGGAAATAATAAACGAAGTGAAAAAAAGATTCAAGACAGCACTCTGTGGACAACTCTGCATGTATTCTCTATCAGATATCACACTGGCCCGAATCCCACTGTTTAATTTCAACTCAAGACAACCAATTGAATCAATTGCTCAGTGGTATGTTAATGCTTATCTACAGCCTGTTAACTCAAGTGATCTACTTTAGTTGACACTGCCAATATAATGCATCCTTTTATATTTTAATTGACTTAAAATCACATGTTAAGCTCTAGTTAAAACTTATAAGAGCCATTGAATCTAGAGATGACCCATTGTATCATTTATTCAGTGATGAGACAACACTTATTTAATTTCATTAACTTAATCATTCTAATCTAGTGGACACTATCAATAGGATACAAACCATTCATATTTTATTTTGCTTAATATTACATACAAAAAGAGGTAGGAACACAAAAGCTTCTATCGCCTTCCAGCAGACTTGTCAGAGAAGGCAAATTTTGTTTATTATAAATGCAGAAGAAACCATGTCAAATCTTTATGAGCTAAGAACTGTGCCATAAGTGTCATAATTTTGCGACAAGGAAGCTTACAGACAATCTCCACCACACTCTCCTAGAGAAGAGGCAGGTAACAAATAAATGTATTATTATTATTATTATTATTATTATTATTATTATCATTATCATTATTATTATCATCATCATTCACATATTAATACATGAGAAGAAAATATGGTACCTTCATAAGTACAGTAATAGAAAACATTAAATGCCTCTACTGCAGCTGGTCCTCTCTGTTTATATCCAAATATTAGATCTATCCATTCATGCAGATGAGCAGAGACGTATTCTGACTCCTAAGACAGACAGAAAGTAAATTCTTGAGAATAGGAAATCCTTCTTGTCAGCTTTGCTCTTGTTAAAAATAACAAAAGAGATACAAAACACCAACTGGAGAAATATTTACCATGCACAAGTTCAATTTTTCAAAAGGAGTGTTATTTACCCATTTACACAACAAGTATCATAAAGATCCTCAAATGCGGATGTATATACAAGTATACTGGCAAGTGCAAAAAAGGGAGTTAACATTGAAGTATTAGAAAACACTGTGAACCAGTAATCTGTCTAGGGGAAAAAACAAATGAAAAACCAGCTTACAAGAAAAATGCATCTTGTATTAAAGCTAGTATTCAGAGAGATAACATCCGATTCCGTGCAGGCTTCCAAACTAGGAGGTAATGCTCTCCATACCAATGTAGTAATATATTTGATCACATACTAGAGTTACATCTCACTTATCTTCCCAAAATAAAACTGAAGCTTGTAACACTATTAAATAAAAGAATCATGTTTTTTTTAAAAATGAACAAATAAAAATAGAAGCAACTTTTTACAAAAGTAAAAAACACAACATCAAAAATCCTTGTATCTCCAAAACATAATCATAACAAAATATTTTTTTATAAAAAACACAGGGAGATTTCAAATAGTGATTTAGAAAGAGAGAACTGCTTTAAAGGGTTTGGACGCAACACTAATCCAGGAAACCATCAATTATCTGGTTATTTTTTGCCTCATAGACCCCAAATCCCTTTCCCAATGGCACTCCTGGATTTTATAGACCAAAACATCTGTTGGAATAAAGGTATCAATCACTGAAACACAAATGGAAGCTTTTCTTTTTCTCGCAGTCACATCATAGGGAGGTGACAAACAACAAGGAAGCTCCTCAGAAATGGGAGGGACAGGAAGTACAGTTCCCCAAAACACCCAAACAAACAAATCAAGCCACATTAATCAAATAAAGATGTTTTTCTGGCCCTGGTTGGGAGAAAACAAGGTTTTATTTCTGCCGGAGTCCACACAATTCCTGAACCGGAATGGGGCAAGAGTACAATTTTTACAGCTGTTTTGTTTCCTTTGCATCTGCGGCTTAAGATGTAGTTGATGTTTAGATGAGACAACCCAGTTATCCGCAGATAAAACACTATTTTCTATATAAAAGTCAAAACATTAGTGCAACAAACAAACAAATAATAGATATCATTCCCTTGGCTTTGATCAGCTCTCACTTTAAATGGGAAAATGTTTATTGTATTATTTTTATTACAAATAAATAAATAAACACACAGCTTTATTTATTTATCACATTCTAATAAAGATGGAGAATTCTGGAAAGTAAAGTATAGGCAGTCCCCAAGTTACAAACATCCTGCTTACACACAACTCATAGTTAAGAACGGGGGTGAGACAACAGGAGGTGAGAAAAATCTGCCCTGAGGGACAGAAAGTGAGGCAAAATCTTCTGATCAGGGGCACAAGCAACAAAACAAACACTACAGGGGTGTTAACCCTTCCCTATGTAATGGCGCTCCATGCAGTCATGCCAGCCACGTGACCTTGGAGGTGTCTACGGACAATGTGGGCTCTTTAGCTTAGAAATGGAGATAAGCACCACTCCCCAGAGTCAGACACGATTAGACTTAATGTCAGGGGAACTTTACCTTCACTTTATCTATGTTAACCAAACCTTTTTATAGGCTGGAGTTACACTGAAAAAATGTACCTGTTCCAACTTACAAAAAAATTCAATTTAAGAACAAACCTACAGAACCTATCTTGTTCCTAATTTGAGGAGGACTGCCTATACTACCATAAATATGCAGTTCTTATCCTTGAGTCCCTTGTTTATGTGCTACATTGTACAGAAGAGAATGCAAATCTGCAAACAGGAGGGCAGGAAGCGTTCTCAAAACCTTTTCCAGTTAATTGTTTACATCAGGGCTGTCAAACCCATTTTCACTGAGGGACACATGAGCTTTATAGTTTCCTTAAAAGGGCCTTTTGGAGTTGTAAGACTGTATAAATTGATGCATGGTATATTGCCCTGACATTGAAAGCCTTGTGGTCCACATAAAATAATGTTGTGACTGGATTTGGCCTATGGGCCTTGCGCTTGACACATGTGGTTTACATCATTACTACTGCAAGGACTCAGCCCGGTTAAAACAGACACAGACATGTCTATGTGTGATTTCCTTTGAGAAGTATCTGGATAAAGTTTGCATCTTAAATCCGACTCCATCTTCAGTTGCACATATCCTTCATTTCCACTCAGAAAGTCACTTTATCCTTCTTGGCCAATGTGCTATCAGTATGTGTGTGTGCGCGCACACTGATAGCACATATAGTGTTCTCTGTTTCCTCCACCCAGGGAAACAGGGCAATAACTTACCAAAGCTTTCCTGTGTTTATAAATGAAGTCCTCTGGGGAATGTGCCCATTTTGGGAGAACAACATCATTCACGGGCTCTTTTGAGATCTGTAGTTGACCCAGATTGAAATCTGTAGAGTGCAGATAAAACAACATGGTTTCCACAATGGACCATACGAAACAAACAAACATTTATCAAACGTTCCTATTGCCAAAGCCAAATAAAAAAGGGGCACTCAATACATTATCAGAAAAAATCAATTCAGGATCTGATTTTCTATCACCTTTTATCTATGGGATCATGACTGTAGCCAAGCATCTTATGTAATATAATGCAGTGTCCATTAGGAAAACATGTTCATTAGGAAAACGTGTCCATTAGGAAAACATGTTCACCTCACTACCTCTGAGGATGCTTGCCATAGATGCAGGAGAAATGCCTCTAGAACATGGCCCTATAGCCCGAAAAAACCCACAAGAACCTAATGTTCATTATTGGCTTGATGCCACTCACTGTTTTGGTTCTCCAAAAACTCTGGGAAGTAGAAGAACTCTGGGATCAGCTCCTTCACATCATTCGGATTCTCCATGAGGGCCTGCCATGTAGAGGAAATGGAGTGGAACTGCCGATCTGCACAGTCAAATCTGTGGGTTAGGAAACACACAATTGAATTCCGAGAAAGCTTGGAATATGGTTTCAAATTCTTAAAACAAGTTGTCCTTCATTTATATCTAAAACACAACTGCGCTAAGATTGCACCCACAAGACACAGCCCTCTGTGCACATCTTCTGCATAATCATTTAAATCAGGAGTGGGCAAGTACAGTGTGGCCAGAGACCAATATCATGCCCCCAGGGATATCCTGGGGGAGTCACAGACTGCACAAAATGCCAGAAAACAATGGGGGCAAAGATTGGAATTGGCTGGAAGTCTGCTTTTTGCTTTAAGGGTTTTTTTTTTAAATGTTAAACAGTTTTGATGGGGAGGTTTGCAAACAGTGAACTACACTACTTTCCCCACAGAACAACTCTATCCACCTCATCATATGGGGCTAGAATTGGTGGCAGACAATGTCATGCCTGTACCTGTCTCTATGGGGGGAAGCCACGCACTCCAACTCCCTCCCCCATGTGGTCGGGCCTCCCAGCTGGTGATACAAGGCATAGGGCACCAGATTCTCTATGCCTCGTGGCAAAGCAGAGCACCACCATCTACTGCTGCCAGCTGTCTGATGAGGTCATATGAGGTAGATTCGTTATGGATGAAAGCTCCTGCATGGATGAGGGACATTTAAACCAAGGTTTTCTACATCTAAACTAGGGGTGAAACACTCAAAACTGGCAGTGTTGCTGCCAGGCTGGCCTTGTTGCTGCCTGTCCCTCTGATAATTGGATTTTGAAAAAATTTGGCTTGTTGTGGAAAAGGTTGGTGATAAAGCTTCAGTGGAGACCCCTTTTCCCCATGCTAATAACTCTTCCAGGACGCAGGGACCAGAGGAAAGCTACCCTTCTCTATAATTCCTGGAAGTTCTCACTGACAGTAGTAGATTGTAGACAGGCCTAAGAGGGCCTTGTCATTGCTCTCCTCAAGGCCAGCCTGGCAGCAACAGGACAAGGAGGGCCTCGCCATTGCCCTCCTCAAGGCTGGCCTGGCAGCAACAGGCCCAGGAAGGCCTTGCCATTACCTTCCTCAAGGCCGACCTGGCAGCAACATGCCCAGGAGGGCCTTGCCATTGCTCTCCTTAATGCCACCACAGCATCAACAGGCCCAGGAAGGCCTTGCCATCACTCTCCTCAAGGCTGGCCTGGAAACAACAGGCCCAGGAAGGCCTTGCCATCGCCCTCCTCAAGGCTGCAGCAGCTCCAGCCAATTTATTGTTGTTTGATGTTTGTTTGTTTTGGCAATGAATGTTTGTCACTTTGTTCTTTTGTCTGTAAACTGCCCTGAGTCCCTTTGAGGAGATAGGGCAGTATATAAATATTGTTGTTGCTGTTGTTGTTGTTGTTGTTGTTTTGTTGTATCTTTACTATCTCTCAGCAGAGATTTCACATGGCAAAGACTCCTCTTGGGAAGCAGACAGGGGACACATCTGCATCAACCCTTACATCAATTTCAAACCAGCATAGAAGAAAGTTGTGGGCAGCTTAGTAGACTGGAAATGCTGGTTAAATGGCTAGAGCAAAGCTTTCCAAACATTTCATGTTGGTAACACACCTTTTAGACATGCCTCATTTCCTGACACAATAATTCACTTTTACTAGCAACTCAGGCCCCTTCTACACTGCTCTATATCCCAGGATCAGATGCCAGATTATAAAGCACCACAAGATGCAGAGCCAACGTTCAGAAATGGGGCTACAAAGTGAAATCCTCGACATGCGAATGTGGAGAGGAGCAAACTACTGACCACCTGCTGCAATGCAGCCTGAGCCCTGCCACATGCACAATGGAGGACCTTCTTGCAGCAACACCAGAAGCACTCCAAGTGGCCAGATACTGGTCAAAGGACATTTAATCAACTACCAAACTCACACATTTTGTATTTTGTCTGTCTGTTTGCTTTGTTCTGTTAGAAATGTAATATAATTGACTGGTTGCCCTGACACGACAAATAAATAAAATAAATAAATGGCAGTGGAGACTCATATACATCAGTTCAAAGCAGACAATCTGGAATCAGATCCTGGGATAAAGACCAATGCACATCCAGCCTTAGAGGTTAAAACAACCCCTTATAAGAGATACGGACACATGCATGAATGATAATAATGAGATTTATGGGGACACAACGTATATAATGAAAACCTTCTATTTATATTATGATTTATTGCTTATTTCGCATAGACTCAGTCGTTTCCCCTTATACTAACGCCACAAGCTACATTAGTTTCAAACTGACAAATACCTGTATATTTGTATTTTATTTTAAGAGGACTAGACGTATGTTATATGTTGCGTTTGCACTGTCTGTTTTTGATAAGGCCAACTGGCTAATCAATAAAAAATGTTCTGTTCCTTATACTTACGCAACACACTTACAAGCTGCAGCCAACACACTAACAACAGTTTGGAAAGCTGTGGTCTAAAGTCTGTCTTTGAACCACTTCCAAGATTTGTAGTAGCCGGTTTGCCAGCTTGGAGATCTTTTTTCTCAACTTCTCTCACCAGAGTATGAATATGTGGATCAGTGAAGGACTTTGGGTTTCTGCACAACAATTCACACTCTGCTGAGTTGCTTCCACTGTGTGATGTTATTTATATTGGAGGACTGGTGTACACTAAGGGCTCCATTTTTATCTATTCTCGGAGTTTGCTTGTATCAGTTTAAAGCAAGCATGGGCAAACATCGGCCCTCCGAGCATTTTGGACTTCAACTCTCACAATTCCTAACAGCCTACCAGCTGTTAGGAATTGTGGGAGTTGAAGTCCAAAACACCTGGAGGGCAGAAGTTTGTCCATGCCTGGTTAAAATACTTTAAAGCATGCTGCAGCATGCTTTCACAGTATGTGTTGAATGCTACCACACTTTCAAGCTGACTTCAAGTTGCAGTAAATGGTCAGTGTACATGTCCCCACGATCAAGAGAGCCTCATGCAAACCAGATTCTGACCATCTGGATTGCTCTTGTGGTTCAAATATCCTGCTTTCATTACTTTGAACAGTAAAACCAGTCATTTTCAACTCTATGTTTGGTATGGGAGACAGGTTATACTGGAAGTTCAGCTTCCAATTGATAAGAGAAAGGTATTCTTGTTCTGTCAGAAGAAAGACTTTTGAGAGATTTATTGTTATGATCAAAGGTCCGTAAGACTTCCCATAACATCAACGAGAAAAGGGATTTCTTTGAAATATCTGTGGACCCATCATAACACATTCAGATAATCCGATTAGAGGAAAATAGAGGAAAAATAAAATATTCAAGGCAAACATGTTTTACAGAAAGATAACGATTCAACAGTAAAAGAGACAACAAGAATCAAAGCTTTTCCCATTTGTTCATTTCATACCTGCCACTCTGAAGCTGGATGTGCAATGTGGTAAAAGGTTCTACTCGAATGAGGTAATGCATCACTCCGGCCGCATTGGAGTAGTGAGTGCCGTAGTGGAACTTGTCAACGATTCCAAGAGGATCCTCAAAGTTTTCATACCTAAAATGATGAGGGAGGGAAAAAGTGTTCTCATTACTCTGGGACTGGCTGTAGATATCAAGAAGGATGAGAAAAACAGTGGGGTGTTCTGTGATTGTATGGCCGCAGTCTAGCAGCATTTTCTCCTGACGTTTTGCCTGCATCTGAGGATCCTCTAACACTGCCAGCCATGGACACAGGCAAAACACCAAAAGAAAATGATGCTAGAACAGCCATACAGATACACAAAACTCCAGTGAGGATATTCTGCAGCACATTTTGCTATAGTTTTTCATTGAATACTTCACACAATGCAACATAGTTTTCAGCATCCACAAAAACAAAGCTTCTGGAGTAGAACAACTATTTTTAAAATCAGTACCACACAATTAAACAGGAAATGCCACTTTCAAACCAGGAACAGAAAATGCATCTAATTTTGTTGTATAGTACTATCAGAACAGAACAGAAATGAAATGCACATAATAAGGCAATATTGACAAAATACTTTTGAGCAATTAATTATCTTGAAATAAAATACCTTTCCTGTACAGCTTTGACATTCTTTTCATTTGCCACACCAATAGGTTTGGACAAATCTCGAAATATGGCGGGATTATTCAAATCCAGTTCTTCTGATGTGTAATCCCTTAGGATCCATGGAAACTTGAAGAAGGAAGAAAAGAGGTCTTATTCTAATCTGGTATTTCTTTAATAATAAAAGGCTAACATTGTATCTGTATTTGTAATGTATCTGTAATGGACCAAAAAAACTTACTACAGGATATTGTGCAAGGTCATTGTAGGTTCGTCCCGCCATAGTATTTAATTGAATGAGGTAGTCAAAGTTGGAAATCTCTCTGTTCACCCATTTCTAAAGAACAAACAAATGCAATATCGTAGCTATTAACACACAGGACAGGAAATCACACATCTTACCAATATTTCAAATAACCAGAAGCTAGACAATTTATCCTGACATTAATTAAAAACAGAATTTCCAGGCCATTTCTGGTAACATCATCCTACCTGGGTGAGTCCTGATGCTTTAAATAATTCTTGGGGAGATCTGGTCCCACTTATATTAGGAGAGCAGAGAGACAGAACTCGGCTATACACTTTATTTCTTGCCTACAAAAAAAGAAGGTACATGGCATGACTCGTCCAATAAAATGCCAAGAAACTGTTCTGAAATGAATGGGCATTTCTCCCTAAATGCACACATAAACACATACATCGATTTAGCCAAACATTTTCTACTTCCACTTTCCGAAAAATATAAATTGCCTTTTCAAAGGCCACTTCAGAAACTACATAAACCTAATTAGCATGCAACACAACAGCTTAACCAAAATAAATGCATGTTCTTGATGTTCATTTACCTTTTGCTTAAAGCATTAGATATTCCTAAAAATATTTCAAACCATTAGAATTAAAAAAAATAGATCTTCACACCTTACACTACAATAAGGCACAGTCCATCTGTGACATCTTTCTAAAGAGCTGAATTTCTGGGTCTGCTATAAATGGAAAAGATGCCAGAGACTGGCATAAAAATGATTACAGTGATCTTTAAATATGATTTCAAAAGACTCAGAAAGTATTACTTGTCACAGCAATATGGGAACTCCTTTATTGTTTTTCAAATGCAACTTCTATATGCCATCATTATCTCCCAGCTCCTTTAGGAGATCACTGTAAGCCAACCATGGCATTTGTAACTTACAGTAGCATCTCGCTTATCCGACATAAACAAACATCAGATAAACAAAAATGACAGATAATACGGAGTCTCTTATTGTTACCCGTCCGACCCGGCGCTAGACACCTAGAATACTAACAACAGAGACTCAAAGAATTAAGGCAAGGCAAGACCTCGGGGCTAGAACAGCCCAGCAGGAAGTGCCCAAATGCAGAAGAGGAGTGTGGAAATCACAGAGCGAAGGAGGGAGGACACTTCCACTTCCGGTCCTGCCTCTTTCCCCCCCTTCCTCCCTCCTTCTCCTCCTCGTCTTGCCTTTTTCACTTATTGAGAATGGAGAGAGAGTTGGGGAGCACTCCTTTAATTGAAGGGGAAATACTGGAAGAAAAGAGGGTGTCAGATAAGAACGTCGGATAAGAAGGAATGTTGAATAAGCAAAGATCGGATAAATGAGACTCTACTGTATTACTTTCAAGCTCTAGCAGGGAAGTATTACATTTGGGTGCATATATGTTTTTACTCAAAAAGCATAATGAGAAATGTTTTTGAATTGTGCAGCTGACTTGAAACTCCACATTCTTTAACTATGAGGTTGTGTTGTTGTTATTGTTGTTGTTGTTGTTGTTATTATTATTATTATTATTATTATTATTATTTGAAACACAACAAGATGAGTCCAAAGCAGACAAGATCACTCTACTGGCTGTTGTATTGGATCATACGTTGGTCACTTCCTAAGTGTCTAGGACTGTGTGATGTATCAGCGAATAATGTGTGCAGATCCCTGAACAAGGTGACCTTCTGCATCTGGCAGATGGTAATCTTGTCAGCGCCGATTGTGTTTAAATGCAGGCCAAGGTCTTTCGGTACTGCACCCAGTGTGCTGATCACCACTGGGACCACTTTGACTGGTTTGTGCCGGAGTCTTTGCACTTTGATTTTATTATTATTATTATTATTATTATTATTATTATTATTATTAATGCCCTGTTTTTTCTCTCTGCCAGGAGATTCAAAGAGGCTTACATTAAAAGCATTTCAATACAATTTAAAATCTGCACATATACAAACATTAAAACAGAATTAATTATTATTGGTAATCATTAGAAGTAATCTTGCAATGAGAAAAGGTATCTGAAGAATTTCATTCTAAATGAGTATTCTGCAGGAAGGATCTTTAACAATACATACCTCCTTTTTGAAATTTAGGAAGTAGTTCGTCTGGTCAATAAAGAAGATCTCCAAGGCTGATCTCCTTAAGTTATAGCGACGCAAGTGAATCTCTCGAATTTGAGAAAGAGGCCACTTAAAATCAAAACCGATACCTGGAGACAGAAGATCTTCAGTTATTATTCTGAAATATGTTAATTGAGTATGCAAATACTGCTGTCATAAAAGACAAAGAAGCTTGGTATAAAGTGGTTCAGAAAAGATCAGATGCCTATAAAAAAGACAAATGCTATTGTAAATGAAAATCCTAAAACTTTTCTGGAAAAGTGTCTACAATTCTAAAACAAAGATTTTTGGTATACTCAGTACTTCATGATTCCCATTATTAAGCATTTTCTCTTCCCAATAACCAAGTGTAAAGTGGAGTTACTGCCCATACGTTTTTCCCCACGTAAAGCAGGATTGCAAGTGGATGTTGAAATAATATTTTAAATAATACATTTCACGTCCATTCAAAACTTGATATCAGACAGTATGGGGCTGAGTGATACCAAGAAAGTCTGTCCGAGGCATTACCTTCCTCTTTCTCAATGCTTCCATCATAAAAATAAATATGTTGCGTAGTGACCTCCAGTTTGCCAGGTATTACATTAATTATTGTAATAAGTTCACAGTCTTCAGACAGCACTAGTTTCTCTTTCTGACTTTGTTCTTCCTTCTCATCTCTGAAACAACAAAACCAAGTAACAGGCTCAAACAGTAACATGAGTTGCAGAACTTACAAGAAGGCAAAATACCCTTCAGCACATTTTATGTTAGCACTCTATCCTTATAAAGCTCTGGTTACTTATCCGCAGGGAAAAGATGGGAACTCAAGAGTGCTCCCAGACTAGACTTTCAATATGTGATCATTCTACATCATTGTCACAGGAGTTTCGAGACAACGTTGTCTGCAATTTACAACCTTACCAAGTTCCTCCACTGCTTCCTCCACTTTTTTTTCCTTATCATAGAATTGTGATTAAGAAGGAGAAGAAAGTTTCACAATGACTTTGAATTGATAGAACAATGAGCCATCCATCTGGAAGCTCATTCTGTCTGAGAAACAGATTTCATTCCCAGCCTTAATTACAGTTGAGGGCTCAAATATCCACCAATCTTGTGGTTAGCACTAATCAGGATATACATTCTTGACAGGATTCTCTAATGCATTTCAGAACCTCTTAAGTGGGAACCTGCGGTGGCCAAGAGCACCTTTGCACATTTAATATTGTAACATCAACTGCATCTTTTCCTAGAGATGCTGGATCTGGCCATAGCGATACATGCCTTAGTACATTCCATTTGGATTACTGCAATGTGCTCTACACGGGGCTGCCTTTGAGGAATAGTCGGAAAGATCAGCTGGTCCAAAGAGCTGCGGCCAGACTGGTAACCAAGACTGACTATAGGGAATGCACAACCCCCTACTGCAACAACTCAATTGGCAGCCAGTTTGTTTCTGGGCACAATTCAAAGTGCTGGTTGTGAACTTTAAAGCCCTAGACGGGTCAGGTCCAGGCTATTTGGCTGATAGTATCTCCTTGAATGAACCAGCTCAGGTCCTGAGGTCTTCTCTCGGTCTCATCTTCATCTCAAGCTCAGTTGGGGGGAAGGAGAGAGAGAGCCTTCCCTTTCAATGGCTGCCCCTTGACTCTGAATCTCCCTTCTTCCAGGGAAGCCTGAATGGCCCCCTCCCTGCTGTCCAGCAGCAGGCTAAGATCTTTCTTTCGAGGCAAGCTTTTAAAGATATTTTTAAGATACTAGCCAGGGGGTGTTATGTCATGTAGTTTAATGATTTTATTGATTTTTAATAAGTGCCATATTTAATTCTATTTTAAAGTTTATATGCTTTAGATTTTAATTTACACATTGCATGTGTTAAAATGGCGCTCCATGCAATCATGCCAGCCACATGACCTTGGAGGTGTCTATGGACAACGCTGGCTCTTCAGCTTAGAAATGGAGATGAGCACCATACCCCACAGTCGGACACGACTGGACTTAATGTCAGGGGGAAACCATTACCTTTACCTGCATGATTTCTACTATTAGCCACTTTGAGTCTCATTTGAGAGAGATAACAGAATATAAATACTAATAATCAAGGACTAAATGACAAGCCAATCCCATTTATGCAAATCTCACTAGACCAGTGGTTCTCAACCTGTGGGTCCCCAGATGTTTTGGCCTTCTATTCCCAGAAAGCCTAACAGCTGGTAAACTAGTTGGGATTTCTGGCAGTTGTAGGCCAAAACACCTGGGGACCCACAGGTTGAGAACCACTGCTTTGGGTCTATCTAGATCAGTTTCAATTTAGGTCAGTTCAACAAAGGCTGCCTTAGGCTTTCTTGAAAGCAGTAACTTATTTATTTATTGGATCTGTACCCTGCTTCTCTCCCAGGTTGGAATCGAAGGTGACTGCATGTGAAACCCTTACCAAAACTGGAAAAAAAATGGCAAGGGCGTTTTCTGATTTCTTGTTCCTTTTTTCAAACCAAAATACTGAGCATGTCTAACATCCTGAAAAAAGTATTAAATAGCCTTTTAGATCCTAGACCTTGCCTTCCCACCTCAGGCTACATACATGTTTGCAATGGATGCTGGATCTTCATCTGGCAGTTCAAGGATATCATCTTCCATATCATTGACTTTCACTTGCTTCACAGCCTCCAGGAGCAAAGTCTCACTCGATGGCGGCATTTGCTGCACCCCTTTTGGAAGAAAGTGAGGTTACCAGGTAAACAAAGCCAGTCATTTCATTTGTGAATGAAGTAACTGCTTGAGGACAAAATTGTTGCTTTCCAACACCCTGTTCCTATCAAATTTCTACTAGGAATTTTCAACCACAAGGTACAGTGATAGCTACCACCTTAGGTGGGACTTGACAAATTTATGGAAGACAGTGTTTTTTAATGGCATCATCAAAATCATCATAGGCTGAGTATGATTGTCTTCGAGAAGTAGAGTCTTGGTGATGGGTCTGTAAGTGACTGTAGAGACCTATTCTGGATCCGCATGGTCTTTCGAAGTAAGGACAGAGATTTCCAGATGGAAGGCGGTTCTGACAAGAGCTTGAAGTGCCTTCCTCTTGATGCATTTCTTCCTTTCACCCTCCATTTGTGCCTCTTCAAATTCCACAGCACTGTTGGTCACAGCTGACCTCCAATTAGAAGGCTTGAGGACCCAGGCTTCCCAGTTCTCGGTGTTTGTTCCACATTTTTTAAGGTTGGTTTTAAGCCCAACTTTAAATCTCTTTTTCTGTCCACCAACGTTATGTTTCCCTTTCTTGAGTTGGGAATATAGTAATTGCTTTGGGAGACGGTGATCGGGCATTAGGACAACGTGGCCAGACCAGCGGAGTTGGTCGCGAAGGATCATCGCTTCAATGCTGGTGGTCTTTGCTTCTACCAGCACACTGATGTTTGTCTGCCTGTCTTCCCAAGAGATTTGCAGGATTTTTCTGAGGCAATGCTGATGGAATCATTCTGGGAGTTGACTGTGACATCTGTAGACAGTCCACATTTTGTAGGGATATAACAGGGTTGGGAAGACAATAGCTTTGCTGATGAATGTCCTGACTCTCAAACACTCTCTGCTTCATTCAATGGCTATTGATCATGGATATTAGCTAAATTTCATGGTGATGATCCTGTATACTAATTACTGAGGAATATGAAGGGAAGATCCCATATGCTTATTTATTTATTTATTCATTTCATTTCATTTCATTTCTACCCCGTCCTTCTCACCACAAAGGGGACTCATTTATGTTATGACGGATATCCGGAAAGTAAGGTTACAAGGCTTCCTGATTCAAATTACCCACGGGCAGAATGCTAGAATACATAAACTTTCCAACTGACCCATCCTGATCTTCTACCTGCCGTGTTCTCAAGTGAATTACATTGTAATCCATTTTACATGAAAAAGGCTGATTTACTAAGAATATATATGTATGTATGTGTGTATCTGTGTGTATGTGTATATATACACACACATACACCTACACATACAAAACACCTACAAAACACGTTATACCAAAAAGAATAATAATACAACAATGTGAAATGAACAGAGTCACTGTAATATCTTACCGAGATTGTCTCTAAGGGCACTGGCATCCAGGTGAGAGTTGAAATTGTAATTCTGTACTAATTTTAGCCTCATTTGTGAAAAATTTTCCACATTTGAAAGTTTCCAGTGAGTAACATTTGGTTTCCTGATTAAAAGAATAAATCCAAAAAAAGGTTGAAATATGCCATACACATCACTAACTGCTATAGCAATTAATATTGAAAAGTCATGAAATAATAAAAGAAACATGGGTTTCAAAGTTCCCAGACCTGATTATTTCTCATTACGGTATTTCTTTGTTTTTAAAACACACTTTTTCCCATACAAGCATTTCTAAAAATGGGATACATCTTAGAATTGCAAGTGATTTTTGCATACATAAATAAAAAGGGGGGGGGGGTTATGTTGGTGGTACCAAAATTAGTGTGCATCTTACAATCGATGTCATCTTAAAATTGATGAAAAACAATATTTATCTGGACCTAAATCTAATTACTAATCCTAACTTTTAAAAAGTCTCATTAAATAAATGGGACTGTCATTGGTGTTACTAAGTTCCCATTGGCTTTCTGAGTCTATTGTAATGTGTATTAGGCCTTGTTTTATCTGCACATTCAAAGTCCCTCCCTCAGCAACAATTCAACTGCCTGAATAAAAAGGCCATTATCTATAATCAAGATCAAGGACTGCTATGATGGGGAGCTGCTTTTCCACGCAATCTTCCTACACAACTCCAGTACAATGGAAAAGATGAAAGGATTGGGGGGGGGGGGAGTTGGTTCTTTCCCATATAACTACAACCACTTAGGCTTGAGCAGAAAATGACCAACTGATGCAATAATGACATCCAATGAGTATCTGATGCAATAGTGACATCCAATAAGCAACTGTACAATGCTGACAATGCTCTCCCAGAATAATGATATCATCAGCCAATACTTGTGGTGGCCTTCCTGGGATCCTGGCAGATGATGTCAGCATTACATCTGATACTGTATCTGTCAACATTGGATTTGAATTGCACCTCTCCTTGATTCAGGTTAAGTTGAATATAAATGTAGCTAATTAATTTGGCAATTGTACAGGGAAGAAACGATGAGACACTATCTGACCAAGCAAGAGAGAAAAGAGCACCTCCTCCTACCTTTCGGCCCAGGGACCCTGTTCACAAGTGAGGTAGAGTTTGGTGGCCCTCCACTGCCTCAGGGTTGCCGTGTGCTGGTTATTCAGCTGTTTCAGCATGCTATTGTAACGCATATTTTCCTGCCGTGACCTTCTGTTAAATGGCTCCACAAAAAACTCCTGTAGCGAAATAAAAACCAAAAAAAACCCCACAAACATTTATTATAAATCTCTATAAAAAGACAACCAAAACTGTATCAGAGATACAGAATCAAGGTTATTCTCTGAATTTATTACACTATGTAAAGAAATTTGAAAATTTGTCTGTTTTAGACTGAAAATATTATACCTGCTTAATTGTGCAACCCTTACTTTGAAAGTAGTTTTTCTACTTTCATGTTTAGACCCAGGTTCCATTTCCAAGATATCTCATTACGTATGTAGATGCAAAGGTAAGTATTGAAAGGGGAAAAAATCCAAATATTCTGCTTTCAAACATTTCAGATAAGGGACATTCAACCTGTATCACCCTTCCAGATACTACCCCAAAAAGAATGCTTATACTTTGCATTGTCAGAACCAGTCTTTCATAAGCCTATATACGGGGTACCATCACCCTTGCATCAGAAAAACATTCTACAGCCAGAAAATAACCGTATCAGATGAATTCCTGAGCAATTCATTCTCTGCTTACAAACAACATGGCTTTACCTGGAATTTGAGCTTGCTTTCTCCTCGTTCCCGCTCCCGTTTATGGATGTTCACCATCAGTGCCTCGTAGCAATCTTTCCAATATACTGCCATATTTTCATGACCATCGCTGAAAGTGCTGAGTTCATACTGCTTCATATTTGGAATAATCTGGTGCACAAAGGGCAAAGGGATTTTAAAAAAACAAGCTTTTTTTCTTCTGCCAGAGAAAGGAAAGCACAAAGAGGCAATAAAAGAATTGTAACTTACATATTTAGCAATGTAAACCTGCCATTCATCAGTGCTGCAATAGTCCTGGAAGTCCTCAAAAAAGGAAGGGCTTCCATTAGTAGAAGGCAGGGATGGTAAGTGCAAGTTCATAAACAGAAGGTCGTATATTTTAGAAACTAATGTCCGAACGAGAGGGATCAAGAAGGAATATGTTTCTGTCTTTTCTCTGATAGATCTGCTCAGGATACCTTCCAACTTGCCCAGGAGGTAGCAGGACTCTGCTTGGTTGTCAAAGGCTTTGGTCTGAAGAAGGGTGTTGAGCTTGGCTGCAGCCATAGCACAAACCTGGAGAGCAAGGAAAATAAAGAGAAACCCATTCACTCATATCCTTAACAAACTATACAAAATCACACAAAGCTATTTCAGGGTGGACAACTACGTCCTTCCAGATGTTGTTGGGTTGCAGCTCTCATCAGCTCTACCTAGCACAGGCAATGGAGTAGAAATATGGGTGGTGTAGTCCAAAACATCTGAAGGGATACAGTTGCCCACTTTGGCACACAGTCAAGGTAGTTTTCCAGTCTTCTATCTCAACACTAACAAAAACTAAATCTGTTTGTCTTATTGGATCACATGCCAACTATAATACACCAAGACCGCCAGCATTAAAGGAGAGGATAGCATTTGATAACTCACCTTCTACAGATCACGACACATCTTCTATTAGACCAGTGGTTCTCAAGATGTGGGTCTCCAGATGTTTTGGCCTTCAACTCCCAGAAATCCTAACAGCTGATAAAGTGGATGGGATTTCTGGGAGTTGCAGGCCAAAATACCTGGGGATTTTGGGTTAGGGTTAGGGTTAGGGTACCGCTGTTGAGAACCGCTGTATTTGACACTTTCCTTCATAGTTTTGTATTAGAAAACTTGTGACAAGCCAAAGAAATAACCCCAGAATAAATCATATGAGTTTCTCAGAGCCCTGGTTTATCTTGACATGTGAAGTGAGCTAAAAAAAACAAGCGGCATCCATTTGCTACTTTAAATAAATCATAATTTCTACTTGAATCTATATATATGAATCTATGGTTTATCCAAACCATTGTTTCACATATATAGATTGAAGTAGAAATTATTATTTCTTTAAAGTAGCAAATGGGTGCCCCTTATTTTTTAGCCTACTTCACATGTCAAAATAACCTATATTCTAGAAATCAAGAGTGTACAAGTAACTGAGGTTTGGTCCAAACTATAAAATGAAATCTATAATTGTGCATAAAGAAGAGAAAAAGGAGTGCAGGAAAGATCATGTCTGATGCTCGTCAAAACATATTCTTATCACGAGGAAGCTCAGACTTTTCCACTTCTATAACTAATGTTTCATTACTGGACCACACAAGATCTGGATGGTGCTATTTTCTGTTCCTTTCCATGGCTTCAAATTATATCACATTACTGACAAAACAACAAACCTGTAAATTATCCTGTCCAATGAATCCAAGAAGCAGTTGAATCTGTACTTGAGAGAGCTTCACATACTCCGGACCAGATGGGTACCATACTGACAAAGTATCCATGAGAGTCACCAGTTCTTCCAAAAGCTACGTGAAACAACATTCAGAAATCAAGATAATATAAAAATACTATGCAAGATGGTAATCCCATAAGTAGTCCTTGAGAAAACAAGACAAGACATGTACAACTTAACATCACAGAAACATCAAAATTAGAATAGCTGAGAAACAAACCAACAGGGACATTTTTATTGAACAATGTTATTATGAAGTGCCAACATCCATATTTATAATTGGCAACTATTCTGGAAGGTAAAGTACTTTCAGAAAAAGATTAAATTTCATCCTTTCTCTGTGTGAAAATTTCCAGAGATGGACAGTGAAAAGATACCCTGAATTATATTACTAAAGAAGTTTATTTGCTCAGATCAATTTTTGCAGATGGAACTGGCTTTGATTAAGTTGTGGTGCTTCCTTTTTTGCACTGAACAAAAATTCATATCAGTTAAAATTTGACTTATACTCCAACTCGCACAACATAATGTGCTTTATTTATTTTTGTAATGTGATCTACAGTATATTCTGCCTTTTGCCTCAAAATGAGACTCAGAAAGGGTTTCCAAGCAACTTCTTCTGCTGAAATGAACAGACAGCTATTAAGAGGAAGTGTCCTTGGATCTCAAAAGGTACATTCAAGGTCAATGCCCACCAAACCCTTCCAGTATTTTCTGTTGGTCATGGGAGTTCTGTGTGCCAAGTTTGGTTCAATTCAATCGTTGATGAAGTTCAGAATGCTCTTTGATTGTAGATGAACTATAAATCCCAGCAACTACAACTCCCAAATGACAAAATCATAATTTTTGAGTGACAGTCACTCCTTGTGTTGTGAGACGTTTTGTTGCCAAATTTGGTGTGATTTTCTTCATTGGTTCTTTTGTTTTTAAGGTAATCATTATGCACAGAGCATATATATATATATATATATATATATATATATATATATATATATATATATATGAACGTATTATACATGGAATCTAATTGTTGCCGGTCTGTACGCCACCCTGAGTTGCCTTCGGGCTGAAATGGGCGAGAAAGAAATGACTTAAATAAATAAAATAAATAAAATATGTCTTTGTAAACAGCCATTACTCTGCCAAACTGAGAGCTGGAAAGCACTTGACATCACTGTGTTATGAATTAGCTCCTTGATTTGTCAATTTCTGAAATTAAACTGCCAGCTCTTTGCTTTAAAATGTTTTAAATATTCATTCAAAATTTCCTGATGGATATTCATGAAGTCAGTCCTAAAAATATAACAAATAAACTCACTCTCAGAGCACTCAAAACAAGAGAAAATGGATACAAATAATACATTTCCAGATGAAGCTTCATATGGAAATTAAATCTAAACCCATAACTGTAACACTTCACAGAAAGCTATAGAAAGACTTATCTAAACAAATAAGTTTCATACAAAATTGATGTTCATATTTTTCTCATCAGTTGCCTCTGCCAGATCATGTACTTCTACTTTAAGTTAGAGGGTGACAAGGGAGATCCCATTTCTCAAAGCACTTTCTCTAAGGCTTTGTCCATACCTTTTCTGTCCAGAGACTTGAATTCACAAGACCTTCTGCCTGCAGGAAATCTTGCACAACAAGAAGAAGCCGAAAGGCATTTTCCGCATACACAGGAAGGGACTTGGCATCTCTGCTGTCCGTAACTGCCCATTCAAGCATCTTCTCCAACAGACTAAGTAATAAAAGGAAAACATGGCTACAAAATCAACAACTACCATAAATTCTAATTTAGACCAGATCAGCCACAACAGCATGGTGGTTTGGGCACTGGACTAATACTCTGGGAATCAGGGTTTAAATCCCCGTTCAGCTAACCCATTAATTGATATTTTAATACAGAAATATTAGCTAACTAGTCTTAAAAGGTGGCATATACACAATGTATATAAGTAAACCTGATCATCAACTTACCTGAGTTTTATTTCATCAGATGGTTTCAACAGCTCATTAGATATCCCCAGTTTGGTTAGAGCTGAGAAAACTTGTCCTCTCTCAATCCAAGCAGCATCGTCTGACCTTTCTATGCCTTTCCAAATCACGCAGAGCAGAGCGTCTGTGAGCAACTGTAGAAGGTCGTCTTCACATGCCTCCAAGAAAGTCAGGCATTTAGAAAGTTTAGAATATTTTCAAAAACATACTTATCTCATTTTGCTTTACAACATCTTGTATGTACATCCCACCTATCAGATCAAAAACAGCAATGTGGGTAGATGAATAGGAACTGCATTAAGCGGGAAGGTATTTTAGGCACCGCATTTCGGAGGAACGTTTATGAACAAAGAAAGCTCTTCAGGAAGGAGATGGAGCGTCAGCACTCCCTTGTGGCCAGAACCAAGCACCATCTCCAAAACATTTTTTTTCATGTAAGGAGCGACTTGAGAAACTGCAATTCGCTTCTGGTGTGAGAGAATTGGCAGTCTGCAAGGACGTTGCCCAGAGGACACCTGGATGTTTTAATGTATGCCTTTTCAAATCATGCAGAGCATCTGTGAGCAATTGTACAAGCTTGTCTTCGCATGACTCTAAAAGATGCTGCTTGATGTGAAAAAACCTAAATATACCTTTATCTGTCTATCTGTAAAATAAGCATTGAAAGTTTGCCATATATGTGTTCTGTGATCCACCCTGAGTCCCCTTCAGAGTGAGAAGGGTGGAATATAAGTACTGTAAACAAATAAATACGTGCTTAAATACATGTAAAAACTCCTACTCTCTTGTCACTGAAAACTCTCTTAATATTTTTGTAATTAAATTATTTATCTCAAAATGTATAGGCATTTTTTTGCAAACAGACTTCTAAGATGCTATTATTATTATTTGAATCACAACAAGATGAGTCCACAGCAGACACTCTGCTGGATGTTGAATTGGATCACATGTCGGACACTTCCCAAATGTCTAGGACTGTGGGATGTATTGGCGAATAATGCGTGCAGATCCCAGTAAGGTGGCCTTCTGCAGATGGCAGATGGTAATCTTGTCAGCGCCTATTGTGTTTAAGTGCAGGCCAAGGTCTTTAGGCACTGCAGCTAGTGTGCCTATCACCACTGGGACCACCTTTACTCGTTTGTGCCAGAGTCTTTGCAGTTCGATTTTTAAATCTTCATATTGCGTCATTATTATTATTATTATTATTATTATTATTATTATTATTATTATTACTACTATTTCCCGCTTTTCATCTCCACAAGGAAACTCAAAGCACCTTACATTAAAAACAATTTAAAATCTACAAATATATAAACATTTAAACAGAATTAAATATCATGGTTAATAAAACATTCAGTTAAAATCAAGAAACACACATTCAAACTACAAGGAACATGAATTCGGTTAAGATTTGAGTGACACAAACGTCTAAAGTGTAAAAGAGCAAACAGTTTAAAACTAAGATCTGAGGGGAGTTACAGCAGTTTAACTGTAGGCACTTTCTTAGGTCAGTTACTGAGATTGTTTGGTTGCTTTTCCTCTATCTGGGAAAAGACAGAGGATCGCCCTACATTTTTGTATCAACATCAATCATAGTATTTTAATTCGCTCAATATGGGATGGGTTTTTGGAGGCAATGATTTACTAGTTCCTTTAAAGCCCCAAATAACTTTTGATCCAAATATCTGCAGGAGTCACGAAAGAGAGTCAGCCCTGGTCAGTACTTTGATTAGATACTGCCAATGAATACCAGGTGCTCTAGGCTGCATTTCAGGGGAAGGCACTGGTTATGTTCCCTGTGAATGCTCCCTGCCTGAGAACCTAATGAAATTCATGGGGCCACCATACGTCTACAATGTGAAGGTGCACACACACACACAAAGATTTCTCCTTATACCATCAGAGGAGTATCTCAGGTGCATTGTGTGTCAAAAAGGGGAAGAGCCCTCTAGGTTGTGGCATGCCAATTATAGAATACCCTAAATGTGAAGGTGAAATTGATGCCAACATCGCAAGTGCCAAAGCACTTCATAAGTTATAGAATACCCTAAATGTGAAGGTGAAATTGATGCCAACATCGCAAGTGCCAAAGCACTTCATAAGTTGATGCTGTTTTTTTTCTATTACGTTTACCACTTGGCTTTTTTCAAGAACACATCCAAGTTTTGTATTGTTTTAATTACTTACACTTGTTTTAACTTTATTTATACACCCCCAAGTATCTTTAAGGCTATTTATTTACTTATTGTTGTTGTTCTATATTAATCCATCAAAGGAGCAACATGAACCTGCTCCTTCCCCTTTAAAATGATTGGATTACTGAACAAATTGCAAAACTACTCTGTTCTATATGGGTTGCAGAATGAAGATGCCTGACACCAACACATTTTTAAAGTAATATAAAACAAAATAAGAGGAAACACAAAATGCAAAAGTGAGGCCTCCTTCCAAAGCAGTAGGACAGCCCCTTCTTTACCTCATGAATTTCAAATAATGAAAGATCGGCGGTGAATGCCACCTCCTCTGCAGCACCTGGTTCTTTGTCAAGCTGCCCAGAAAATGTCTTAGTGTGATCGCTGGGTGAAGGGGTGCTAGGCAAACTATCTGCCATCTGGCTCCCATTATCACCCATTTCATAGGAGTCAACACTTGACAAGTCCAAACTTAGGTGTGAAGGATTCTTTTGCCATAACTCCTCTTGGTCCTCAGGTCTAAATGACATCTCTGCCAGGGCGTTGTCTTCGAGCACTGACACAGATTTGCCCTCTTCTAGGCTCCACTGGTCACACGAACCATTCACAGATGCAAAACTGGTCCCATCTTCCCCATCTGCCTTAGAATGGCAGCGTTTCGGATGGTCTTTGACAGAAGTTCGCCTTCCATCCTCTTTAGCAAAATCTCCATTTCTGACGTCAGCATTCTCTTTCAGGAAGAGCCTCGTCAATGTCTCCTGCCAGCCAAGCTGTTGAGAAATCTGTTGCGCTGCATCCTGCTGGGAATGTAGAATTTGCAAAAGCTGTAGGGAAAAAATAAGAAGATAAGCTGAAGAGCCAGATTTAATGAACCATGCAAAGCCTGTAGTTATTCTTCAGGTTCTGCTTCTTGAAGGGATTTGCTCTGTAAGAACAATCACGTTTCCTCCCTATAGATCAGGAAACCATTCTGTCTGGGAAAGGGCCATGAAAGACATGTATGTTATGGGACAAGTATTAGACTAGAATGTGACTTATGATGGAACGATTGACCTGAATCCTGACAGTAATAAGATTAGACCCACTGAAATCAATGAGATATAAATTAACCATGAACAGATCTTTTACTTCACTATATTTATTTCAGTGCATCTGTATGAGGATCATGAGGATCTCTGGATGATGTTGGTCCAGAACAATCAGCTTTCCTCACCATTAGTTATACTGGTTAAGAATGCTAGAACATGCAATTCAGCAATAGCTGGAGAGCTGTATAATTATTACTCTTCAGCTATATGTTTAAGTACGATTAGGTTGAGTTCCAATCCAATGAGTCTGTTTTTTTGGTTGTAAAATTAATCTTACTAAGATATAATGCATGTTATAATTACACTATGTAACAAAATCTGGGGGGGGGGGGAGCTGTTCCTGGTTTGAAAGGGTTATTTCCTATTTAATTGTGCAGTACGTACTTTGAAAGTAGTTTTTACTCCAGAAACTTCATTTTTGTGGCTGCCACAAACTAGGTTGAATTGGTTGAAATATTCATGGAAAAACTATAGTAAAAGATGCTGCAAAATGTCCCACAAAAACAAAGCTTTTGTAGTTTAATAAACCTTTTCCATGTTTTTATGATAGAACCAATTAGGAAATGACATTTATAACCCAGGATCAAAAATTACGTTATTTAAAATCCAAATACAAAAACAATTAATGTTTATAAGAAAACCCTCACAAACACAATAGATCAAATTTTAGAATGCATAGTTATGGAAGAGGAGCAAACAATCTGCAGTCTTCCAGGTGCTATTGGACTGCAACTCCTAATGCTATCCAGGATAGTTAATGATGGAGGAGAAGCTGGGAGCTGTAATTCAGTCACACGTGAAAGCCTGCAATTTGCCCACCCTGTTTGCCCATACAAAGACAGTGTTCCACAGAGCTGGTTGGTACAGCTGCTTGATGTCATTTTCAGTATGTAAACCCATCAACAAAAGCATTACAAAGAAGTAAGTAGTGTAAGTATATAATAATTAATAATAATAATAATAATAATAATAATAATAATAATAATAATAATAATTTATACCCCGCCACCATCTCCCCAATGGGGACTCGGAGCGGCTTACATGGGGCCAGACAACATATTACATCAAAATAAAACCAAAACATAAACAACAAGCTACATCATCAAAATTACATTAAAAACTTATGAATACAATAACAAAATAACATTACAATATTTCCTGCGATAAACCCAATGTCCATTGTCAGATTTCAAAATAACATAGTGTCAGTCTTTCACACTCCCAGAGGTCAGAGGCACAAGAACCCAGTGAAAAAGGAAAAATGTAAATGCTGAAAAGTGAGGGGCATGTTTGTAGCAAGTACAAAGAATGGCTGCTGGCCCCACAGAGCTGCCCTATCCTTAGGAAGTGAAGGATCACACCCAACTCCATGCTCAGTTCCCAAATGAGGGGCTGCCCTGAGAATATTCTCATGGCAGCTTTGTTCTCAAGAGGTAAGGAGGGACTGTTGTGGGATTGTTCACAGCTAGCCGCAAAAACAAAAAAATCCCATTTAGTTCCTTATGAAGGAGTGATGCATTTCCTTCCAGAAACAGTGGAAGTAGATACATCACCAGATTCTGTTCAGTCTTTTGATTAGTGATGCAAGACCTCATTTCAAAACAATAAGGCATAATGGATTGACCTCCAAATACAAGACTCACATTAAGCATGACACTGCCAACAACAGCTGCCCTTCCCTTTCGCCATATAATTTATACACAACAGGGCACAGTGCCATGAATAAATCAATTTAATGTTATGTTCTTTAAATTTGACTGAAACAGAATACATAGGGTTCATATTCCATAGCTTCTCCATGTTTTATCTTCAACTGTAATATTAAGATCTTCTTCCCAAACTCATGTAATTCTTGAAGGGAAGCCATACTGGATTTCAATCAAAATGTGGAGGCAACCTGTTCTTGGGATCTTTCATGAAAAGTTCTTCAAAAAGAAAACAAAAGGAGTGCTTGCATGTGTTATAAGTAAAGGATCAGTTCTGAAGTATGTTGCCTGAACAGAAGGACCCACATGGTGACAGATTAACCCCAAATTAGGAGTTGTCAATATGTAGAATCCGTTAGGGTTCACATTTTTACATGACACCAACTATCCAAATTACAGAATAACAGAGGGTTAAATAAAATCATCACCAGGAATTGAATGGAAGTTGGTTTACATTGCTAAACCTTCCACACCAAGAAAATATCATTGGCAAATTGATTGTGAAATTGTCACAGGATGCTGAGTCAGGAGAAAGAGGTTTTGGAATTCCCATTTTTACAAATAAATCTCTTATTAAGAAAGAACATTGGAAATTCTGCAAAAAAACAAAAACACTCTGCCCTTAAAAATCAAGCAAATTTGTTTGCACCTTTTGTTTTGACCAATAAACAATAACCTGGTCCTTCATCGTTCTACTAACCTTTCGACAGATGGCTACTCTGATGTTTATATCTGCTCTGTGAGCCAAATATATGACTGCAATGAAGTCCCTGTAATTCACAACTGGATCTGCAGAGTAAGAATTAAGACACACACAGTGAGAGGAAGATAAGGTTACATTTTACATCCACTCCTAAACACACCTGCTTATTTGCTGTTTCAAATTTGCCATGAAAGCACAAAAATCAACTGAAATAACCAGTGCATTTCCAGTGAAAAAAGAGACTTAAGCATGTTTGGGTCCCCTCCATAGTTATAGATGTTCAAATACCACCCAGTTAGGCATGCTGCATAACTATTTAATAAATGTACCAGCACTCAGAATTTGATTGAGAAGGTTCTTGATGAAAGATACAGTAACCGGAGCGTCATTCAGGAGCAGTCCCAGCCCAGAATAACCAACTTCTCTGAGTTTCATACGTTGTTTGCTTCGTTCATAGACTTTTGTGCACTTCAGCATCTGGTCCACAATCTGCCAAGAAAGGATACATGAAGCCAACTACCCACAGTGAGATCCAAATGCTCTAGCAGCTGTCAGGCATATAAAAACATTCTTTACTTGACAATAGAATGAAAGCAGATTCTTCATATGCTAATAAAACCTTTAGGTGATCACAGTGAATTCTGGACTAAAGTCTATATACAAAGATGGTTTTGCTTTCCCTCTAATCACTGAAGTTTTTGATGTTAGGATACTACGGGGACATAATGAGTGTCAGGAGCCCCCAGCGGCGCACTGGGTTAAAGTGCTGAGCTGCTGAACTTGCTGACCGAAAGGTCGCAGGTTCGAATCTGGGGAGTGGCATGAGCTCCCACTGTCAGCCCCAGCTCCTGCCAACGTAGCAGTTCGAAACCATGTGCATGTGAATAGATCAATAGGTACCGCTCTGGTGGGAAGGTAACGGCACTCCATGCACTCATGCTGGCCACATGACCTAGGAGGTGTCTGCGGACAACATTGGCTCTTCGGCTTGGAAATGGAGATGAGCACCAACCCCCAGAGTTGGACATGACTGGACTTAATATCGGGGGGAAATTAACTAATTAGTGTTATTGGAATCTGGGATATTAATATGCTCATCATTTTTGTATCTGAGGTCTATGAAGAAGGAGGGTTTGTCAATTATAAGCATCCGCAAGTGCATGCAGTGCTTTTCTGTAAGGTTTGCTCACAAAAATAGCACAGAACACATACATCTCTCTCTAGGAGCTGTATTCACGTGGAATGAAGAAGTTGCAAACATGAGAGTACTACAGAAATGTGGCTCAACCACGGGTGGATAAAATGTCCAGAAGCTGAAAAGCAATCCCCATCATTCTTCATCATTGAGCTATGTTAGTTAAAACTATGGGAAAGCCAAATTCCCACTACCTAGAGAAGCATCCATTCCACACCCCAGGGATAAATCTTCTCCCTGACCTTACTAACCCCAGACACTAAAATCAAACCTGCTTCTTTCTGCATAGCCCCATTCGGGTATGTATTTCTTAGTCATATTTCTGTGGAAGGAGAAACAGCAGAACTGGAGCATGTCCAGTCTATCTACAGTGGGTTCAACAGAAACAACTGTTTCTTGACACACTATACATATTATAAAACTAGTCAACACCCATCTACTTTCTGGATCACAGTAAACATAACAGTATTTTCAAATAACCTCCTCCACTATTTATATGGCTATCTACTCACTTTGGCGGTGGGCAATTTTGTTTTGCTCCTGGCTTCATCTCCCAAGGGACAAACTGAACATGTCACCTTATCACCATACCCACAAGTTTTGCATTTCTATTGCTATTCACACATCCAACCAGCTTATTCAGGGCTATAAAGGCCTGTTCCTGCGTGCCTCAATCCATGCATCAAATGAAATAGATCAAAGTCTGTGAAATCTTATGCCACAAATTTCTTTCTCTCTGTTAGTTTCAAAGGTACTACAAGATTTATTTACATGCTAGCACATCAATGCCTTTGATATTATGATTATGATTATGATTATTTTATTTCTCACCTGCCTCTCCTTGTGGCTCGAGGCGGGTCACAGGACAAAACACACAAACATTCTATAAACACACATATTAAAATATTGTTCTATAAAAGACATATATTAAAACATATTTCTATAAAATACATATTAAATACACAGGACAGAGATTAAAACTGTTACTGATTTGTATCCTATACAAAATTTTATAACAAGGGTAACACAACCTTTTGCCGAAGAGCAGATGTTTGTATGCAAATTCATCTTCATCTTGCTAGAATTATAATTTTTGAGGAGGAAATAAAAAGATACCTTGAAGACAAGCTCCTTTAGTCTATCAGAGTACCTCTGATTCAGCAACAGAGCATAGAGGATGTCTGCATTTCCTGGCTCAAAAAGTAACAAGAAAAGCTGGTCACGGGTTGGGCTGGTGTGAAGCAGGCTGAAGAGCACCTCCAGGATCCCAAAGAGCTTGGAGAGAGCAAAGAGGGAGAAAAGCACACATTCAGTCAGGCTCCATAAGCAGACTCTAGGCAATTTTCATGGTTATTATTCACCATAAAGAAGTGCTGATTCTCTTTCTCCAGAGATGCAGCAGTTGTCTGAAGCATGAGGTACCGGAAAATGGGAGCGAATTCTGGTTGAGTGAAAGAAGGCCAATATGACTCTGACTATAGGCTACATCCTGCTTCCATATACATTGAAAGATGGGGACCGTGGAGAGATGTGTCAGGCAAGCAGGTGTAAGATAGATTCGGACGTTCACTGTTCAAGCTGTGTCCATACCACAGACTTACAGCCCTTTAATACTACTTTCACTGCCAAAGCTTCATGCTTTGGAATCTAGGATGTGTAGTTGCAGTTGTTGATAACCTAATAATCCTTTGCCAGAAATCAAAGTCCACAGACCAATACTAGTTTCTGAGCCACTAACTACTGGTCTCTGGAAGGTTACTGGGAAAGAAAGATATAGTTGTATTCAATGGACATACATTTAATGCCAGGCCCTGGCACACTGAGAACAAAAACAAAAAAACCAAAAAAAAAAACCCTAGCTGATCCCTCATAGCCTAAGGAATACTACACTAAGGAAAGTCTGACATCAATTTGCTTAAGCTGTTTTTGAAAAACCTACTTCACATCCTGATTAAGAAATCTGGCAGTACAGTAAAATCAATATAAACAGAATAAGAGTTTATCCGAAAATGGAATGGCCTCAGACTACGATTTTTGGATGGTATGATTTTAATATTGAATGTAATTTTTAAACGATTACTATGTATTAATTTTAATCCAAATGATTTTAAGTGTAATGTTTTGTATGTGTTTAAGGCACTGAATAATTGCCATATGTAAGCCACCTTGAATCCCCCTTCGGGCAGAGAAAGGTGGGATAAAAATAGGGTAAATGAAATAAATAACAGGACCAAAAATGGTATACTTTTTGGCTGAATTGCACAGGCCTGATATTAACTGCTTTAGAAGGAAAAAACAATGGAGGAGTTACATTTGAAAAGGCTCATCTATCCAGAAAGAAATATATGAAATAGCAGTACTGCAAAAAACTATTAATTTATTTACATATTTCACATTATGTACTGTGTGGTTTTTGTCACATCACTGTGAAGATATATGGAGAAAAATGTATAACTGAATATAGACACACTATCTACCTGTTCTTCATCATTGATGGCTGCTATATATCCCATGATGCTCTGGACTTCTTCATGTGCCCCTCCTTTGCTCAGGAAATATTTTATTAATCCATAAAGAGATGTTCTTATGGTTCTAAGATCATCTGGAGCCAAGTCACTCTCTTTGTAGCTATTCCTAACAAAAACAAAAAAGATAAATGTTTGTACATTAGGAATATGAAAGTCATAACTGGAACTAATTTACTCACTTTTTTCCACAAACACTTCCCACTATGCACATTATTTACTTTGACTAAGCACCCTCTTTTGTCTGTAACTGGTATTGAAAACACAGTTTTAGCACTTTTTAAAGATGTTGTACAAATAATGTGGTAATCCTTGTTATAACTGACTTTTAAAAATGTTTCACACGTTTTAATTAACATAGAAAGGCAGCACCACTGGAATAAAAATGAGGACAAAGGAAATTTTAAAATGTGCTAATCGTATATTTAAACATTGCAATCCCAATTTATTTTGAGCTAAAGCTCTCTTTTAAGACAATTGCTTTAAAATTATTGCCCACCTTTAAGAAATAATGAACACTTATTAACCACCCTCAAATCCTGAATGGATGACATTTCAGATCTATATAGCCAGAATATTATCCTAGAAAAGACCCAGGAATGGGAGCTAACAAGTACATTGTAGTTTCCCATTAATTATACTGTCATGCTCACAGAAGGAACTACTGAAGCATTGCTTTCAATAGTTTTGGTTATGTCTGTATTTCGGAAAGCTAAACTCAAGAGCACTATCTAGCAAATTAAAAAAGAACTTGAGACTACATACCCGTAATAAATCCTCAGAGTATCCAGTAAAAACTGTACGCCATATTTTTTTCGGAAAACCCTCCTGCTGTCTCTGATAATTGTAGAGATATATTGGATGTGGCCTAAAAGTGGGAACATTTGTCATTAGAACAGACCAAGCAAGCCTTTCAAATACTGTGGACCACTTTTCAGATGTTTGACCACTCTACATAGACAAATCTCTAGGTAACCTAACTATGCAAACAGGTTGCATTCATTATTGTTATTTATAATAATTATATCCCATGTTATATCTGAGGAAGTCAGAGCAGAGTTGAAATATGTAGGAATAACACTTCCGACAAATTGGATGTCAAATCAAATATATTTTTGCATATGAATTGTGCATTTGTGTGCATGCATAAGTTCCTTTGCCTTTTGTGTCTTCTACTGCTGGGTATTACTATACGAGAAAGTATCTGATGCCATGGGTTCAGGCTTTCTGTCCAAATCATAGTGAAGTACAAGACCTGTGATGTTTAAACTGAGAAGCCAAGGTTTTTGATCAGCTAAAAAACCAGAGTCGGAAATCACGGTTCAACGGTGGAATTGGAAGCCATTGCTTTAACTAACCATTGGGAGCCAATGGCTTCCAATTCCACCGTTGAACCGTGATTTCCGACTCTGGTTTTTTAGCTGATCAAAAACCTTGGCTTCTCAATTTAAACATCACAGGTCTTGCACTTCACTATAATTTGGACAGAATGCCTGAACCCATGACAGAGACACTTTCTCATATTGTAATACCCAGCAGTAGAAGACACAAAAGGCAAAGGAACTTATGCAAAAATATATTTGATTTGAGATCCAATTTGACGGCCTAAATCCAAATATTAGTTCCAACTACAGCAGACTATTAGTTGTGCCTCTGCTTCTAGGGATAACACCAATGCCAGGAGCCAAGATTAGAAGTGGAAGAATGCCTCCTTTCATTCTGTTGTCCAACCCAGTCCCAGAGGCTGTCAGCTATTAAACCTTTCATGAGAGCTTGTTTCCCTCTCCAAGTCAGCAATGACCAATCTCACCAATTCGGAATGGGAAGTCTCCACGGTTCCAGATGCTGAAGTCGAAAAGTAAGTACTGATACATCTGTTGCAAAAGATGTGTGTTCTTGGCTGCAGAGACCTGTTCTATCAGTAACTGGACAGCCATCAATATGTTTACATCCACAAAGCTGGGAGATACCTGGGGTGCGGAAGGAGGCACAAGCGAATGATTACACTATGTAACAAAATTTGAAACATTTTCTGTTCCTGGTTTGAAAATGGTATTTCCTGTTTAATTGTGCAGTACTTCCTTTGAAAGTAGTAATTCTACTCCAGAAACTGACAGATTGAGCATCACACCTGCTGCCTATATTATTGACACTGGCTAATTTACCAGAGCCCCCGGTGCACAGTGGGTTAAACCACTGAGCTGATAAACTTGTTGACCAAAAGGTTGCAGGTTAGAACCCAAGGAACGGCATGAGCTTCCGCTGTCAGCCCCAGCTTCTGCCAACCTAGCAGTTCAAAAACATGCAAATGTGAGTAGATTAATAGGTACCGCTCTGGCGAGAAGATATCACCACTCCATACAGTCATGCTGGCCACATGACCTTGGAGGTGTCTATGGACAACACCGGCTCTTCGGCTTAGAAATGGAGATGAGCACCACACCCTAGAGTCAGACATGACTGGACTTAATGTCAGGGGAAAACCTTTACCTTTACCTAATTTACCAGAAAGGTAAATCATATTCTCTGCAATTTGGCAGAGGATTAGCATCTGCTTTGCCATTCCTCCCAGTCGTAACCGAACAAGTCCCAAATAACTCAATAGTCAGGACAAACTCTATGATCAGTCCTCCCTGCGTGGATTTCTACACAACAAGAACTGACAAATGCTTGAGTGTTTGCCCAACTCCAGTCAATGTAGGGAAAGGGAGGCAAGCAAAAAACATTGTTCTGCAGAGTGGCTACCAATTAAGGCTAATGGATGGCAGAGAAGTACAATATAAAAGCAATGAGCCATACTGGAGCCATTAAATTGTGGAACAGGTCATAAGAAACATATTTCTGATTATTTTCGTACTATTTTTGGATCTTTTATAGAGATATACAAACTTTGTGTATTGTTTAAAAATTGAAGAAATGATGATAATGAAACATAGTAAACTTTTGCTTTATACAAAACTGCTTGACTAACAAATTCAATTTAATTTTTAGATTTATCATGTAACAACAACAATTAGATAAAGGTTTGACAATTAACAATGAAGATAAACTTGTAATGGGGAAGAGTTGGGAAGGAGACTGGAAGACTACAGGATAATACTCAAGGAAGACATGACTATTGGACTTAATGTTTGGTGACAATATTACTCCTCTCTTTGATATAGGGGAAACATTAAGTCAGGGGTCCCCAAACTTTTTGAACAGAGGGCAGGGTCACAGTCCCGCAAACTGTTGGGGGGCCGGATTATAATTTGAAAAAAACATTAATGAATTCCTATGCACTCTGCACATATATTATTTGCAGTGGAACCCCCCCCCCCCAAAAAAAAAATATCAGAAAACAAAGACCCACACTTCTATATAAATAAAAATGTAATGTTTGTTTGTGGGATTAACAGAACTCAAAAACCACTGGACGAATTGACACCAATTTTAGAGACAAGACACCTAACAACCCAATGTATGTCCTTCACTCAAAAAAATGATTTTGTCATTTGGGAGTTGTAGTTGCTGGGATTTATAGTTCACCTACAATCAAAGAGTATTCTGAACCCCACCAACAATGGAATTGAACCAAACTTGGCACACATTTCTCCCATGACCAACTGAAAATAGTGGAAGGGTTTGGTGGGCATTGACCTTGGGTTTGGGAGTTGTAGTTCATCTACATTCAGAGATCATTGTGGACACAAACAATGAGGGATCGGGATCAAACTTGGCACAAATACTCAATATGCCCAAATGTGAACACTGGTGGAGTTTGGGGGAAAATAGAATCTTGATATTTGGGAGTTGTAGTTGCTGGGATTTATAGTTCACCTACAATCAAAGAGCATTCTGAACCCCATCAACGATGGAATTGAACCAAACTTGGCACACAGTTCTCCCATGACCAACAGAAAATACTGGAAGGGTCTGGTGGGCAGTGTCCTTTGGTTTTGGAGTTGTAGTTCACCTGCCTCCATCAATCACTATGGACTCAATGATAGATCTGGACCAAACTTGGCACTGATATTCCATATGCCCAAATGTGAATACTTGTGGAGTATGGGGGAAATAGAATCTTGACGTTTGAGAGTTGTAGTTGCTGGGATTTATAGTTCACCTACAATCAAAGAGCATTCTGAACCCCATCAACGGTGGAATTGAACCAAACTTGGCACACAGTTCTCCCATGACCAACGGAAAATACTGGAAGGGTTTGGTGGGCAGTGTCCTTTGGTTTTGGAATTGTAGTTTACCTGCCCCCTTGGAGACCAGAGCAGCCGGAGCAGAGGGTTCCAGCGATGGTCGGAGCGGCGCCGGGTGGGCGTGGCCAGAGAATGCCAGCATTCCCTGGTCACGCCCACCCGGCGCCGCTGGCCACGCCCACCCGGCGCCGCTCCGGCCTTCGCAGGAACCCTCTGCTCCGACTGCTCTGGTCTCCAAGGAGGCAGATAAACTACGAAAGGCTTTGGAGTTGTAGTTTACCTGCCTCCTTGGAGACCAGAGCGGCCGGAGCAGAGGGTTCCCGCGATGGGCGGAGCGGCGCCGGGTGGGCGTGGCCAGGCCCGGCGGGCCAGAGAAATGCCCTTGGCGGGCCGCATACGGCCCATGGGCCGTAGTTTGGGGACCCCTGCATTAAGTCTTTGGTATTGTAGGTACTACATATGAGTGATATGAAGAAATAGATGTATTAATAATAACTTAGTACACCTACAATTGTCCCTTTCCCTGTCTTCAACTTCCTTCCTTTTTGTGACATACTTGATAATTGTAATAATTTAACTCACTAACCCCCTCCTCCTTCTCCCACTTTTTATGATATTTCTTTAAGTTTTTCCTCTTTCCTGTTTTCCCTTTTCCCCCTTTTTGTGTTGTAAAAATTGCAAATAACTCAAAAACCACTGGACAAATTGACACCAAATTTGGACACAATACACATATCAGGCCAACGAGTGACAATCACTCATAAAAACACTGAAAAACACAGCAGAAGGGACTTAAAAAACCAAAAAATACATTACAACACATGCACAAAACCACATATATATATATGCAAACACACATATAAACACATATACACAAATATATACAAACACCTATACATATATACACAGACTGGGCCACAGCAACGTGTGGCAGGGGATGGCTAGTGTTCAATAAAAAAAAACATTATACAGATAAGAAGACTGGAAGTTTTTCTGAACTTCAGGCAGGCAGGGAAAGGACATATTTGTGAAGAAGGCGCACCACCGATAAATGTACAAAGACACACATAAACAACTTCAGATAGAGTTTAACTGTGCTATTTAGACCCTGAGAGTTACATGTGTGCAGTATGCTAACATTCTTCTGTAACTTGCTCGTACCTTCTTCAAAAGGGCTCCTAAAGTTGCAACTCCGTGTGTATGAACGAGATTATCCTGGTTGATTGGGTGCCTCTGAATAAAGTGCTTTATCATCAAGATGAAAGTTGCAACTATGTTCTTCTCTAAGCGGGCCTCTAGAAGATAGAAAATGGACTTCAGCTTAAAATAGCATTGCAAATATAGTCTTATTGTGGCCATTGTTCCTATTATTGCTATCACCATCAGAATTATTTATGCCTTGGTTTTCCTTCCAAGGCCAACAGAAGAATGGCAGAAGGACATAAAATATGGCTCTTGCTTTTTTTTGGCTGTTGCATGTGCTGCCCAGTCCCCAGTCCCATAAAAAAAGGCTACATGAAATTTTCATTGTGCAGTTCCTCACCTACCTGAAGCTCTGGTGGATGTTAACATCACCCAGTCTCCTTCTACAGGCGTCAGCAGCTCAGGAGGCACAAATTCTACCTCTGGCCTCTCAATTAAATGGCCATCCAGGAGGCTGATCTGCTCTAGCAGCGGGAACAGCACATTTAGGCCGCCTATACAATTGATCATATCCTTAAAATAGGACCGAGGTGGAAAGATTGGGAAGAGAAAGAAGCAGTAGTAAGTCTTTTGAAACCTATTGCAAGAGGAAAAATCTTTTTTTAAACCAACACAGCAATAAACCTCCAAAAATACATCAACAGAATAAAATGCTCACTCAAAGGCAAGGAATTCTTGGTATGCTCTGCAAAAGCTAGGCAAAAACTTGCCAGCTAGGGTCACATAAGGCTTCTGGCAGAGCAAGATGGGCAATGTGTGTTGGACTACAAAGTCACTAGACTTACTGAGCGTAGCTAATAGGGAGAAATAGCTGGAAATGTACTTCAACATCACCTAAAGGACCACCCAATCCCCTCCTGAGGTAAAGCATAACTCCTCCTTTTCTGAAACAAGTACCAATTCTTCCTTTCTTGTAGAAGACAAGGGTTCTCGTTTATTTATTTTGGGAGGCAGTAAGTGGGGACACCACTGAGACACAGCTATTAACCTTTCGATTTGTTAACCTTAGTTCGCCTGTTGATAGACTCTATAAGCTAGCTTGCATTGCCCCCCCCCCCCCCGCCCGCCCGATGTGAGGTGGGAATTTGCTACAAACTGGGAGAGAAATAAGGCTGAACACTGTGAAAGCCATCCACTGCATGGCTAGCAGCCTCTTCCCAGTAGACTCAAATCAAGGAAAAGCTTCATTAGAACCATGACTCCTCTTAATGTTCCCCTTGCAAAGAGTATCCCTCTGGGCAGCTAAACCAAGAAATCCCAAATTGATGGCCCTCACAAGGATCTTCCTCCAGGAGCAAACCAAGAATGGGCAACTTGGAAGCCACTGGAGTTGGCAGATCGAAAAACAACCTGGCAAAATGGCACTGCCTAGAAGAATCCTCCACCTTGTACGACTGTGGAGCAGAACAAACAACTCTGCATCTATATGCTTGTCCACAACGCCCTGCCTCATGCACAGAGGAAGAACTATTTAAAGCCACAGACAATGGGGTCATTGTTGCCTGTTTTTGGTCAAAAATTATTTACTAGCTTGTGCTCCTTTATACTTATTTATGCAATGTTTTTGACACAAAATAAATGAAAACCATGGTTTGGAGAAGGAGACCACTTGTATCTCTACCTCCGTATGTTCCTGACTGCAGCACTTTAGATTCCCATATAAAGAAGCTTGCTTCTTGCAAGGAAAATTAATCAAGACACTCAGCCTACATTGCATTTTAAAGTTATTAAATGGATTACAGCACATGATATAGAGATGGGGCTTTTATGTTGTTTCATACACAGTATAGAGAAGAACCAAATTGGGATCAATCGCATATGGTGGAGTGAATTCATCCAACTGACTCTTCAAGTAACAGATGGGCAATCATTACTGTCCCTGAGAACAGGGGTTGTCTTGTCCTTATTTATTTGCAGATCACTCTTAGGCCCATTCTACAATGCCATATAATATAGATTATCAAAGCAGATAATCCACATTATCTGCTTTGAATTGGATTTTATTTATTTATTTATTTATTTATTTATTTGCTATACTTGTATACCGCCGTTTCTCAGCCTAGCCGGCGACTCAACGCGGTTTACAACAACTTATAACAAACAACAGTATACAGTTTAAAAGCATAAAAACACGATCACAATACATATATCAATAAACAATCCAATTCATCTCTTGACTAAAATCGCGATCCAGTTTCGTCGTCCAAATTGCCAGTCCTTCAATCATTACACTTATTGCACTGAGTTAACCGAACGCCTGCTCGAACATCCAGGTTTTTAGTCTTTTCCGGAATACCATCAATGAGGGGGCTGATCTTACCTCCATGGGGAGGGCGTTCCATAGCCGCGGGGCCACCACAGAAAAGGCCCTGTCTCTCGTCCCCGCCAGCCGCACCTGTGAAGCAGGCGGGATAGAGAGCAGCCCCCCCCAGAAGATCTTAGGGTCCTGGTGGGCTGATAGGCTGAGATACGTTCGGATAGGTAAGTTGGGCCAGAACCGTTTAGGGCTTTAAAGGCCAGCGCCAGCACTTTGAATTGAGCCCGGTAGCAGATCGGCAGCCAGTGGAGCTGGTGCAGCAGAGGAGTTGTATGCTCTCTGCGCTCCGCTCCAGTTAGCATCATGGCTGCCGAGCGTTGGACTAATTGGAGCTTCCGGGCCGTCTTCAAAGGCAACCCCACGTAGAGAGCGTTGCAGTAGTCTAAACGGGATGTAACCATATGATTATATGAGTCTTGCGTACAGTGGCCCTTATTTCTCATGCCAGTAAGGTAATGCTCAAGATCCTGCAAGGAAGACTCCAGCAATACATGGAGCGAGAGTTGCCAGATGTTCAAGCTGGGTTTAGAAAAGGCAGAGGAACGAGAGACCAGATTGCCAATATCCGCTGGATAATGGAGAAAGGCAGAGAATTTCAGAAAAACATCTATTTCTGCTTCATTGACTACTCTAAAGCCTTTGACTGTGTGGATCACAGTCATAATAAATTGTGGCAAGTTCTTGGTGGGATGGGCATCCCAAGCCACCTTGTCTCTCTCCTGAGGAATCTGTACAAGGACCAAGTAGGAACAGTCAGAACTGACCACGGAACAACAGACGGGTTCAAAGGCGTACGGCAAGGCTGCATACTCTCATCCAACCTTTTTAACGTGTATGCAGAACACATCATGTGAGGATGTGCGGGGCTTGATGAATGCAAAGCTGGGGTGAAAATTGCTGGAAGAAACATTAACAACCTCAGATATGCAGATGACACCACTCTGATGGCCGAAAGCGAGGAGGAGCTGAGGAGCCTTCTAATCAAGGTGAAAGAAGAAAGCGCAAAAGCTGGGTTGCAGCTAAACATAAAAAAACAAGATTATGGCAACAAGAATGATTGACAACTGGAAAATAGAGGGAGAAAACGTGGAGGCCGTGACAGACTTTGTATTTCTAGGTGCAAAGATTACTGCAGATGCAGACTGTGGCCAGGAAATCAGAAGACGCTTACTTCTTGGGAGGAGAGCAATGTCCAATCTCGATAAAATAGTAAAGAGTAGAGACATCACTCTGGCAACAAAGATCCGCATAATCAAAGCCATGGTATTCCCTGTAGTAACCTATGGATGTGAGAGCTGGACCTTAGGGAAGGCTGAGCGAAGGAAGATAGATGCTTTTGAACTGTGGTGTTGGAGGAAAGTTCTGAGAGTGCCTTGGACTGCGAGAAGATCCACCCAGTCCATCCTCCAGGAAATAAAGCCCGACTGCTCATTGGAGGGAAGGATACTAGAGACAAAGTTGAAGTACTTTGGCCACATCATGAGGAAGACAGGAAAGCTTAGAGAAGACAATTATGCTGGGGAAAATGGAAGGAAAAAGGAAGAGGGGCCGACCAAGGACAAGATGGATGGATGGCATCCTTGAAGTGACTGGATTGACCTTGAAGGAGCTGGGGGTGGTGACGGCCGACAGGGAGCTCTGGCGTGGGCTGGTCCATGAGGTCACGAAGAGTCGGAGACGACTGAACGAATGAACAACAAAAAAACTGTGATATAATCCATTTCAAAGCAGATAATCTGGATTTTATATAACAATGTAGAAGAGGCCTCTGAACCTTTCCTGCTGTGATAAATTCAAAAATGATCACATACTACTATAGTTCTCCACTGAGGAACTCCTCCTCCAGTTTAGCAATACAGTGGGAAACTGTAGTACAGGCATGAAATGCAGGTTGCAAACCTAGCACACATTTGTAGATGGAGAGTTTATTTGTAGTTTATATCAGTCTTGTACTATTTCCACCAGCACTGTAACCTTTTGCAAAAGAAGAAAAAAGCACCAGTGGAGATTTACTATTCACTACTCCCTGAACAAGTTGGTAGACTGCACATCCATTTCTCAGAGACGTAAACCATCCAGATCTATAGTAAATCCCACAGCATTTGCAACAAGCTACTGAAGAATCCTACCTTAATGTCCCAGTTCACAACTTTGTTCCCTGTTAGCCTTCCATGCAGAAGATTTGGTGAAAGGTCAAGACATATTGGACTTCTGCAAGCCTGCCCATAAGAGAGAGAAATAAAAGGAGATTCTCATAGTACTCCATATACCCAGCAAAAGTTTCCTCTTCTGCTTTCTACGGGGCTCCTAGACGTAGAGCCCTTCCAGACAGGCCCTATATCCCAGGTTTTCTGTTTATTCCAGATTACCTGGCAGTGTTGACTCATATAAAGCAGTTTAAAGCAGAAAACCTGAGATCAGATCCTAGGATATGCGGCCTGTCTGGAAGGGCCCCTCGTCTAAGAGTGCAGTCTCTATCGCCAACAGTCTACATTTCTACTTCATCTTCTCACTAATACTGATAATATTTAAACACTTTTAGAGGGACAGAAAACAAGGAAAAGTTGGGGGACTGAGCAGATGTAAAATCAATGTAAATTGAGGTATGCCTATATGTGATTGATCTTCCACTTTCAACAGAGAGTACTTGTTTAGTTACTAGCTGGAGCTCCAAGTACTGGAATAGTACTTAGACAGAATCCATCTAATAAAGCATTCAATATCAATAGTGCTGGCCACCTAGATTGCTCTGGATGGGCACAAAACATGACCAAGTTGTCCTCCTCTGTAAGGCCTAGAAAAAGAAAGCTATACTGAACCTTTGAACCAAGTTTCAAATTAACTACTATAACCCTAGTGATGGAAAGATTCTGTCTAAATTTGTTTAAATTCCCCTAAAGCCATCAATGGCAACAAGTTGGCAGAAAAATAAATGGATTGCTACCTTGGGAGTATAGTGAAGAAGTATTTTACTAGGCAAGTCAGACACTTCAGATTCTTGAGACTTCCATGGTGTTAAGCAATTTGGACCTTAAAAACAAAGAAAAGAAGACAGTAAATTCATATGGGTGATAATGGTTTTAATGACATGTCATCCTGTTGTAAATACTAAAAATGTCTCTCTCAATCCATCAATAAGTCATGTATACAACAGAAGCAGGCCAATACACATAGTCAGCACAAGGTCTCAAAGCACGGCTGTGATGCACATCTAGCTCCAATGACCACCAGCTAAGCATCTCCTAATCCAAAGGAGCTAACTAGTTATGGGGTGTAACAACCTGCTTCAGACTAAAGCGAGAAAATGCAAAAGTCCGGATCTAGTGAAAAGCACTGTCAAAAGAGAACCACACACCCTCCCATGAAAGTCTACCAATCCCTTCAAAATGTATATACATTATATTATATTATATCTCATGGTTTATGTACATTCCAGTTTCTCTTGTGCTTAAGACTTATACTGGCAGATATCAATGATGCTTAAGACCAACCAGATTTTCCCATTCCTCAGGAGTACAAGCTAGTTGGGCATTTGAAGAACCTGAGGTGTAAAAAAGTTAGTTTTGCAAGCTCTGTTCTGATCCATGGAAGGAAGATGAAAACTAAGTAAGCCAGAGCACACCCAGCCAATCACACCTCATGGCGTGCTGGGGGGACGGGACAGAGGATACAGCCAATCATAAATAGAGACAGAGTCCGTTAAAATCAATACAGGGTAAATAGGAAGAAGGGAATGGATGAAATCGGGATAGAGTTTTTGCTTAATGAAAGCAGATATTTTGAGTAGAATTTAATGAGAGTACTAATTTTTTTGAAACTGAGGTGTTATTTAGCAAGGAAAACAGGAGATGGTGAAGTATGGCAGACACTTTGCAGCCAAGTACCAAATCTAAACAAGGATCTTAAGGGCAAAAGGGTGACGTGGGACTATCTCAGAGAGGAGGTCTGTCACAAGAACCTATATTTTTTCTACATTTCTTATTAGAACATTTAATCAACTATCAAGCTTGCAAACTTTGTGTTTTGTTTGTTTGTTTGTTAAAAATGCAATGCAACTGTTTGGTCTGCCCCTGACACGAAAAATAAATAAATCAGAATATAACATTTCACATTCTCATTACAGAAAAATAAAGAAAAAGACAAAGAACATCCATATATATATTTCTGGTGTGACTTACATTCTTAGCCTTTCCATTTCTATACTTGTTTATCTGTTTTCCCCTGACCCTCCCTCTCCCTCTCATCCACCTCCCTCTAAGAAAAGTTTTACCTCTTTTTAAAAATATTATTTTATTTGTTCAATCATGAACATAGTCTGATTCAGTTCCTTGTATTTTCTTTTCCCCTTTCCCACAAGGACCTACAAGCATACTGTTAAGGGTTACAAAACCTTTAGGATAGGAACAAGTTTCAGAGACATGGAACATGAGAAAGTGGACCAGAAAATCAATTTCAGAGACTTGAAGATATGATAGCAACTGGAAACTAAAATAACTTCTGAAGATGAGAAAAAGAGAAGAGGCTTGAAGTAGTACTTTTTAAAAGTGCATTTTGAAATGCTCACCTGCCAAATACAATGCTTTCACATGTGAAGGCTGTAATATTTCATGGAATATGATGACTGATCCCAGCTGGCCTTCCAGAGAGGTAGGGCACCCCCACTCGCTGTCTTGAGTCCCTGCTGAGATCAGCTTAGTGACTAACTCTGGCTTCGACATCAGCCCGCCCCAGCTGCCTGGACTGAGGATCCCGCCCAGCGAGGTCCGATGGGGCATAATAGGGGATGAAAAAGGTGGGTCCGGGATTTGTGAAGGTGGGGGAGTGGTTGTCCTTTGGCCGGCAGAACCGATGCAACAAGATGTGAAAGCCTGTAGAATTTCCACCACGTGAGGAGAGAAAAACATGAGGAAATCAAATGCAGTAATACACATTGCAGATTCCTTTAACTGGTAAATGCTATACATGGTAAATGTTGACAGAGAGATACTGGCATCCAAATGAAACCTGACTTTTTGAGAGATAGGCTACACTTACTCAACAGTACAGAAAATATTCTCTGCATACTGCTTCATGTATCTCAGAACTCAACTGCACAAAAAAAAACAAATTCAGGGGCTCACAGGCATAAACTGAGCTTTGACCACATAGTATTGACACTTAACAAGAACATTAGCTACTGATTGCACACACCACTTTTTGAAGCAAGAAGAGAGAAAAGCAACAAGTTATTTGTGGAATCAAAAGACACTGTCAGAATTGTATCTGTACTGCATTTATCAAGCTACTCAAGTAACGTAAGGGTCATCAACATGGGTATAATAAATCCAATGCTATCACTCTGTTTTTGCAAGCAAGTGACCTGCTGGACAATTACTCTTAATGTCTCTGCCATGTGAATCTCACATTGTTTTTATCCCCTTCCCGTTTGCCTCTTATTGGTTATTTACCCTTTTTAAAATACAATCTGGATTATAAATGTTCACAATCTGTTTTGAAGATATTATTATTATTATTATTATTATTATTATTATTATTATTATCATTCACTTTATTTATACCCCGCATTTCTAGCCATGGCGGCTTCAGTGTGAAGGCAGTCTAAAATATATTAAATACACGATGTACACATAACTATTTTATTCAAATAAAATAGACTGTGTGAATTTAGAGGCAAAGCACATAAAGATGACCAGCACTGCCAACATTAAACAAAAATCATACATAGGACATTTATTCCAAGGTGGCATGTGGATGATATAACACGACTTCTTTACATGTGTTGTTGTTGTGTGCTTTCAAGTCATTCCCAACTCCTGGGAACCCTAAGACACAGGGTTTCCTGGGTCTGGGAGTGTGAATTGCCCAGGACCACTAAGTGGCGTTTTGTGAGATATTTTTAATTATTCTTTTCACATTTTTGTAATGTACTTTTAAGAACATTTTTCCAAGGTGGGTGGGTATTCAATCATTGTTGACAAGGGTTTATATCAAAAATCTCAGAGAACAGGGTCCAGTTCTCCTTGGATTCCCCAGACAGTCCTATTCCATAAATAGGATTTTCCCATTCTGGAAGGAAAGGCAGGCCAGATAGAAAGAAAAAATGAAGTAGATCAAGGAAAAACAGCAAAGACACAGGGAAGGAGGACAAGTCAGCCAGAAAACACTAAGGCCCCTTCCACACAACTGAATAAAATCCCACATTATCTGCTTTGAAGTGGAATATATGGCAGTGTGGACTCAGATAACTCAGAATTCAAAGCAGATGTTGTTGGATTTTTCTACCTTGTAATTCTGGGTTATATGGCTGTGTGGAAGCCCCCTTAGTCCTTAATTCTGCACTGGGTTCTGCCTATTGCTTTCAGGCTGTCCCAAAGAAGCAAAATAATCTTCCAAAATATGTTGGGCTTTTAAAGAATTGCTCCTGTTTGGGATTCCATTTCCCCCTTGGTTTACAGCTACAGAAAGTATCATTTGCCTTGACTTCTCATAAACATTCCCAGTTGCTGCAAGCCTATTTTCACCTGCTGTTGAAGAAAGTACAATATGTGGAGTGAGAGAACAGATCGTACTGCTCCTCAATATTTTATATAAACATATTTATTTTTCAATTTCTAGGTCAATATATTTCACCGGCCAAGAAGAGCAGCTATTTGTCCACATCTGGTTCCTGCTGGCAAGTTTCAAAAGCAGCTGCTTTGGTTGAAAGCTACATTCCTGTCATATTATGTCACAGTAGCTATTGAGAAATATAAATAGATTTGGACACTCAGTTTGCAATGCAAGTTACTCTTTTTTTTAAAAAAGCAAAGAGTTATCATGGACTTGACACAGGAAAAAGCACTGGGAAAAGATAAATGCACATTGACATGAGACAAAACAGTATTAGGATCCATCACTGAAGTCAAGATTTCTGTCCAAAGCATTTAAAAACAAACAGAAACTGGAACAATTAGACAGAGATATCCAAATATGTTACTTCTCCTAGCTTGGGGTACAACAAGAACAAAAGCAGAGACTTACTTCATTCATAGCAGGAAATCTGAGTGGTGCTGAAAGCTTTTGCTGCCCGTTTACATAAATGTAGACAAGGCTTTGACCAAAGGGTCTTTTCCCAGGCATATGAACAATGGTTATGTTATGCTGTTGAGACAATTAATAACAATGTTCAGTCAGTTTAGAATGGTTACAAACTATAAAATCACAGGATCAAAAAACTAGGGCCCAGCACCGGCCAGACAAGACCACGTCCATTTTTTAATGTGCTGTATGCATGCCAAAGGGAAACAGCCTCCCTTACCCAAAGAGAGTCACAGAAGCAATGGTCGGACAGCATCACAGTCGCATATTCCTTCTTGGTGCACACAGCCACCACAAGAACTCCAGAACATGTAATGAATGCCTCAAAGCCCATTCCGCTTCCTGTGAAAAAACTAAAACAAAAAAAAAGAAGGGGTGGAGGAATTTTCAGGGTTGAGAGTCACACTCAATGTTTTCACACACCTCCCTCTTAACTCACTACAGAAACAATGCAGGCTTCTTTCTAGTCCTCACAGTTTTCAAATGTTAACCTGGTGTCAATCCACACTGCAAATTCATTAGGCTACCACAATGCAGCAGACGTATATGAGGATTTAGGAAATTGTGCTTCAAAGTATACAGAGAGGATGCAACTGCTTTTCAATAGGTGGCACTCTTCACTAACATTTTTTAATATTGCATTCCCAACACTACACGAGAAGATGCTAGGCTATTCACTGAAATATTAATATGGATCACTCATCTCTTCCAGTGAGTAGCTAAGGTGATGCAATGGGTTAAACCCTTGTGCTAACTTAACTGGTGACATGAAGGTCAGCGGTTCGAATCCGCGAGACGGGGTGAGCTCCCATCTGTCAGCTCTAGCTTCCCGTGCGGGAACATGAGAGAAGCCTCCAAACAGAATGGTAATACATCCAGGCGTCTCCTGGGCAATGTCCTTGTCTGTCAGCCCCAGCTTCCCATGCGGGCACGTGACAGGATGGTAAAACATCTGAGCAACGTCCCTGCAGATGGCCAATTCTCTCACAACAGCAGCGACTTACAGTTTCTCAAATCGCTTCTGACATGATAAAAAAAATCTTTTCCAGCCATTTAGAATAACAATAGTGCCATCTATACTCTCAATTTATCTTAACAACAGGAGAAAAAATCTTAGCAGAGAAAAACCAGTTGTATTCTTGAAGGCTTTCACAGCCAGACTCACTGGGGTGTTGTATAGTTTCTGGGCTGTATGGCCGTGTTCTAGCAGTATTTTCTCCTGACATTTCACCTGCATCTGTGGCTGGCATCTTCAGAGATCCCCGGAAACCACACAACATCCCGAAAACCAGTTGAACCATTTTAGTATTAAACAGGAAATTGCCTTTGTGCTTAAAGCTTCAAATATATACTAACTTTTAAAAAATCAGTGTTATAGGTTCACCCAGTTTATAAGGATATAATAAAATTACACCGTTTCATGGCTCACAGTAAAATTCAGAAATGGTAAGTTGCAGATGTTAGGTTATTCCTAATTTATATGGAGCTGTTTATACAGTATGAATAGAAATAATTATTTACAGGTTGCAACCATATCTATATGGAACAAAGGCTTCCTAATCCAGAAAGTCCAAAAAGTGATTCCATTCCCTGTCTTTCCAAGCTTCAGTTTCTACTAATTGCCTCTGATTGTGCTTTTCCTGCATGCCAGGGGTTGGGCTAGATGGCCCACGTGGTCTCATCCAACTTTATTACGTCTATGATTCGAAGCAAGAACCTGTAACAAAATGTTCTACTATGAAGAGCTCTTGCTTAGGGTCCTATTCATTCTTTCCTTCAGTTCATTCCCAACTGACTACTTTCTTGCCAAAAATATTCATTCCATATGTATCATACACAGTTAGTCCTCATTTAATGTTTTCTGGTCCCGCTCATACTTAGATTTCATTTTCTCAAGATCTTCTGGAAAATGTATGGTTCCCCTACATAACTTGATATCAGCTTCTTTGTTTGTAGGTGGCGTGGATTCTGAGTACAGACCAACTGCACTTGAAGAAGCAAATTCACTGTTGCATATATATTACTAAATTAGAATACTGAAGTTAAAGATCAAGAGTCTTCAAACCTTTTAAGCTGGGGGCTGGTTCATGGTCCCTTAGACTGTTAGGGGTGGACTATAGTTTGAAAAAAGCATGAAATAATTCCTATGCACACTGCACATATCTTATTTGTAGTTCAAAAACCCACAATATTTAAAATGAAGAACAATTTTCACCAACATAAACATACGAGTATTTCAATGGGAAGTGTGGGCCTGCTTTTGTCTGATGAGATAGTCAAGTTAATTAGGGTTGTTATTATTGTGTGCCTTCCAGTCATTTCAGATTTAGGACAACCCTAAATCTAAAGTTTTAGGGTAGGAGCTGGATAAATGACCTTGGGAGAGCCATATCCACCCCGTGGGCCTTAATTTCAGGGCGCCTGCTCTAGATAGTAAAGAACCTCTGAGGATGCTTGCCATAGATGCAGGCGAAACGTCAGGAGAAAATGCCTCTAGAACATGGCCATATAGCCCGGAAAACCTACAACAACCCAGTGATTCCGGCCATGAAAGCCTTCGACAATTACAGTTCTTATACTCCCAGTTTATAGACCATGCTGGCAGGAACCAATGAAAGCCCAAATCAAACATCTGGAGGACAACAGTTTCCACATTCCTGGGCTCCGCCAATAGTTCCTCCCACAGTGCAAGATGTCACCTACTCAAAACAAGTTTATACTATGTTTAGCTTCTAACTTCTAATCCAAAAATTGGAAGATCTCTTGGCAAAGGGATTCTTTGTTTGCATTCCATGCCTTAAATAAAGGTCCAGATTCCTCCAACACATACTATGGGCCCTGTCTCTCTGTTGAAAAAATCTTAGCTGAATAAAAGCAGAGAGTCTTGGAAGAGCAAAACATACCCTATGCAAGTTGCCATCAAAATAGTAAGCTAAACAGGGATAAGACTGGCCAAAACCTTGTTCTGGGGCCCCTTCTACACTGTCAAATAAAATCCACATAATCTGCTTTGAACTGGATTATGTGGCAGTGTAGACTCCTATAATCCAGTTCAAAGCATATAATGTGGATTATCTGCTTTGATAAAATGGGTTATATGGCAGTGTAGAAGGGGCCTGGGAGCTCCCAAGAGTGTTGAGCTTTCTGGAAATAAGACTGGAATAATATGCCAGTTAATACTTCAAATGTAATGCACAGTGCATCAATATTATAACAACACCTTTGATCTCTTCAAATATAAAAGGAATGGTTCAAACTACAAACTCATTAATACACTCCAACACACACACTTTATCTGCCCAAATATACCTTTGATTGTTGTCTTCACATGCATATCAACACCATCCCCAATGGCTTTATGGAGATGCGGGAAAAGGAGACCTCGAATTCGGCCTAATTCGGACCGCTTATCTATATTAACAATCCCCAACCGGTCTCCTAAGGTAAATTGGTGTAACCAGGTGAGCGGGCCCTCTGGTTTGAAGGTGATGTTGTTGAACGCCAGATCTGTCAACGGAAAAACGACCTGGATCCAGGATCTGATCCTGGAGGAGCGGGCAGATCTGGCGTGCATCACGGAGACCTGGCTGGATGAAGCGGGGGGCGTAAACCTCTCCCAGCTTTGTCCTCCAGGCTTCTCCGTGCAACATCAACCAAGAGCCGGAGGACGGGGAGGCGGGGTCGCAGTGGTCTATAGAGATTCCATCCATCTGACCAGGACCCCCATCCCGCAGTCAACAAATTTTGAATGCGTCCACCTGAGGGTGGGTGACCGGGACAGATTAGGGATTCTGTTAGTGTACCGTCCACCTCGCTGCACTACAGTCTCCCTGCCGGAGCTAGCGGGGGTGGTCTCGAGCCTGGCGTTGGAGTCCCAACGGCTTCTTGTGCTGGGGGACTTCAACATCCATGCCGAGGCGACCCTCACAGGAGCGGCTCAGGACTTCATGTCTGCCATGGCAACCATGGGGCTGTCCCAACAAATAACTGGCCCCACCCACTGTGCTGGACACACATTGGACTTGGTATTCTGTCAGGGATGGGAGCAGGGTGGCGGTGTGGAGGAGTTGTCTATCTCTCCGTTGCCATGGACCGACCACTTCCTGATCAGATTTAGGCTCACTGCACCCCCTAACCTCCGCAAAGGTGGAGGACCCATTAAGATGGTCCGCCCCAGGAGGCTTATGGATCCGAACGGATTCCTGACGGCTCTTGGGGATTTTCCCGCCACCTCGGTAGGTGACCATGTCGAGGCCTTGGTCGCTCTCTGGAATGGGGAGATGACCAGGGCAATTGACAGGATCGCTCCGGAACGTCCCCTCTCAAGTAACCGAGCTAAACCAGCTCCTTGGTTCACTGAGGAGCTGGCAGCGATGAAGCGAAGGAAGAGGGTACTAGAGAGCGTGTGGCGCTCGGACCCAAGCGAGCCAAATCGAGCACGGTTTGTGTCCTTTCTAAGGGCATATGCCGCGGCAATAAAAGCCGCAAAGAAAACTTTCTTTGCGGCCACTATTGCGTCTGCAAAAAACCGTCCGGCGGAGTTGTTTCGGATTGTCAGAGGTCTTTTAACTCCCCCTACCTCAGGTGGGGCCCTGACAATTCGGTCACGCGCTGTGAAGCATTTGCTCGGTTCTTTGCAGACAAAGTCGCTTTGATCCGTTCTGGCCTGGACACCATGTTAAATGCAGTCTGAGGATGTAACACGAGCACCTGCTTGTCCTATTTTGATGGATTCATTTCAATTGGTGAAACCCGAGGATGTGGACAAGATACTTGGAGGAATGAGGGCTACCACGTCCATCCTAGACCCCTGCCCATCCTGGCTTCTGAAGGAGGCCAGAGGGGGATTGACTGAGTGGGTAACGGTGGTGGTTAATGCCTCCCTTCGGGAAGGCAAGATTCCAGCGAGCCTAAAACAGGCTATTATAAAACCGCTGTTGAAGAAACCATCATTGGACCCCACTAAATTTGACAACTTTCGGCCTGTTTCCAATCTCTCCTTCTTGGGCAAAGTCATGGAAAGCGTGGTGGCCTCACAACTCCAGGTATTCTTGAGAGACACGGATTATCTGGATTCGGCACAGTCTGGTTTCAGACCGGGACATGGTACCGAGACGGTCTTGGTCGCCTTAGTGGATGATCTCCGCGGAGCTAGACAGGGGGAGTGTGTCCCTGTTGGTGCTCCTGGATCTCTCAGCGGCCTTCGATACCGTCGACCACGGTATTCTTCTGGGACGCCTTGCAGGGATGGGCCTTGGGGGCACCGCTTTGTGGTGGCTCCAGTCATTTCTGGAGGGCCGTACCCAGAAGGTGTTATTGGGGGACTCCTGTTCAACACCGCAGCCTTTGACCTGTGGTGTTCCTCAGGGTTCCATACTGTCCCCCATGCTGTTTAACATCTACATGAAGCCGCTGGGTGAGATCATCCGAGTTTCGGGGTGCGGTGTCATCTGTACGCAGATGATGTCCAACTCTGTCACTCCTTTCCACCTGCTACTAAGGAGGCTGGTCCTGAACCGGTGCCTGGCCGCTGTAATGGTCTGGATGAGGGCGAACAAACTGAAATTAAATCCAGACAAGACAGAGGTACTCCTGGTCAGTCGCAAGGCCGAACAGGGTATAGGGTTACAGCCTGTGCTGGACGGGGTCGCACTCCCCTTGAAGGCGCAGGTTCGCAGCTTGGGTGTGACCCTGGATTCGTCGCTGAGCCTGGACCCCCAGGTCTCAGCGGTGACCAGGGGAGCATTTGCACAGCTTCGGCTCGTGCGCCAGCTGCGCCCGTATCTTGGGAAGTCTGACTTGGCCACGGTGGTACACGCTTTGGTCACATCCCGCCTCGACTACTGCAACGCTCTCTACGTGGGGCTGCCCTTGAAGACGGCCCGGAAGCTTCAGCTAGTCCAGCGCGCGGCAGCCATGTTGTTAACCGGAGCGGGACGTAGGGAGCATACAACGCCCCTGCTGTCCCAGCTCCACTGGCTGCCGATCAGCTACCGGGCCCAATTTAAGGTGCTGGTGTTAACCTACAAAGCCCTAAACGGTTCCGGCCCAAAATACCTTGAGTACCGCATCTCGGCCTACGAGCCCACGAGGACCTTGAGATCATCCGGGGAGGCCCTTCTCTCGGTCCCGCCTGCCTCACAGGCACGCCTGGCGGGGACTAGAGAGCGGGCCTTCTCGGTGGTGGCCCCCCGGCTGTGGAACTCCCTCCCTGCTGAAATTAGACAGGCGCCTTCCCTCATGGCCTTCCGCAAGGGCCTGAAAACCTGGCTCTTTGAAAAGGCCTTCAACTAAGTACTATATTTTTGGAATGACCACCGGAATGGACTATGGCTACGAGACTGATTATGACCCAAACATGACGAGCGGATTTTTAGTTTAATTAGTTGTGGTAGTAAGATGTGTGTTATGGTCCTGATTTATTGTAACTGTTGTCTTTATGTTCTATGTTCTGTACACCGCCACGAGTCGCCTTCGGGCTGAGAGTGGCGGTTAACAAGTGCAAATAATAAATAAATAAATAAATAAATAAATCAAAAATACACTATGAAAACAATTGTCTGAAGCAGCACAAGTGGCACTCTATATTCACACAAGACAAGATGCATAGTATTTAAAGTCAGCCATGTTATTTTGGTGCATGAGATAGAAAACTGATCCCCACTCTGACAGCAGAGTAGTGAGTAAAGGTAATTCCAGATTATCTGCTTTGAATTGGATTATGTGAGTCTCCACTGGCATATAACCTGGGATATGCAGATAATCTGGGATCGGATCCTGGGATATAGGGCACTGTACAAGGGGCCTCAGTCACATTTCCACACCATCCAGAATCTGCTACTGATTTTTGGGAACAACCTCCATCTGCCTGATGATAGACTGAAGCTTACATGAATTCTACAATTCTCAAACTCACATGCTGTTTCCTTCACCGACATCACACACTAAGACCACCTTGGCCATTTAAATGCCTTTTCCTTTAATCTACTGAGCTATGAAGGCACAAACAGGGGGTTAGCAAAACCTTTCACCCCCAAAAAAGCACATAAAACCAAGTTCACTACCAAATAATATCAACCAAGAGCTTTTCTTCCATCTTGCCATGATGGTGGCCATACCTGTAGAGTTGTTTCCTCTTGCCGCCCTTGCAACTGGCATTGAGAGTCACTTGGTCTTGGTCCAGGCACAGCCAAGCACTGAAAGCAAATGCAGAACCCGGCCATTTGTGAATGGTTGGCAACGAAATGCCCGCCATGCTATGCGATAAGTCAAAATACTGCAAAGCACTGTCCAGGCCCTGTTTTCGAGCCATCGCAAGGATCGCCCTCATCACAGGGACAACGTAAGGATGTGCCTGCTTTGGGTCCTGAGTCCTGAGTAGCCTAATAAGCTGGTGCAGGTCTTCAGAACTCATGGACTGACTCCCCAAAGAGCCCAAGAGGCCGATCAGGTTCTCTGCACAGACCCCATGCAGCAGAGAGTGTCTATTCAGCGTTTCGATGATACGAGAGACCATGTTTGTATTGACACAGATGGCACGACTCTGCCGATTAATGCAGCAAATCCGCTTCAACAAGTTTGAGATGAAGACTTGAAGATCATGTGACTCGAGCTCCGGAAGCCACTGGATCAGCAGCAACAAGGGCTGGACGTTGCTTATGCCCAACATGCCAACAGATGTGTGGTCGCCCTCAATTGCCTATATTAGAAAGCAAATCAAATAAGTTACCAGGAGGTCAGATAGCAAGATATTGAGTCTAAGAATTGCCCTTTCAAAATGAGAACAAGATGTTCTCTGACACATAAAAGTCTGGGAGATTTTCCTTTGAGGAGGAAACTTTTATGGTGGATTCACAGAGTCCAATTTATCATCATGAGCAATAGTATACAAAAGTCACAATAAATCAATCATTCTTTAAAGCAGAGCTTTCCAAACATTTCATGTTGGTGACAGACATTTTAGTCTTGAAGCACTTCGCGATACAGTAATTCAATTTAACTAGGAAATTAGAGGTTAAACCAACTTCTGTGCAGACATATACTGTTCATAAATGTTAATAACACAATGTACGGGGGACACAACATATCTCATGAAATCCTTTCATATATATATTTAAAAATATATGTAAGATAGTAACATACATTTCCAATATTTTTGTAATTTACAAATAACAATATGTTATTAATACTAATATTAAAAATGTTAATGATACCAATCAGCACTTTTGCTGTGTAAAAATGCAAGCAAGTTGGTACTGCTTATTTTATATAAAACTCAAGAGGTTTCTTGTTACGTTCATGCAACATACCTACACACTGTAGTGGACACACATGTTGCAACACACAGTTTGGCACCCCTTGGGTTTGAAGTGGGCTGGGTCCCCCGTTACGATCTGGTCATCGACCGTAATAATAAAGTTTATTTACTTACTTTACTAGTTTGGAAAGCTCTGCTGTAAAGTCTTCAAAGATTTATGCTACAACACAGTAAAGATAGCTTTGGAATTTTTTCATGATTACTGTTTGCAGTTGGCAGAATTTATATATATGGTACAAATAGACTAAAATAATCATGAATTCATATTTATTTCACAATGAGACAGACCTAAATTCAACTAAAGTAGACTTATTAAATCAATGGAAACTTAATCCATTTCTGCTGTTCCAGTGGATTTATTCTAGTCGAAAACAACAACTGGATTTGGATCATCATAGATTTATTGTAATGTATAATATAAAAATCTACACAAAGATATATTCTCATGCATGTGCATGCATACATGCAAATCAAGACACACACACACAATGTGTATATTCATTGACATAAGCCTTTGTGAACTAAAGCACCTTGTTTGGGCATATGCATCAGTACAAAGAAAAAGAGGCAGGAGCAAGGTCTGTGGCATTTCTATGCAAAGGAAAAAGGTACTTAAGAGAGGAACAGCAACTTTGATATATTTTGACTTTCCATAGCAATGTCACAGTCCAATTTCCTTTTCTGTATATATTTTTAATGTATACCTTTATTTGCATGCATTTATAGTTCTCAACCTGTGGGTCCCCAAATGTTTTGGCCTTCAATTCCCAGAAATCATATCAGCTAGTAAACTGGCTGAGATTTCTAGGAGTTGAAGGCCAACATATCTGGGGACCCACAAGTTGAGAACCACTGCCTTATGCCATCATAAACCTCACAAGCTCCTGTGATTGTACAAAGAATTTCTGTTGGTTTGGTGACAAGCAACTAACGTAATGACCCTGGTAAACAACCACAAAAATAACTAAGCCTCTCACCATGTTCATAAGTTCTTCAAGTAGCTCCCGTGAAGGCTGACCCATAGATTTAAGGACTTCAAATATATGAGCGTAACCAATCCGCTCCTTAAACACTTCCTGGGGAAAGGGGGTAAAATTAAGATGGGCTGTAAACAGCGTTGTTTGTGAATCTACAAGTATCTTTAAATCACAATTTCAGTGCCAAACAAGTTCCAAGGTTACATATAAACTCTTCATTTAACAGTGCATATTTTATTTTAGAAAGAAGCAACTGCCATTGGTGACTTTACATACTTTTTCTACAAGAACATCAAAATGGCCACAATTTTAGGTAGCTAAGATTCCCTCCCTCACCTTTGGAAAAACCAAGAGGAAATGTCTCAGCATTCCCAAAAACGAGTCCACAAATGAAATAAAATGTCCAGGTTTCATTTACCTGCATGTAATAAATTTTGTCCTTCCTAGGAATTTTCAAAGTCCCCTTAAATTCTGTGGTATGCTTCTGCCAAAATTTACCAAAGAGTCTCATTGGAGGACCTACAAATTCCTAAAGAAGATACCTCTCTATGAATGTTCTAGTCCTTCGGGGCACATTTTTGGTAAGTTCTGCCAGAAATCTTTCATTTCAATATGGTTTCCATTTCCCATTCCTCCTACAGATATAGGGGTAATACTGTATTTATTTTGTTATCTGCCTAACGTATACTCTGCAAACTGGCACCTAAAATTGGATCTACACGTAAAGCAAAATAAAGTGGGAGGGCTCAATGTGCTACTTCGGACTACAGATGATAGATACATCTTCTGAGTGCTCTCCTATATATAAAAAGAACTAAAAACCTTTCATCGAGATAAGTTCAGATCTAGTCCTTTGTCCTGCTAGCTTTCGAACTGCAGTAATTTTTTGTTGTAGGCAGGAAAATTCAAAGATACGATTCCCATACCTCAAAAACAGTGCCATCTATTCTAGTTTCTCTGCAACTTACAAGGTCATACTGATAAATGTAAACAAGGCAGGTTTGCGTACAATAGCATCCACGTATTGGCAGGAAGGAACAAATCACGTGCTTTGACATTTTAAATATACAGTGGAACCTCAACTTACGAGCATCTCAAGTTTTGAGTTTTTTGATTAACGACCCATTGCTCATATGATTTTTTTAGTTCGACATGTGAGCCAGATCAGAGTTATGAGTCCCTTCCAAGATGGCAGCCGTGTCAGGAGACTGGAGAGAGAACAGCCAGAGTGTTGACCGCACCAGCCTCACGCCATTGTTTGGGTTGTGGGGAGGACAAGAGAGAGCCGCTCAGGAAGGAAGGGAGGGAGGGAGGGAGGACTGTCTGAAGCCCCAAACCCCTTGGGGCTTTGGCAAATGGGTTTGATTTGATCTGTGACCGAGATCTGGAACTGATTAATAGCATTTCAGTGCATTTCAATGGGGAAATTTGCTTTGACATATGAACAACTTTGAGTTACGAGCTTGGTCACAGAACAGATTAAACTCATATGTCAAGGTATCACTGTATTGTGAACCTCCATGGATAACTGAAACAGTGGATAATACTGAGCCCTGTATTTTAGCCCAGAAGCATACCACAGAATTGAACTGGAGGTCCTAAAGAAGCCCACAAACTTTTCAGCAAGAGAGGATATTTGCAAAGGTTTTCAGGACTTTAGGAGAGGAAATTGTTTTGGAGCATATGTAAGTGAACCCATGGATCTCAAGTATGATGAGAGGAGGGGTGTACTGTATAGTATCTCACACCCTCACAGTGACAGTAATCAGCATTACTACAAAAAGAATCACCAATATAAATTATATTGGGTGTGTTCACATTTCATAATAAGTCGTACATTGTTGTTTAAACTGGGTGTACATAGCAAATGACCAAAAAAAAAAAAAACCCTTAAACAAACCATAGCTTGCCTTTCCTGTTTCTGATTTCTTACATTGTTTGGTCACCCGCCCATTTTGTCAGTTTCTATTTCCAGGCAAGCAGCTGGAGAAGCAGGACACAGTTATAAGCTTGGAAACTGTGATAAGTCTATGTAAGCCAAGAAGTAGCTATGGATTCAAAATGCAATTTTCAGCTGGTTAACAAACCATGGCTTGTTAGCAGAGGCTGGTTTGCACACCACAACGAACCAGGTTTCAACAAACCACACTACGGCTTACACCAACAGGACATTACCATCCAAAGTGGTGTAAGAAGACTGGAATTATAATTGCGACACAGAAGCCCCGCTTACCTTTGCAGCTGGCGATTTGTGCATCACTGCTGTGAGGGCTCGAATGGCCGATACAGCCAAGCAGTCCAGCTGTCCCTGAAACACCTGAAAGCCGCAAAATACACAACATATTGTACATAAACATAATTAGTGAACACTTTGAAGAAGGCATTCCACCCTGTTGTCGCTCGCCAGGAGGAAAACAAGAGCTCATCCACATGCTTTTCAATCATCACCCCACAAAAGGCATGGATTTGATGACACCACAGCCTACAAAGGGAGAGGACATCAGAGAAGGGTAGCCACATATTTCAAGGAGGAAGAGGAGGAGCATCCACACATACTCATTAAGACAGTTCGACTGACAAAGTTTCCTCATGCTGCAAATGGACAATCTCAAGAGGGAGGGATGTCTACCAGCTTCGTAACAATCAGTCCTCTGTGGATGATGTGCAGAACCAGTGGTTTAGAAGCAAAGCATTCTCCAGCACATGAAATCGTCTTCAGAAGAAGAGACCTAAGATCATTCACTGAGGCCCCTTCCACACTGCCATATAAAATCCAGATTATCTGCTATGAACTGGATTATATGGCACAGTAGACTCATATAATCCAGTTAAAAACAGACAATGTGGATTATCTGCTTTGATAATCTGGATTATATGGCAGTGTAGAAGGGGCCTGAGTCTGCAGCCTATTGTTTCTACAATGTATTAATCTCCAATCCTTCCTTCATAAGCAGTGCCAATAGTATCTCAACTCAAAAGAGTCACAAGTCTTTCTTAAAAGTTATTTCATTTTAGTAAGACAATTTGTCTACTACTCTTTTTTTAAGGCTAGATACGGTATATTTTGCCACTGAAATAGGAAGGTCTATTGGTTAACCTGCATAGAATTGTGTGAAAATAAAGTGATACTGTGCACAATAATGAAATGGGAGGTCTTTAAAAGATGTTAGGTGAATTGATTCTTATGCAATGATCACCATGCTGAGTTATAAACAGATTAATTTAGGCAGAACCAGAATTTCATCAGTGCATTATTTTCACATGTTTAGTCATTTGGCACAAGAACCTATTTGTTGTTAAAATCTCTACATAATAGTTAAAGAAGTGTTAAAGTAAGAACTGGAAGGTCTGCAGTTTTTCATGACGACAAAAGGAAACATTAAAAGCAAAACCCACGGTCTCTTCTTCCCACCTCCCAGATTCAGTCTGTCCATTAGGAACATTGCTTTTGGCAACAGAATCAAAACATCCAATCCAACCACACAGATTCCACAAAGCCCAGAGTCCAAAACACCAGAGTGCCGAGACAAATCTTAAAAAGAAGTGAGGGAGAAGGAAGAAGGGGGGAAACTAAAATAAAATTAAATCACAACTTGATGATTTTGAAACTGGACTTCTATTCCTGGACTTCACCTTTGTTCGTTTACAGTAAAAGTAATATTTGGAGCTTCTTTAAACTTGAGTTGTAGTTTTCAGTTAATTAAAATGAGCAGATATTCTGCGTAAAGGCTGATCTGTGAACAAATCAGAATTGCCTGGGTATTTGAAGTGAACCCATCTGAGGTGAAGTTCAGGAAACAGTTCGTTCCACTGATTGGTCACTGTGCCTCAGATTCAACTATAAGCAAAATGCAGTCTTGCTGGTGATACCTGTTCCTGATTCATTTCTGTCAGTAATTTGTTGGCAAGGTCTTTCTCAATCTTGTCTGCCACCTTATTGTTAGCATTTAAAAACAGCTGTTAAAACGGAAGATAAGAATAATGGTAACTGGTGTGTTAGGTAGTTCATCCACAGCTGGTGCGATGAAGGCTGTTGCAAAGCATTGCAAACATCACAAAAGCCTTGCCACTGATAAGTTAACACAACGACAGACACAAGTGAATGTGCTCTTTTCCAAAAGGAAGAGCGAGGAGTATATTTCCTTCCCAAATATGGATTCAGCAGAGTGAAATATGAAGAGAGGAAACTGGCACAAGTGGCTATGGATGCAGAAAAATGCCAGGCAGATCTAGCATTAATATTTTTACTTTTACTAATTAATAGAGTCAGAGTGAAATATGTGCTTCTCTTTTTTTAAAAAAACCCACCAAAACACTTTTCTATAAACATTTTGAATTCAGTGGGATAGTCCATATACAACACCTTGAGCTTTTTACCAAGGGGGTGCCATTTTCCCACAAATTCTCAGTGTCTTCATTCTGATCCCTTTAAAATATTATTAAGAGTTAAGAACACTTGTCTGACCAAGGTTCATACTAAGCAGGTTTTTTGTTACCCCAAATTTGAAAATCCTTCAAATTTTACATCTAAATTTCACATCCTATTTAGTTGAGAAAATCTGCTTTCAAAACCTGTCAGTGGAGAGGATGAGAAAATGGAAAACGATACTATGCTCCTAATCATGTAACTATGTCAGAGAGATAGGAAATATTGTATATTTGCCAGCAAAGTTTGAAGAGATACAAAGACTATATATCACATGCAAAGACCTGCTGCCATACATGTTGTAATCAAGGTCAATGTTACAACAGTCCTTCCACATTTCCACAAAAGTGGAAAACCCATCATGGATTATATGGCAGTGTACAAGGGGTCTAAGGCTGCTGAATTGTGTGCCTTCAAGCCTGAGACCATTAAAAGTAAGAGGATTATGGGCATGAAAGGCTAGGTTCTCCAGGCAAGAGATACCCCCCCCCTCCAAATTAATACTTACACACGTAAAAACAATATAGAAATATTTACAAAGAAAAATAATGTTTATGTAAATAAATTTAACGTATACACAAGTGGTTTTATTTATTTATTTACAGTTCTTATATTCCGCCCTTCTCACCCCGCAGGGGACTCAGGGCGGATTACAGTCAACACATATATGGCAAACATTCAATGCCAGTTTGACAAACAACGTTTAACACACAAATACACCAAGGCTATTTAACTTTTTTCTGGCCGCCAGGGGAGCTGCTGCTTTTCATCGTCCATCAGCGACACCGATGAAGCTCTTCCGCATTCCACATTCCCCGGAGTCTTTTTTCTTTATGGCCTCATAAATTAGTTAAATTTAGCCTCCCACACAAGGTGGTGCCTTATTTTCCTACTTGACAGATGCAACTGTCTTTCGGGTTGCAAAGGTCGACAACGGGCTACACAATGGCTGGACACCCACTCCAGCCCGGGCTGGTTCCCTACCTGTGGTCTGTGGACCTCCAGTGGTTCGCAAGAACTAAATTATGGTCCATGACCTCAGTTTCTACACCATTGCAATGAGAGAGACTCGTCTCGTGAAACTCTCTTATAGTGCTGAAGCTTATTAAATATGATTTTCTGTGGGTGAGCAGATGGTGACTACTAGATGGCTTATGTTCTGTATCAGAAACTAGACCTGACGTGGTCTATCCAATGCAATTTTCTGAATCAGCACCCCAAATAACCAAACTGAATATAAAGTTGATCAAAAATTGATTTGTAACCCTTTTGGTATTAATGTTGGAGAGTGGTCCCTGGTCAAAGTGGTCCCTGGTCAAAAAAAGTTTGGAAACCACTGGTATACACAAATCAAAATGAAAAATGAAGTTGGCGTGGCTAAACACACACATACAGTGTCATCAGTGTTACAAGGAATAATGCTTTCCTTATTGTATAATAATGTCATTATGAAGACAAAAGCAATTATGAAGACAATTATCAAAAGAAAGAAAAAATAAAGGAAAGAGAAAGGAAATTAAATATTATTTTCCTTTCTGTTACTAGAATTACAATTACAATTCCCTGGAAGCACCACTGAATTAAGTAGGGTTCTCCCAGCAAAGTGAATTTAGTATAAGATCTGAAGTCTCATGCTGCTGTCAGTTCTTGAATAATGTCAACTTGTCAATTTGATGAGATTGTTAGGATATCTGTAGGGTATAGGTAAGTTAGCAAGTAAAAAAAATCTCAAAAATAAATTTGGCATTATACAATAATAAGCACGGTCACCAAAACCCAACTAGCTGTGGATGTCAAGCATATATGAACACCTAGGATCCCTAAAGAATGATACTGTTAGCTTTCCAGATTGCAATCAAAAGCAATATGTGAGGTTCCAACAGGACGAGAAAAAAGCATCAGATAATGGCTGATGGCTAATTATAAGGAGTAGAAAGAGTATGAGTGTGCATCTGTGGATGCCCAATAATGGGCAGGTGTTGACTATTAGAAAGAGAACAAGTAGCGGAATCATCATTAAAGAGATATGGATATGTGCAATTCATTTGCAGAATGTTGATCCAGAGATAATTTTCTTGTTCACATTAGAAGGAAAATCTATTTTAGGGTATTCTAACAATGATTTGGGGAAAATTAATTGTTTTGCCTTGTATGAAATACTGGTAGGTATGTTGCTATAGTATCTTGGGTCAAATATAAGGACATTTTGGTATCACGTCAAGCCTTCACTTTGTACTCAGTTTCTTGAGTCCAGTAGGTTTTGCATTCCCAATGTTCCTTCTTCGAACAGGTTAATGTTTTTACTACAGAAGTAATAAGTAAGGTCTGCAATTTCTATTTTAATTGTAGTGCTTGATATCTGGTATTTCCAAATCTGGGAAACTGTAGTTGACACTGTAACTGTCTCTGCAGAAGTCACGCAAGGAGCTTTACCAGCTGTTTTGGAGAAGCTGAAGATGGAGCAATTGAACTTCCTTCATGTACACCATGTGCTCTACATCTGTACTTCTCTGAAAATCTTACTTGTACTTGGTTCCAGTATTTAAACATACAGTTCATACCTTTCTATATCCTCCCTATTAAGATAACAAAACTACTTGAGTTTCAGTCTGGCATGATTTGCCTTGCAAATTGAGCAGATTTATTACTTGAACCAAGGATAATTCGAGCATTCAATACTCTCAATATTCTGAAGAGTGAAACCTATGGAAAGAGACGGTCCTCTCCCTCTGCTCCAAGGATAGAAAGACTGAGCTACTTCCATATTACTCACAATGGCCCTATTAGGAATCTGGCAATAGGAGCTAGACATTAGTAGATACAACTTCCTAGCATTGCATCTTTTACTTGTTGTGTGACGTAATTAGAATAACATATACAAGACTGGTATTTGGGCATGATAACTAGAAAAAAAACACCAATAATTGCTCAGTATTTCAATGATGGACAGAAGTGGAATCATGACAATGGCCCAAATTAAAAACTCAACCCTGAATAAACAGTAACTAAACCTTTGAAAATGTCATGAAACAAAATTGAATGTTTTCTGTGTATACTCTCATTGACACCACATGTCAACTGGGAACACAGCCACATTCAGATTTATTCAGGTGTAAGTGTCACCAATTTTAATAGGATGTACAGTTTCATGTATCTGGTCAGGAAACCTGGAGTTTATTCAGTAGAATCTGATTGTCTGATTGTGAATAGCAACTTAAGGTCATGTTCAAAGGTCCTCAGGCTTCCTGTAATTTTTTTAAATTTTTTTTTTGCAAATTTGGAGCCATCTTAAGGAAGACATACTGTTTCCACCTCATTTTTCTCCTCTTCAGCATGAGCCCCCTTTCTTTTCCAAGCTAAGTTTTAAAGTAACATATGTAGCACTGTTTAAAAGTTAATGTTCACCAGGTTCCTCTCAAAGTGTCTGAAAGACCACATCTAGTGTACAAGAGAAGTTTGGTTAGTACAGTTAACCACCTTTTGTAATTATGCTGGAAACTAATAGACACTATGCACCTTTACTTAGAAATCCTAGAGTTTCAAAGAAGTTACTTCTATAATGCATAAACATAGGTAAGTATACTAGTTTATGTTGAAAAAGGGAATGGGGAGATATCTTTCAGATACCGTGGGAAGGCATATTCCTTAGTATAACTCCTGACTGACAAATTACAAGAGAAAGGTATGCTGAGGAGCATTCAACTATTTCAGGAACAAAGGGACTGCTGTCCAGTTTGTATATAGCACTACTTAATAGTTAATGTTCACCATTAATACAGAGCTCTGCATAACTAGAATGAAAATATGTGGGTTGCTTCTTTTGTGAGTACAATGTATTCTTCTATTATTCATGCCCTGTCCAACCGCCAATAAAACAACTGAATATGAGCTGCACATCTAAGCAACAAAACAAAAATGACTCCCCTCCAATGTTCTGGAAGCACTCATGGTATTAATAGCATTAAGGAAGCACAAGCTGTTTCTCAGGGGCAAAATATTCCTTACATCAATTCACTCTGTACATGGTTATGGTGAAGATTTTATCGAATGCATAGTCAAGACATTAGAACAACTAAGTGCTTATAAAAGCTGGAACAATGAGGTTTAGACATCCATACACAGCAGTAAAGAACTAGGACACACTATTCAGTTTACCTTGCAATTCTGCATCAGTCGAATAAGATGCTCAAAACAGTTGCTGTTAAGGAAGATCGCTTGCAGTACAGGCCTATCTGTGCAGTCTAACATGGCAGTGATGGTATCTACAAGCAGAAGCGGTGGGTTTTTTTTAATCAAAGAGAAAGTAATAACATATTTTAGAACTTCAAAACAATTATATTAATAGACCTTTCAGAGAACAGATGATAACAAGAATTCACTGTGAAGCTTAAGGAAGAACATGTAGAACGTGCTGAATTAAGTACGACACACAGGAACAAGGGACGCTTTTGTGAAGACTGAAAGTAAGAGGAGTCCCATTGTGTTTAATTGAAAGGTCATTGTAGTGTCGTATTGCCTTAATGGACATCCAGATGCCTATGAGAAGGCCACAATTAGTGAATAAAAGCAACAGCTATCTCCTTATATTACCACTTAGCAACCAACGCTCAGTTAATAACAGTTGTTATTAACTGTCATCAAGTCAATTTCAACTTATGGCTATCCTATGAATGAGGGACCTCCAAGTCACCTTATCAACAACAGCTCTTACAGGCTCAGGGCATGGCTTCCTCAACTGAGTCCACTCATCAGTCATGCAGTTTTCATCTTTCCTACTGCTTTCTCCCCTAACAAGAATTATTGCCTTTTCTAGTGAGTCACGTCATTTCATGATATGCAGTCTTAGTTTAGTCATCTTAGCTTTTAGGAAGAATCCAGGCTTTATTTGCTCAGGGACCCATTTATTTATCTCTTTAGCAATCAACAGTATCTGCAGAACTTACAAAGGCCTGATGTAGTAACCATGAATAATAATCTGCTTTATCCACTTCTAAAAGAACCAGGTAGACATTGCAAGAGCTATATTTTAAAAATGTCATCTTTGTAACTTATATATTGTTGCCACATTCTAAAATATCAATACTGAAGGGCAATATAGACATTTTTAAACAAATCATCGCCACCATCATCATCACTCCTACACACCGATCATAAGATACATCAACTGAAGTTCATGAGATTCACATGTTGGCTCCATCCAAATGCAAAAATATGTTAGAATTATGCAGACCCATGAAAAAGCTACATTGTGGTGAGCAATTTCACTTTTCCCACAAACACAACATGCAAAGCCATCAAAATGAGTTTATGACATGTATGGCCCTAACCTAAGCTCCTGACCCGTAACTCACAAACAAGATAGTACTCTTAAGCCAAATACAAATCCCAATGTTGAGATAACAAAGGAAATTAAGGATTGGAAGCTTTTACCTCTCATAATTTTTGACTTAAGCCACTCATCAGCTCTACCCAGCATGGCCAACTGTAAAAGATAATAGTAGTTGTACTCCAACTAAAGACTCTCCAACATTCATGCTAAGCAAATCATTTCCCCCAATCCTTTACCACTGGCCGTGGTGAATGACTCTGATGAGGAGCACAGGTCAACATACCGAGAGGACCAATGACCCTCCAACAGGAAAATGTGGTCCCAGGCATCATTCTCCATCTATATCTTGCCGTCTTGCAAAGGATCCTTTTACTTACTCAGCATTTGAATCTGTAGTGCAATGAACCTGCTTTCCCACTGCCGAGACCTCCGGGAGTTAGGCAAAGCTGAATGGTCAGAGTTGAGCAATTTGAAGTAGTTCTCTAGTATGGTACTAGTTTCCACTTGCCGCTGGTCTGAGCTGCTGGTCAGAAGGATGTGAACCACTTCTGTCAGGCACATCAGTGTCAGTTCTGCCTTCCGGCTCACTTCGTCTGGGTCTCTATTATCCCACATGTCGCAGTCTGCTAATACGCGCATCAAGACTTCCATGGTGGCAGGGGATATGGCTTGAAGAGCATTTCTCTAAAGCAGCAAAAAGCTCTAAGTATCAGAACTATTTATTATAAATTAAAAATCTCTTAGCATCAGTAACTATTTATTATATACAAAGTCAACAGCACATAACTTTTAAAAAGCTATAATTTTATTGATAGAGAATGGATAAATTAATACTTGGGCGTGGAAACAAAGACATGAAGGGCCAGAAAAATTCTATTAGAAACATCCCTCATTTTTTCTAAATAGTTTTTCAACTTTTCCCACAGCAAAACTAGATACTTAGAGGAACACAGGAAAAAAATATATAATGAAATATTTTCTTTTTTTCATAATTAGTGATTTAAAAAAAAGATAAGGGTTTACTCATTCCAAATGTCAGGGTCAGTGTAATTTGTGTACTGTGCAAATTTGCAAACAGTAATTTCTGTACATTCATCAGACATATACAGCACTGGTGACTGTTTATGGAAGAAGGTTACTGAAGCGTTGCTGAACATCTTGCATTGAATGAGTCTACCACAACTTGGATTACCATTCTATTTAATTCTAGCCTGCATAGCCAATAATTTATAAATTAGATTAAACACATTTGAAAGGTGTTGGGTGCTGGGTTTGGAAAGCCTTCATTTACAACACAGTCTGAGAAATGTCCAACCGCCGCTTCTCCCGGATCACATATTTTAATCCCCATGGCAGTTTTAGCCCCTGTATTTATAGCCTGCTTTTAGCTGCTACAAATCTGTATTTTATTGCACTGGTATGCAATATTCAATATTTGTGTTAGTATGGATCTGTTAAACTGTGCTGCTGTTTTTTAAAAATATATGTGGTTTTTTGGCTGCCACAAACTAGGTTGAATTGGTTGGCACTCAATGATATATTCATTGAAAAGTTATAGCAAAATGTGCTACAGAATCTCACGCAAAAACAAAGTTTTTGCAATTTAATAAACTTTTCCCATATTTGATTTTAGAACCAATTAGGAAATGACATTTCCTAACCCAGAAAAAAAATTGTGTCATGTAGTGTCATAAGCCAAAACATCTGTGATTGAAGATACCACTCCCCATGTCCTATGGACAAAAATATGATGTTAATATCTTCTCAGCATTCTCCTCACCTGCCCACCAGCCACGATAGCTCCAAAAAGATGTAGCAGACAACATTTTAGGCTTTCCTTGAGATGTTCACTTTCTTGAAAACACTCTGAAAAAAAAAGAAAACGAATTGTTTCTACACCAGTCTTGAGCCTAAAAACATGTATAGACAAGTGTCCAAATAAACTCTTTAATAGTCATAATAAAGGTTAACCCTGGACTGCTATATAAACAATGTAAGTTATCATAACAGGTGTTATTTATTTAGTTATATAAAATGTTTAAAGAAAGCTATCACAAGGTCAGGCTCAGCTATAAGAGAGATTCACCAATAGATCAGACTTCTGAAGGAAAAAAGGGATAATTTCTTGATCAAAAAATACAAGCAATAAGAGCATAACATTATACATGACTAATTTTATAGCTATTTACTTGGTTCTGCAACCATTGAGGAAGGCCAGAGAATACAAACACACCACGTCAATTCTAAATTCCTATCTACATTTCTGGTTTATTAAATGTTTATCTTTTTGATTTCTTGGGATCATGTGTGTGTGTGTGTGTGTTTCTGTTAGTGGAAGCTTGTGGATACAGAGGGCCAATTATATATATATTTTTACATAGCTCTCAGCGCTCTTTAGGTTTTACCCAGTTTGAGTCCCCAGATGTTATCGAACAACAATTCCCATCATTTTGATTATCCGCCATGTGAACTGGAAATAATGAGAATTACAACCCACCATCACTTGTTGCTATGAGTTAGGGGGACTGTTAAAGGACATTTTCAAATCTGATATCATATCCGGAAGCTTTGTGTCTAAAATCAGACACCACTCTCATGATTAAACAGAACAAACTGCAACCTGGCAGATGTTACTGTATCCCACCAGCTCTAATCTAGTCATAAATGTCTAATGATGAAGAATACAGGAATTGTAGTCCAGCATCTGGAGGGCTGGATTTGGCCTGTTTGACACATGTGATCTAGAACAATGGCTCAGAGATTTGATAAATAACACTTTACCTTCAAATCCTACTGTATAGGAATACTATCATGAGACCACTTGGAAAAATAATTTTAAAAGTGTTTACTCAGCTGAGAAATATGTGCCCCTCTTTTATTTTCTTTTTTTCTTTTTGAAAATACTGGCCCAAAATACTAAACCAGGAGTAGGAAAGCCATGGGCTATAGGCCACATGTGAATCCCAGAGCCACTTCTGTCCCTTCTAAAAGTAATGGTAGCAATTCTACATCCCTCCCCATGACCATAAGCTCTGTTGATAAACTCTACCAGCTAGCTAGCATTGCCCCTCTGTGAGAGAAATAAGGTTGAACACTGTGAAAGCCATCCACTTCATGGTTATCAGCCTCCTCCCAATAGACTCAAATCAAGGAAAAGCCTCATGAGAACCACCACTCCTCTTAACGTTCCCCCAGCAACAGCAAGAGTATCCCTCTGGGCAGCTAAACCAGGAAATTCCAAATGGATGACCCCCATGAGGGTCTTCCTCCAGGGGCAAACCAAATATGGGCAACTTGGAAGTCTCTGAACAGACTCAGACGTGGAGTGGGCAGATCAAAAGACAACCTGGTAAAATTGCATTATCTAGAATAATCTGTCAGAATTATTAAAAATTAACTAGGTATTTTTAATTAGAAAAATGTGAGTCAAGCACTGAAAGAGTTAAATTGATGAAATGACTCAGCAAAAGCTGAAGTACTATATAAGCAGGTTTCTCTGTAGTTTATTAGCCCTCAGTCTGAGGTAGTTCTCAGTGGGAGAAAGGCCTCAGTGGGAGAAAGGCTTCAGTTTGAGTAGGCCTGGTGCGTGAAGCTTTAGTGAGAGAAGCCTCAGGTTGAATGCCATTGTGTGTGAAGCTCCACTGTGAAGCTGCTGTGTATAAAAAGCTACTGTGTGAAGCTCCTGTGTAACTTTGGTGTGAGAAGAGGCTCTGTGAGAGCGAAGTTATTTATCTGCACGAGAGAGAAGCCCAGCGTGGAAGCAAAGAAGTATAAAGAACTTTATTTGTGTTTTAGAAACCTGTTCTTGTAAATAGTGCGACCATATTATTTTGCTACAAAGAAAAGCTTCCTATGGATGAGATAACATTGATCTGTGTGTTTTTGTTCTTTTTATCACTTTGGGCTACTGGTGCTGGGTAACACTTCTGCTGCTAAATTACTCTGCTGTGCATTTATGAGGAGGGTCTTTTGTTAATAAGCCCACTCACCCAACAGAATCCTCCACCTTGTGCGACTGTGGAGCAGAACAAACAACTCCATATTTGTATACTTGCCCACTATGCCCTGCCTCATGTACAGAGGAATAATTGTTGAAAGCTATAGACAATGTGGTTGCTGTTGCCCGGTTTTGGTCAAAAATGATTTAGCTGCTTGTGCTCCTTCTATATATTTTTTAGCAGTTTTATACTTATTTATGCAATGCTTTTGACATGGAATATATATGAACATAAGCCACAAGAGAACTTTTTTTCCAACAAGAAAGTTGACTGAACACAATGATAGAGTCTACCCACAATGCTAAACTTTGGTAAATCTAAAATAGAAATAGAAATTTTTGATGTGTTAAAGGGGGTGGATCTCACATGTCCAAGACTTCCTGCCGTTTCCCTTGTAGTGGTTTAAAACAGGACATCTGAAAAAATGGTCCCCAGAGCTTGTACTTGTTAACATGAAAAACATTTAAGTTTAACTCAGCAAAAGGTGACTAAATGTTCCATGCGATCAAGGCTATTTTTGGGATGGCTCAACTCCTTTTGGCGAAAATTGGGTCAGGCCTGACACATTCCTCCAAAAAACCACTCCACTGTATTTTTGCTCTCTTGCCATACCTGGCATAACAAGTGGCCTAAGGAATTTTTCATAGGTATAAACATTAACCTGGAAGCTGTTGCCATAGCAATACCCTATACATATAAACCAGCTGCAATCAAAACTGAAAGGATTATTTTGTTTGGAATTAGGAACATGAGAAACTCCCAATAAGCCAGCAATGTTAAAATGCCACCACTTTATCTTACAAAAAAAAGCTCAATTCTAATAACAAGGGGACTATTGAAACAAAATCTGTATTTAAGAACTTAAAACTTTTATGTAACTTTACTTAAAAGCAAATAGCTTTTACATAAGAGTAAATAGGAGGTTCCACATTAGAGCTCAATGAACCATCAGCGGTACACACTTAACATCTCCAAATCCTTAATCCTGAAGATTTTTCTTTCAAAAGTGTGAATAAAAAAAACATTTTTCTTCTTATGAACATTGGAACTGATTATATTCAGTTTAAGTCAGATACTGTGTGCCTGCATATTCTTTTATACAGTACTATTTTATACAGAGACACAAACATCAACAATATGTATTCGAAGGACAATTTTTTCATTTTATCAAGGCATTGATATATTTAAATATATTTTCAACACTTGGGAAGCAAAAAACTCGTTCCTTAAAAGTGAATCTTATCCTATAAACACCTATATAATAATATAAACATTGATCCTCATGAACACTAACATGTGATACTCACGGTAAAAGAAAGGGACAAACTCCACTGTGAGCAAAGCTGGTTTGTATTTTTGCCTGCTTTTTTCAACAGTTGTCATAATTCGCCTACATAATTTTTTTTAAAGAAAAAATAAATTTATTTAGATTTATACACGGTATTAGGGAATACGTACAGTTATTTACGACATAGCAATTCTTTATTCAAAGTAAATCAAATAGTATTCCACACAGTGGTATTTTCAATGCTTCCAAGATACTGTTTGGCGTGACTTTATTTCTACATCTTCTACTTTTAGGTAGGAATGGAAAAAATTAGATTACCTGGCTTTACCATTTAAGTTTTATAAATCCCAGAAGCAGTTTATCATGACCTGCATAAAAAAAGGTGCTTTGTACATTAGAAAATTAGTAGTTAGGTAGCTTTGTAGATAATGACCACAGTCAAATAATTACAAACAGCAATGAATTGGAAAATATCCCAATGGTCTAAATAATGTTGCCTGATTTAGCACATTTGGTTTAAATGTGATACTCAAACACATTCAAGACTTTATGTCAAAATATTTTCTGGAAAAATGCAATTTTATAAAGGGAACAGCATATATATTACTTTCCATATATTTAATTTAAAATTACTATAACTGAAAGAGAACATTTCTCAGGACACATGCTAAAGAGAATTGTATCTGATATATCATACATCAATAGGTCAACTTGCTGACGTGTAGCTGTAATAGCTTTCATTTCATTTGTTTTCTACACTTTTTAAATTTCACATTCAGAAAAATCAGATTTCATCCACTCTATGTCATTGAGAGGACAGTGCTTGAAAGACAGGCACTGCTGGGCCCTCACTCATTGAATAAACAACAACTGGATCTTTGGTGTAAAGCAGTGGTTCCCACCCTGTGGTCCATAGACCACCAGTGATCTGCAAGAACTAAAATATGGCAGCCTCATTATTCCTACACCGTTGCAACGAGAGCGACTGGTCTCCCAGAAGCCTCTTATAGTGCCGAGGCAATGGGGATCTCAGGAGGAGAGAGGCCGACTACCCACAAAATGCCTGACAGCAAGCCTCCTGATTGCTGCTTCTCCTCCTCCTCCCTCCCACTGAGCGGAGCTGTTCCATGTGGTGCCTGGAAGCGAGGGGCACCTTGGTGTCTTTGCTTTTAGGCCTGTTCCTTGGGTTATGTGGGGTGCTGATTCATAAAATTGCATTGGATAGATCACATTGGCTCTAGATTATTAAATATGGTTTTCTGTGGCCCAGCAGATGGCCACTACCAGATGGCATATATTCTGTACCAGAAACTAGAGATATCCAATGTAATTTTCTGAATCAGCACTCCAAATAACCAAACCAAATCTAAAGTTGACCAAAAACTGTTTCGTAACCCTTTTAGTACTAATGTTGGAGTGTGGTCCCTGGTCAAAAAAGGTTGGGAACTACTAATGTAAAGAAAACAATTTTTCACGTTGAATATGATCATTTTTTTCCCAGCACTGCCTGAAACTGCATTGCATTGAAAAACTAAATTCAAAGAAAATAAAACATTCACACTAGCTTCACACATACCCTGCAATTTTTTGCCTCCAATTTCGATACGGGTCATACAGACTTTCACAAAAAGCCAGGGCGTGCCTCACAAACTCTTCTATGGGCGTTTGATCTGCCACTTCTTTCTCCTTGGTTTTACTTTTTAACTGAATAGAGACAGAGAAACAGGGGACGTTATCATCCATCAAAATGCTTCCAAATACATAGATTTTGCATGCATGCAGTCCCAGGAAGAAAAAGATTATTAACCCTTAGATGAGGAGCCTCTGGGGACACAATTAGAAGAACAGAAGCATCTCCTCCCTGCTCTAAACCAGCAACAGTCAAACACCTGATCAGGGCCTAGATTTTAGCAAAGATTAAGGTTCATTGAAAATCCTACGTACAGTAAGTTCTTTTCATAACTGTGAAAGAAATACACCAAAGACTATACCACCTATGTACCCATCTTACAATTTGCCTTTCAGCAGCAAGCTGATGTGAAATGGACTGAGTCCAAAAAGCAGTTTTGAGAGTCGGTGTGAAATTTCCTACTAGAGAAAGTGCCTCTGGGTCAAATACTGTATATTTTTTTCCTGTGTATTTTTCCAGGTTTCATCCACCAAACCACTTTTAAAGCCAAGAATGACTAAGAGGACATTAAAAAGCAGATTGTGAATTCCCCTCTGCAAATAAGAAAGCAGCATCGCACTAGAGATAAAACTGGCAGAAGTTAGCCGGCAGAGTGGAAAAACTGCTGCTATGTGTATGTTTTCAAGTCATCCAGCACCAAAGGGTTTGCGGAGGGGGGACGGGACACTATCATACTTAATGCTTTGAAATAATTTTTCAAGTAAAATTTCCCTCATGAATGTGGGCACCAGGCTAGCAGCAGCAGCACATGGTCTAGCAACAGCAATGCACTATCAAGCCTAAAGCTTTCGGCACGGTCTGGTGCTGTAATCCAAAAAAAGTAATTTAAGGATGGCATTTTCTCTAAGTCTTAAGTCTCACTGGCAATATGGGAACAAATCTTATTGACTTACAGTTGTGCATGTAACTAATATTTACTCAAAAAACTTGAAACACGCAAAGCATGCAATATACAAATGCTTACAAGTACCACTACTGTTGGCAAAATTAGTAGAAATATCTTCGATTTCAACATTTATAAAACTGGACATTCAACGTAAATTTAGGACAAAACTGTTTCTAACAATAATATATTTGGAGTGTGCAAAATACAACATTTATTACTGGTACAGGTTGAGCATCTTTTTCTCCAGAATTCCAAAATATTCAAAAATCCAAACTGCATGGAATAGTGACACCTTTGCTTGCTTATATATTTATTTATTGCTTTTATATACCTCTTTTCTCACCCCTGGAGGGAGTCAAAGCGGTAAATATAACCAATGGCAAAATTCAATGCCTCACATGTATAAAACATCACATATCAAATTGACAACATATAACAATAGATTAAAACCATTACAACTATAACAACTATCACAGCTCCAACATAAAACTTTTTGACCTTGCATCGATCCCAGAGTATCTTTAGCTACTTCCATATTTCCATATTTCTGTCATTCATCGAATGCCTGCTTGAACAACCAAGTCTTAAGTTGTTTCCTAAATGTTAAGAGGGTGGTGATCACTCTAAACTCCACAGCTGAGGGGCCATCCCCACTAATTGCACCTGTGAAGGCGGCAGGACCATGAGCAGGACCTCTCCAGCAGATCTTAGTGTTCTAGCTGGCTCATAAAGGGAGATGCGTTTGGACAGGTAAGCTGGAGCAGAACCATTTAGGGAGTTATAGGCCAAAGCCAGCGCTTTGAATTCTGCTCGGTAGCGGACTGGCAGCCAGTGGAGCTGATATAATGTATTGATGGTTCAATGTACACAAACTTTATTTCATGCATAAAATTATAATTAAAATAATGCATATAAGATTGCCTTCAGGCTCTGTTTATATGAAATATACATTTTTTTTTGTTTAGACTCGGGTCCCATCTCTGAGATAGCTCATTATGTACTCATATGCAAATATGGGTAATCCAAAATACTAAAAAATTCTGAAATCCAAAACATTTCTTGTCCCAAGTATTTTGGACAAGTTTCATCCAACCTTTATTACTTTTTTAACATAGTTTACAGCAATAACTCCAGCTCACCCCTTGTTTGGGTATCAGCCAACACGTCAACGACTTAAATCAAGAAATAGTTTTCTAAGATCTACAGAGACACTCGCTGGAACACCTCAGCAAGCAAGAGTCCAAAAGTGGCAGGCTCAGACCCAGAACCTCAACCAATGGCTGATACCAAATGAGAGATTCCTCCCTGGATACACAGAAGACTGGGCTCTGGCACCACGAGATGCAGAGCCAACCTTCAGAAATGGGGCTACAAAGTGGAATCCACGACATGTGAGTGTGGAGAAGAGCAAACCACTGACCACCTGCTGCAATGCAACCTGAGCCCTGCTACATGCACAATGGAGGACCTTCTTGCGGCAACACCACAGGAACTCCAAGTGGCCAGATACTGGTCAAAGGACATTTAATGAACTACCAAGCTTGCAAACTTTGTGGGTTTTTTCTGTTTGTTTGTTTTGTTCTGATAGAAATGTAATACAATGGTCTGGTTGCCCCTGACACGATAGATAGATAGATAGATAGATAGATAGATAGATAGATAGATAGATAGCAATAAATTAGGCCCAAACATTAAGATTAGCAGGCAGAATTATTAGCATCCTTCTGGGATAGTTAATCTTTCATAGCCTTAATGTTTGTGTGCGTGCCTTCAAGTCACCTGTCAACTATGGCGACACAGTGTATGTTTTCTTAGGCAAGGAAAATCCTGAAGTGGTTTTATCTGCTCCTAAATAAATGTCCAAATGCTTATAGGTCACTGTGGAACCGTTACAGTGCATTGGTGTGAGTAAAAATATTCAAAACAGCTTTTATTAATTCTTTCTGCCCAGAGAACCTTTTTTCAACCAAGCATTGAAATTTGAACTCTAGCAATGCAGTAGGAGTGTACAATCCAATTTAATGGCAGGGAGGTGTGGGGTGGACAACAAAATGAGTGACAGGTGATAGAGCAAGATCAAGAGTTAATTTGGAAGAGGCATTAGTTACTATGAAAAGGGAAGTTAAGCAAGTTACCTGCTGAATATAGAGGGTAGTCATCGTAATGACATGATTAATATAGGAGCAAGTCCCAATCTCTTCCACGTTAGCTAAGTTTCTGAAACAAAAATAAACACATGAAAGGTAAGTTCTGGAAAAACTAACTGAACTTAACATGATTTAACATTCTGCAAAAAAGACTGAAAGGGATCTATATCAAGATTTCTATAAGCATTTTGTGCTATGTGTGAAAACACAGAGTGACCTCACATTAAGAGCCTGCATGCCTTCATATTTGAAATATTACCCAAGGCACGAAATCCTACAATGTCTTAGAATCCTTATTTAATCAATAACAACATTGTTCACAAGCCAAAAGTATATAGAAATAGAGCATTAATCATTCAAACTTTGCAAGGGTCACCTATACATTGTGGTATGTTTGGAACTGAATTAAATTAGAACCAAAAATATGGAAAGATAATGTGTTTCACACCAGATGGCCTGCCCATATATCACTCCAAATTCTTCTGAACTGATGTCACACCATGATTATGAGAATGGAAATCATGCAATGTGGGAAGATGGTGCTGTGAAAGAAGCAACTTCATGAAGGGTTAAGCAAAAGAACTAGGAGTTGGCTGGACTGAAGGAGGAATTACTGGTGCCTCTCCCCACAAAACACTTCTATGTTTTCTCTGAAAGGGCAATCAGTTTAAATAAAATACCGGCAAAGAATTATGAAGAATTTGACAAGGAGGAGTGACAAGGCCTGTTGTGGTTCTTCCAGTCCTTCCGACAATTTCTGGACACAGTTCAGCAGCTGCAGCCTCAAGACCTGAAGAATGTTATCAGGAAGCAGCGATATTCCAGGAGGGACATCATCCACCCTAAATATCAAGAAAGCAAGAACAACACTCATGGATCGTTTGCATGTACTGGCAACGCTATTGTTTTTATGAAGAACACAAAAGAATTCTGACAGTTGAGCGCCAACGGGCCAATAAATTAAAATCATAGCAATAACTTAAGTATGGCTGGTTTTTTCCTTCCACTTTAATCCTATAATCAGACATCTAAAATATATATATTAGATTTTTAAAGCTGCATATCTTCCTAATGGCATCATCTATAACAACTGGCACATGAAGTGATGAGATCATAAACAGGTACAGGCTTGAACATTGAATACGAAACAGATGATCCACATATACATTATAACAAGGTTTCAATGGCCACAATGCCTATAAAATAAAGCACACTTTCATCCCATTACTTTCAACAGTAAGGACATCGCTGTATACTCAGTTTTATTGTGGGTTTAGAAGCACTTAATTTAAGATGGATTATGCCAAATATATTTTACAATTTCTATGCTTTACAGGGAATCAAAGAAAAGAGCATTAAAGCAATGTACTGCTGGGGGTGGGGGGGAGGGTGGGGGGCTGAGTATGGCCTGAACTGAACAGGGCACGTACCAACAATGTAGCCTAAACTGGCCCAGTTTAGCAGCAAATCAAAAGCCTACTCAAGTGGAATAGGCCAAATGGATCATGGAATTCAGGTATTCATACAAGCGCCATTTCCCAAATGTCCCCATGTACCTAGCAGCATCATGCTGGTAGGTACATGGGGACATTTGGGGAAGGGTGCTAACAGAACTACAGACTTTCTTAAGTTCAGCTAACACAACTACAGACTTCCTACAGTCAGTAACCTTGACATCATGGGGTTCCTAGGAACTCTGTAACTATACTCAGCTGCATACAGTTGCAAAGCCCTCTCCAGACATTCATTATCAAAGCATAAATATCTCTTATGCTTTCCGCTACTGCTCAGTTCTGGCATAAGGACAAGGAGTTGCTAGAAGAGCCAGTGGAGGAGTTGGAGGCCAGCAGCCTTCCCAGCCTGGCTTAGTTATTGCAGAAGAGGAGCCTCCAGCAGTAAGTTCTACCACATTTTGTCCAAGACTATACTCTTCATCAAGGAAACAGAGTGTTGCACTCCAGGACAAGAAACACCTCTTTACTTAACTACCATATTCTACCAAGTTAAATCAGCAAAGCAGTTTATTGAAGATTATATAAAATCCACTTCAGCAAAAACAGTAAAAACTTCAAAGTCTATAAGTGTAAAATAGTCCACGAAGTTCAAGGTACAAAAGTAATTCAAAATCCCAAAGCAGCAGCACATACAGCACAGGAATGCAAGAAAACCAGGAAATACAAGACAGCATAAAATCCAATGCAAAAATCCAGGAACAATCCTTCAAACTTGGAAGCATGAAACAGGAGCAAAGACATGAAACTAGAATTCCCTCAGAAAGCTTGACTAGGACTTGGCACAAGCAGTTGTCTCAATTACCAATGTTGAGCAAACTGGCCAGGATACAATCCTGGCCTCTCTAATAAAGACATGAAGCCATGCCTCCTCCATGAGTTTCTGCTATAGGCTTCTTCTGTAAGAGGCGCTGTGACCCTTTGAGGTTCTGCTGAGCAGCCCAAAGTTTGCAAAAACTAAGTATCCTATCTACCAGCTCATTATCTAGCAACTCATTATTTTCTGCACTTGGGATTTCAGCCTCTGAACTCTTTTCTCTAGAGAACAGCTCCTCTGCACCATGTGGAATGTGACCTTCACTGACTGTTGGAAACACAAAGTGCTCATTTTCAGGATCTCATGATGGCTTGCAGGCCCAGAATCCCCATGACCTACCTCCACATTAACATGAATACCAGGCAAAAATCATGGGCTGAACTACAACATAGATAGGCAGCAAACAAGATTAGACTAAGAAAGATCTTCCCCATTTTCCTCCCCAAATGCCTATTGCTCTGTCTTTCTCACTCTCTACTCCCTCCACCCATCTCATGATGATGTAGAGTGATGTTCTCAGTTGAATGCTTTTTGTGTTAAGCCCCCAAGATCTTGTGCTCTCTAGTACTTCTCTCTAAGTCTTTCTGTGAGTTGTATGCAGAATGTAGTTTTTGAGACTTTCCCTTTGTTTGATATTTAGGTGGAAATGGAGAATAAACCCAATCTCTAATTAGATTTAGTTAGATAGTCTAGACCCCAACTTTTCTATCTAGAAAATGTAGTTCTTTATACCTTTAATAAAATGTTTAGAACCCTGCTGCTCATTGTTGTTGAGTGTTGTTGCTAACAGATTGGTGTAAATGGATGGCATTCGGAAAAGTTTTACTCTTGCCAAAGTTTTTGTGACCCCAACATTGAGCTACAGGGACCCCATTTGGGTATGAGACCCATGGTTTAAGAAGCAGTGGTCTATTTCATCCAAGTACCTACACATGCTATTCTCACTCTGTCCTCTGATCTCCCATCCCTGTATCTCAGATTTTTCAGTGATCTAATCTGAATAGCAAAACAACCAAATGAGTGACATTTCTCTAACTTACATATATGTTCATATCTCTTATAAGCAGTTGGTTAAACCTCCATTTTACTGATAAAGCCAATTAATGTGTCACAAAATGATGTATGACTAAAAGGTGTGTCACAAACATAAAATGTTTGTACTCTCTGCCTTACTGCAAAATGTTTCTCTATTTTTGCTAACTACAAAATATAATTTCATTAATTTAAACAAGCACTTAGAATCATACAGCTCTTCAAATGTTACTGAAAAGGTCTCCGTACATCTAGAGTGCATCTACACCATTGAATTACTGCAGTTTCATACTACTTTAACTACCATGGCGGAATAATACAGCATCATGGGAATTGTAGTTTTACAAGGTCTTCAGCCTTCTCTCCCGATTAGTGCTGGTGCCTCACTCAAAAGATAAATACCATGATTCCACAGCATTGAGCCATAGCAATTAAAGTGGTATTAAACTGCATTAATTTGACAGTGTAGATATATTCTACACTGTCGAAGCCTAGAAAAAAGCATGGGATGCTTGGAGTTGTAGTCCAACAGCATGTGGTGAATGACATGTCTTCACCTCCATTTAACAACAACGGCGGTAACAACAACCCTGAGCCTTTGAATTTTTGCTGCATTTCTGCAATTGCCTTGGATCTAAAAAAAAAAACAGAGAGAAGGGCAAGAAAACTACTGTATTTCTTCAATTCTAAGATGAATTTTTTTCCTATATAAACATCTCTAAAAAGAGGATGTATCTTAGGATAGCAGATGTATCTTATGGACTCATATTTTTGTCAGTGGTGGTGGAACTGAAATTAGGATGTGTCTTACAACTGAGGAAATATAGTACCAGTACAACCTAATATTCCTATTATTTTGCTCAGTATTTAATTCCCTAAACAGAACTGGTTCTAAACTGCAAGGTCAGAAATCAAATGAGAAACATCATTTCCAAGATTAATTACAGGAGATCAACATTTGCCTACTTCAAAAATGTCCCCAAAAATATAGTTAAACAAAAAACCTGACATGTATTGCTATATTTATGCGATAAAATGTATTATGCATCTGGATCAAACACCCTATTGTTCGAGACACCTTGTCACAGGGACTTCCTTGTCTGTACATTCAGCACCATCCCTAGGAAAGAGACTGAGAGACTTGAATTTCTTTCGCAATATGAAAAAAGATCTCCCTTCCAGGGAGGTAAACACGCTTTCACCAGCTGGCAAGGTTTCACCCTTTCAACTGTAAGTAGAACAAGATGCCACAAATGCTCCGGGAGTGGATTAATCTTTTTTGTGTTCTGCAAGCACAGCTGTCAGGAAGCCTATTTTGCTGTCGAGTGCTTGGCCTCTCCTCTCAACAGAAGCAGCAAGAGCCACACCAAGAATTGGCATGATAACATCTAGGAGGCCAGGACACTCAGTACATAACTCAATCAAGATATTGTTAACCAGAAAAGGGGCAACCAATATACCCATAGGATAACAACATCTTCCATATGAAGAAGAATTACAATGTTTGAGACTACATACTTGCTTAGTATTAGAGAAAGGTGAATCAGGGGTAAAGGTATGTCTAACTATGCATGAGTGGAAGAAATACAGAAAAGCTTTTCTATCTGCCTCTCGTAAAACTAAGAACTCAGGATCTATTGAGGCTGAATGTTGGAGGACTCAATACAAAAGGAAAATACAGGCAGTACCTGAGTTACAAACATCCAACTTACAAATAACTCATAGTTAAGAAGAGTGGTGGAGGCTCCTTCTTTGGAAGCTTTTAAGCAGAGGCTGGATGACCATCTGTCAGGGGTGAATTGAATGCAATATTCCTGCTTCTTGGCAGGGGGTTGGACTGGATGGCCCATGAGGTCTCTTCCAACAATTTGATTCTATGATTCTATGATTCTAAGAACGGGACTGAGACAAGAGGAAGTGAGGGAAATCCACCCCTCGGAAGGGAAGTTTACTCCTGAGAGAGTTATCAAGGGGGATAGGGGTCTCCACTGTAGCTTTCTCTACAATCCTTGTTTCCACAACAAGCCAAATGTTTCAAAATCCAATTATCACAGGGGCAGAAAGTGAGGTGAAAGTCACACACTCAAATTCAGAAATATCATTGATATGGTCACCATAAGTCGGAAACAACAATCAGAGGCAATACACCACCATGGACCAGTTGCTTGAGGGTACACCAGCAGCTTGGAAGGCTTCTCACAAAGTGTCCAGTACATGGACACTTTGCAAACAGTACTGTGGACTAGGAAGGCTCTTGGGTTTCATACATTTGATTCATTACATTCTTAAACATACGTTCCCACTGTTATTTCAATAGAATTTAGCATCTTATAGCACTGGAGTGCTAACCTATTTCAAGAATTAACTGGGAAAGAAAAGTCTGCTAAACATAAATGCAATTAGCAACAACTCAGCTAGACGGCTAATAAGTATTTCATGGAAAGTGTTCTTTAACAAAGGAAAATTCCACGTTTCAAAGCAT